ATTATTATAAATGGTTAACTTATTATAAATGAACAATAATTCGATCTTATTATTTAAACAAATTAAAAAAAAAGATTTTTATAAAAGTCATAAAATTTTTTATTTAAAAAACAGTTTCAAAAAACAGTTTTAAAAAAGAAGAGATCAAGAAAAGAGTTTTTTGTAAAAATTTTACCTAATTTATTAAGTAAAGAACACGCAATAACGATTTTATCAATTTTATCAATTTTTGATGCTAATTTATTTTTATAATACGCACTTATTTTCTAATTGCTCATAGCTTGTCTATCGTAGAATTTGTTTGTAGATATTATTGTAGATTTTTAAACTTTACTTTAACTTAAAGCCAAATGATTAATTAATTAAATAATTTGTAACATGATAAATACACACATTAATTTTATATTTTATTATAAAATATAATATATAGAAATTTGTAGTAATTTGGCTTTACTTCAGTTAAAATAAAGTTATATTCAATATTTAACTAACGAATTTCACGATTTCGTGAAATCGAATGATCGTTACTAAATGAGCGTAAATATTTCACGTCCTTTTGCCGGCAAAAGAAGGAATATTTATCTTCTTCTTTGATCTCTGATTAGAGATAGAAAGAAAATGGCCAGGATCAACAAAAGGTAGATTCAACTGGCCTGAAGAGCACGCAGTTAGGGTACGCTGTTAGGGTACGCGGTTAGGGCACGCGATTAGGATACGCGATTAGGACACGTGAATAGGACATGTAATTAAGGCACGTGATTAGGGCATATAATTAGGGCACGTGATTAAAATATATACATGACTAATTGTAAGTTAGGTGATGATTAGAAATAGGTTCCACAAATCTCGAATAATTTTAGTTAGTCAGGAAGTTGGGTTGTTAGGGCTGTATAAAGTAAGATCATTAGAATTCTTTAATAGTAGGGTTGTTAGGGCTTTTAGATAAAATTCATTCTTTCTTTTAATTCCAATAATCGTAGAGGTGAATTAAAATTATTTTAATTAAGTTGAATTTATTTTTAAAAATGTTGTAAAAATAAATATAACATGGTTTGAAAATAAACATGTTTTAAAAATGAAATTTGAATTATCTTCAGGAATATTAAAGAAATTGCATAATTATTAACGTTTAAGAAATATCTTAACATGTTATATTTTATTTTAAAACTTGAAAATATATGTGTATCAAGTCAAATATTAAATCCAAATGTTAATGCTATCAATATTAAATTATTGATGTTATTAAACATTTGAATAAATCGAATATTATTATTTGATATTGATAGCATCATAAATTTGTAAATTGTAAATAGTTATAATTGTATTTTAATTATAATCTAACATTGATATTTTAATTGTAAAATACAATACGATTATGATTATAATTATATTAAATGAAATTGTATTTACAATTGTAAATTCTTACGTAAATTACACAAAAAATTATCGAAAGTATATGTATAATGATTACATAATAGTAATTAACATAATAGTAATTCATTAAATTAACGTATTTGTTTCTATATTTGTATATATTTTTGAAATATGCATAAAAGAGTAACTGTTATATGTGATATTTTCATATCAAAGAGTCATTAATAAAATCGGGAAATTTTTATATAAAATATAAAAATTCGATGCTAAATTAATGATTAAATATAAGCTTTACAAAATTTGACGAACGCCTTCGTTATAGAATCGCGAGTCAATTATAAATTGAATCATATGCTTTCTGTTAAATTTATCTATTATATTTATAAATATTCTTAAAATAAATTAATAAATTATGATTGCGAAAATATCGTACTCGTTTTTTGCGTTTTTATACAAGATAGTCGTTTTAATACAAGAATTTTATTGCCGTCCATCTCATCAGATATTATTGCTAAATATTGTTAATTAAATATAAAGAAATATCGATTAAGAGTGTGAAGATTCGATGTGATAAGTCAACAATTAAATATTAATTTCAAAAAATTTAACGATTATCTTCGATATTATATAGAATTGCAAGTTAATTGTTATGAATTTAATAATTTGTTTTTTCAGTTATATTTGTATATTTACGAATTTTGTATCGAAAAATATTCATAAATAAATTAATAAATTATGGTTGCGAAAACATCATGTTTTTCTCGCGTTCTTAGACGAGATGGTCGTTTTAATAAAAGAGTTATCGTTGTTTCTTTCGTTAAATAAACGTTAATGAAAATTGCGTGGCTCGTACCGCCGAGGAATCGAATGATTTTTATCATGGAGAATTATTTCTTATCGGTTCTTGTGAGATCCATTCGCGATGTCTAGTTTGGTGCTCTTTTGAAAATTGGAGATTTTTATTGTAAGATTGGAACTAATTCCAGATATACCTGGCAATTTTTGAAAGCAATGATTTCGGTAATAATTCAATGACGAACACCATACGTTTCTTTAAAGTCGAATTAAAATAACATATATTTAGATGAAAGAAATGCATCTTTTCTTTTCTTCGTTAAAAATGTTCTATCATTATTAGGATTGATATTATTATTGCCTAATGCCAGAAAGATTTAATAGTAGATTAAATATGGATATAGCGTTGTGTATAAATTTCTATTTTTCAAGTAATTGCATATTGTAATTAAGTTTTATTAACTTTTATGAGAAAAATGACTACGAACGAATATATTTTATTAATTAATATAATTTATCCTTTTTGAAAGATTATTTCTAGGTACTGGGATTATTAATGTTAGTTTGTTTTAAGAAACTTTACAGATATTGGACATCCATCGCCATTTTAGAATATTAGTTCTTAGATATATGTCATTTTATATATATGCATAATAAAATACATGCACAACTTAACGTATCCAAAATATTTCTATAATTTTTATTAACATTATATATTATGTATACGAAATTATGTATGAATGTTACATAAAATGTGCGAATACTTAAAATTCGAGACAAATCTAATGAATACCCCATCAATAAGATATTGATTAAAAGAAAAGAAATTATTAATTTAAACGTTATAAGAATAAGAATCTAGAGAATTATTCTAGAATTAATTATTTAAAATTATTTAATTTATTTTATTTTGCAAACTATTTCAGTTGAAATTTTAAGTCTTGTTATGGGATTCAATTCATCTCGCGCGCGCGAAAAGGTACCGAAAATTATTATATGTGTTCACACATTCAACACAAACTCTAATGATGCATGGATTTTATTATTTATAAATGTAATCGTTCGTAATTACATTTCTATAAAAAATTGTTATATTCACTTAATTTTCAATAAAGAAGTATATTTCTTAATAATGGAAGAACATGTTTTCTGACGTGAATATCAATTTCATGAATTGAAAATAATGACGAGGGATAATGGTCGTTGAATTATTACTGAAATCATTGCTATTGGGAATAGATCCGGGATTCGTTCTCTCCTACGTTCAATGGATCACTTAACTTTTCTTCGTAGATTGATCGTACGAAATCTGATATAGAAACAAGATGTTAATCTTTCTCCATTTTTAAAATCGCACCTCTTTTTATTACCGGTTTGTCATCCGTGTATCTGATGGCTTCGATTATTATATTATAAAAATTATACGCAATATGAATATTTGGAATATTATCGATTTATTTATTCGTCACGTTTTTTCGCGAATTTTAAATCGTGATTTATTTTGTAATTTAATTGTCGATTTACATCGAAACTCATTTTATTTTTTCGTGTTTTGAATATTTTCTTTGATAAACTACACAAAAGGCGCCAGTAATGCAAATATTTTCTTCTACAATCGAAGAAATGATGAATAATTTTATTAATGACTCCTTTGATTACGATTATTTACGTTACATAAAACTCATTAAATTCTATTATTGCATATCGATTATTAATGATAAATGTCGCGTAATTAATTATCGCTTGTATCAGGCTTGTCTAAATTATATAAAAATTTTTACTAAATTTCGTATTATACGTATATTTTGGACATTTCCGCGTAATAAATTATTCCATGTAATAATTATTTTGTATAGTTTGTATATTTTGTATAATTTGAAACGTATTTTGTATTAAGTTTCAAATTATATTCACTTTTGTATTAAAAGAAAATAAAATGTATTGAAAGAAAATAAAAATAAAATAAAAAAAAATTTTTCTCCTCGATGTATCTCCACTTTAATGGAGGCATTTGCTGGGTGAGGAGATTTGACTCTCGTCAACCTGAGACCTATGCCGGCGATAATGTACGCTAATATTCATATAGACTATTCTTATATTTAAGATCATTTAAGTATATTCTTAGATCGCGTCTTAAGATTTTGTTCAATTATTAAAATAGTTGTACAACATTTTCCAACTTACTTAACTCTTTCTTACTTAAAACGATCTTAAATAGAGTGAATTAAAAATTGGCCGTAGTTACTGGTAGGGTTACGCATGCCGGACAGGTCGAAGGGGAAAAGTCAGACTAAGAGAGATGAATCAAAATGATATATATACATATATGTTATATTAATTACATTAATCTTTTTGAATAAAATGAAAGAAAAAGAGGAATCGAGAAAACAGATAAAAGGCAATTATACAGTGATTTGAATATATCTTAAATATGAGTGATTTAAATATTTCGAAGAACTCTATAGGAAGGAATAAGCATGACAAGTGATGATAATCTTTATGATGTTAATACAAAGGAATACAATAAACCATATAACAATCCAAGAACTCGAATAAAAACATATATTGAATAGAAATGCAATGATTGGAAATGATTAGAAACTAAAAGACTGTATGCACACAACCTTATTAATAATAATACTATTTTGTAATTATATTAAATTTTATAATTTAGTTATATAAAGCACATTAAGCTTAAAAATATTATACTGATATCAAAATTATAATAAAAATATATAAATAAGTGCTATATTAGAATGGTACATATGAATTTTTTATATTTTATATAAAAGAAGAGACATTTAAAATATTTTGCAACATTTATATCAACAAAATTAATCAAAGGCTTAGAGGACCAAAGCAATGATGAAAGTATATTATAGTAAATTACACTGAAGTATATGTATTTTAAATTACATTTAAATACGACAAACGCTGCGTTTCGATTTCGTTCGGATCCTTATCAATGTCTAATAACAATAATAACAATAATAAATGTCAGAATCTAAACATACGTTTCGGAAACAAAAAATAAAGTAAACAAATAGCGCATTACAATGTCAGAAATGTATATAACGGAAAATTTACAAAAATTATGAAAATTGATAAAACAAAGACGCATAGATAATTTACAATAATGGTCAAAAGCCGCAGCAGAAAAATCAAATAAATACCCAATAAGAATCCCATGTCCGTAGTAAAAACAACATTTATATATTTTTCCTACATCAAGATTTATCGAATTATTCGGAAAAGAAGATAAACATTAATTTAATTATATCAACTAAATAGGATCGACTGAACTCAGTGACGTATCTTCTATGTTCTTCCTTAATGCTATAATATTTTTCAGACAAAATTTGAAATTTGGTCTAGCATCCGCTGCACTCCAGCAACGTTGCATCAACTGGTACAATGGTGACGGACAGTTAAGAGTCATCGGCAACCTGCCTCCAACACGTACATAATTTATCACTTCTTTATCAGTCTTGTCCATATAAGGTCTCTCACCCAATGATGTAATTTCCCACATTAATACCCCAAATGACCAAACATCGCTTTGAGAAGTAAATATTCTGAGCATCCAAGATTCGGGTGCCATCCAGCGAACAGGGAGCAAATCTTCTCCTTTCTAAAACATGATTTTAACAAAAATTTAATATTCTGGTTTAAGTTGTTCATTTTTAGAATATGTGCAAAATAAAAAACGTTAATTTATCTCTTGCTATATATAAATAAAAACCATTTATATCCTATATTATTTGAAGAAGCAATGCACGATACCATTATGATAAAAAAATGGAAAGTATTTTTAAAAAAATTCATTTTTTAATTTTTTTAATAATTGTATTTACCACGCGATAATAATCATCTTTGTAGATATCTCTAGTTAGTCCAAAATCTCCAATTTTGATGACACGAATCTCCCGATTTCTCGAAGATACTAAACAATTCCGACACGCTAGATCCCTATGTACGAAACGCAACTCTTCCAAGTAGCGACAACCTCGCGCAACATCTTCGCACATGGCGAGCAAATCCTGTAAACGAAGAGCATGCGAATCTGACGCTTGCAAATTTCGACAATCTCTCAAATATTTTAACAGATCACCAGTTTCCATCAATTCCAACACTAGAAACGGAGAAATCCCATCTAAACAAACACCCAACAATCTTAATATATGTTTGTGTTGAAAATGATTCATAAGCTTGGCTTCCTTTAACAATTTCCTTTTCTCATCGGAAGAAGCATCTTTTCGAAGCGTTTTTATTGCAACGGATATCTCTGTGCCCGAACCTTCTAAGTTCTTCACCTTTCCTTGATACACCTACGAAATATTTCACACAAATTTTTATGCGTCCGTCATTAGAATGTATAGTTTAATGTCAAGTAATATTATACTTTACTTTATATTAAATAATTCAACGAAAAATATATAATAAAGTACACGTTGTTTCATCTAAATTTTATATTACTTGTAATCTATTATAAAAATTTATGTAATTTATATCTTTATTATAAAATACATATCTGTTTTGTTGATCGAGAAATTATTTTAAAACATTGCTTGAAAAAATTAACTTTTACCATTCCGAATGCGCCGCTACCAATAAGTTTTGTAAATTTAATTTCTTTACGTGCGATTTTTTTTATCACACATTCATCCGGCTTATAATGTAACATAGGACTGTAAATCGTATTGTATTCACTGTATTGGTAAGGTTCACGTAGAATGGCCAATTCTACATCAGTCATTGTTGAAGACAAAAATTGTTCATTATTATCTCTGTGTTGACGATACACTGTTATAAAATTTCGACTTAATTATGTAATAATATGTATTATAAAATCTACTGTTTTTTGGTAAATTTATTCGTTTAGTTTTATATAAATAAATTACTATTTTTAGTAATTTTTTAGATATTATATCAGATATATATGTATAATCTACAGTTCAAGTAGATACCTACATCAAATATACTTACAACAATAAATGTAGCAGAGGCAGATTATAGTAACTATGACGATAAAACTTAACATCAGTAATAAGTAAAATTCTTTCGCTATTATTCCTGGAGTGCTCCGAATATCTATGTTAAGCAAAAATATAATTTTAATATCTTCGTATGTGTATGTTCTTACACATTTATTTTTACTTGTAACTTTATTACAAAAATTTAATTTTAGGCCTATTCTTATCTAAAAATATTAGTACATAATATTATCCATGCAGCACAAAATGTAACCACTACTTTGCAACAATATTACAATATTACAAATTGCAATGCAACATTACGGAAACATTGTAGAAATATAAATTAACAAAGTATGAATTGGATATTACAATATAATATTGATATTTTGAAAACATTGGAAAACTATAACACTCTTTAATTTATCTATAAAAATAATGTAATAATTTATTTTTTTATGAAAGGATCAATAGAAAAATTGTAGTCGACCAAACTAGCCAAAAAATTAAGTTTATTAATACGATGTTTCGATCATGTGGTTGTGGTCCTTATCAAGTATACACTAAAAAAGATTTATAAATACATAAATTAACGGTTTGAATACATAGTAACGCACAGAGAATTAAAGTGTGAAAAGATTTTTACCGATATAATAATAATCAGAAGACAACATTAATGGTGAACATGTAAAACCACGTAATCATGTAATACAAAAAACGTTATTTAACTAAATTCAAATTTGAGAGAAGCTGATGCGTCCATGTGAGACTTCATCAATAAACTAAACATGACAGGAAGAAAAGCGGTACTAAGTGACCTTAATAATTTTGTCGTAAATATTATTCAAGTTATCTGTGTCAGTCTGTAAGTTGATTAGATTTTTAGATCTCTTGATAAAGAACATTTCAGCTATCTCTCTTTTACGAACGTACTTTTTATTGTGCAAGATATTCGGTTTCGACCAATCGAAATCGTGTCCGGATTCCAATCTATGTTTGCTAATAGCGGAGTGATTAGACTCATGTAATTTTATATTGTTACAATGTTCTTTCACTCGGGTCCGCAAATGTCTTTTTGTTTGCCCAATGTATGATAAATTGCAATCCCTACAGTTTAATTTGTATACAACACTTGTCTTATCGTTATTGTGTAAGGTATCTGTATCACATCTGATTAAGTTATTAAGTTTTTTTGTTACTTTGTAGACGACGTTGAAACCACTGTTTCGTAGAAGACGGTAGAGATCTTGACTCGTATTCTCTACGTATGGTATAGTGAGTAAAATGAGTTTTATCTGGATGAGTAGAATTGGCGTCATCAGTGTCATTGCAGTCGCGATTGTTTAAAAAATTGATTCTTTTTCGAATGTGTCTATGAATAATATGTTCAGGAAAACAATTATTAACTAACGTATCATATATTAATTTAATATTCTCTTGTTTAAAACAGTCGTCAGATAGTAAAATGGCATGGTCAACTAAATTATAAATCGTATTAATTTTATATTTTAACGGGTGATTCGAGTAAAAATTAATATATCTCCCGGACCATGTAGGTTTCCTAAACCAATTGGTGATAAGTTTTGTTCCCAAACGAATGATTTTAACATTAAGAAAACTAATCAAAGAATCAATTTCTTTCTCGTACGTGAATCTTAAACGTTCGTGGTAGTTATTAAAAATGGTTAAAATATCGTCAATTTTTGTGCGTGGTACAAAAGAGAGATAGCTGAAATGTTCTTTATCAAGAGATCTAAAAATCTAATCAACTTACAGACTGACACAGATAACTTGAATAATATTTACGACAAAATTATTAAGGTCACTTAGTACCGCTTTTCTTCCTGTTATGTTTAGTTTATTGATGAAGTCTCACATGGACGCATCAGCTTCTCTCAAATTTGAATTTAGTTAAATAACGTTTTTTGTATTACGTGATTACGTGGTTTTACATGTTCACCATTAATGTTGTCTTCTGATTATTATTACATCGGTAAAAATCTTTTCACACTTTAATTCTCTGTGCGTTACTATGTATTCAAACCGTTAATTTATGTATTTATAAATCTTTTTTAGTGTATACTTGATAAGAACCACAACCACATGGTCGAAACGTCGTATTAATAAACTTAATTTTTTGGCTAGTTTGGTCGACTACAATTTTTCTATTGATCCTTTGATTACTCGACTAGCGACATTAAATTATTTACATTTTTATTTTTTTATGTTTATATATATGCGATGAATTTTACTTTTTTGCAGAAGTCAAATTAATAACATAGAATTAATAACATAGAAATAATATCAGTCGAGTAAATATAATTCTAAGATAAAGATAAGCATAGCTATTTATTTATTAAAATCGAGATAACATTTTATATATGTTACAATCTATTTTATGATATATTTTCACATCATATACTATTAATCTTCAAAGATACTATATCTTTTTATTATATAGATACTATTATATTTATCATTATATTTTTCTATAGATTTTTATAATATGTATTTTTATATAGTTGTAATTATTAAAAATATAAGACTCGGAACATAAAATTAAACAAATCAGTTTTAATGATAATACGAGTCAAGTATTGATCTTATAACACAGTTATTCATTATACAATCAAATAAGTATGGAACAATGAAAAGATTGCAAACATTTGGATCCTATTTTTGGGCCCTCTTCAGCGGAAATGTTATGATAAAAAAATAAAAAAAGTTTTATCGGAGTCAACTATAAAGTGTGCTATTTAAAGTAAAGATAGATGTTTCGGTATCTCATTATTTTATATATATAAATATATATATATATATATATATATATATATATGGTTATAACGGATCTTTAAAATTTTTAAATAAAAATATAATTAGTAACGTTTAATTAATTCTTTAACTATAATGTTTATATATATATATATATATATATATATATATATATAGTATATATATGTATATATTATATATATCCCATTGTAAAAGTACAAAAAACATTTAAAATAAAAAAAGTGATTTGTAAGTACAAGTTTAAAGTAATTTTGTATAAAAATATAGTATCTTAATTTATATGATTATGTTTAAATACAATTTTGCAATATATTATCTTAGACATGATTATCTTAGGTATTGCAAACTTCTATTTATATCAACTTCTATTTATACTAAGCTTTTTAATTTAATTAAATGTTTCCAAAATATTCATCCATCAAAAACAAAAATATTTTATAACGTAATATTATTAAATGATTGCAATAACATTACATTCTTTCCTATATATTACACTGTAATATTGCTACTATATTTTATTACAAAAAGCAGACATTTTAACTTCATCACAATCTTATAAAAATATCTCAGCAGAGTTTCGCAATCAGTTTGCAATATTGCAATGTTTCAATGAAATTATTCTTCAATATATCCATGCAATATTATTGTAGTGTATAGATATCTTCGTTTGCTTACCAAGTGTTGAAAACATAAATCTTTCATCAGCCGGCCATGTAAAATTTTCTTCATATTCAGGATATCTCAATACCAAACGAAACTTGTATAAAGTTTTCGATTGTAAATTTCCGATATGGTATATTATTTGTTTGTTATAATTCATTTTAACATAATTCATTGTTTGCCACTTTTCTGTTGCATTCTCTTTGTACTCTAGTGTAGGAGAGACCGTCAAATGGATGTTCGGGATCCATGAAATGTCTATGCTATTTATTTCGACCTTGCTCAAAGTAATATCGTTTGGTTCTGAGTATATGTGATCGATTTTGCCTAAACTCTCGTTATAGAAATCGCTGAAATTATTAGGATACACACGCACGTATATCAAGTAATCTTGTACTGGTAGCGATAAGTTAATCTTTGTGAAAAATCTGCCATCGGCCGTAGGTTTCGGCATTTTAATAAATTGTTTGCCCTTTTGTTGCATGCCGTTCACTAATGTATCTGACTTCCAATGTACTTCGTAGGTCACGGCCACGCAGTTCACTTTCTTAAGTGGCATCCAATGAACTACTGCTATAGTAGGCGTCAAAGCTAGAACACTTATGTTTTCTGGTGCATTAAGCTTGCCCGAATTAGTTTTTATTTGTATCACATTCGAATCAAATGGATTTATTGGTAATTGATCAAAGTAAAAATTGCTTAAAGTAAACTTCAACTTGTACTCTGTAAAGGGTGTTAAGTTCCAAATCCGGTAAACTCTCTTGAACGTCTGCACATTGAATTTCACAAACTTGTTGAGATTGTTGTCTAAACAGCTTACAGAGATAGTGTATATAGTAGTTGGTAAATTATATTTTTTGCATCCACGCTTTACAATCGGCTTTTGAAGAGTCACAAGGATGTTGTTTGCCGTTGCATTCACATTCTCAAAATTGTAAACTTTTTCGTGAGGTGTCAGACATCTCATTGGAGGATATGGTTGTAAAGATTTATCAATAGCATAAATTTGATAAGACTCATTAGTATATGAAATTATCTTTTCAACATTTTTGGTTGCATTTATGCTCGTGAGACTTGCATATTTCTTTTTCAAAACATAGATATATTTAGCATTATATGTATGGACTTTATATGCTAAAATGTAAATGTTTGTTTTGTCAATTGTTATAGATTGGAAACGGATATCACTTAAATATTTCGTGTGTAAAATCGCATTGCACATAGAAATGTTAACGTCTGTTACAATTATGTAACTCTTACTTAACCAGCAAATTAACAGCCCCTCATTATTCATGTTATCAATTTTCATATCACGAAAAAGATCTGGTTTATAACGATATAGACAAAAGGTTTTTATTGGAACAATTAGGTTAATTTTTTCATCGAGATGATATTTTATCATTCTATATGAATGCCTCGAAGTGTGATGATACGATACGTGATATAAAATTCTAAAAAATACGTAATTATTTTACTCATTATAAAACATTATTTTAACAAAAACAGAAACTTATATTTAGTTAAAATTCAAAATTATTATAATTATATAATAACTTATTATTTTTTTTACTTATGATCTTAGTTATAAAACCACGTAAAATTATAGAAAAATTACAAATTTGCATAAATCTTTAATGGAAAATTATTTTTTCAAGTGAACGGTAGTAAACGTACCCCATAGACGGTGATACACTTAAATGGTGAATATAAGTATCTGATTTGAAAATCTCATCAAATTTAATTATGCCATTTTCCCACATTGTTAAATCGAACTTTATAATATAAAAGTAGACTTTGATGTAATAGGTTATATATAGATTTCTTGCTACCCAGTCAATGCAAAGATTATGTAGATAATGATCAAAGGTAGCTATTTTTGTGATATTATTTTCATAAATCTTCATTGTCATTAGGTCTTTTGATGTTATCCAATAAATTCTACCTTCCTGTATCGAATAAGCGGCACATTTTGCTGTTCTGAAAAGAAGGAGCTATATTCTATTACTAATCTGAGAAAAAGGAACTATAATTGTATAGCAAAAAATTATACTTGAGACTTCTAATTTTATAGTTATTACTACTATGATATTGATAATAATAAACCTATGCATAATAACTTTAACTTTATAGCTAGTATTAAAAATAATTTATGATAATTATAACTATTGTTTTTTATCAGTATACGTACCCTGACGTTACGAAATTAGTAATGTTTAAATCCACGTCCAATATGTAGATACCTTTACTCGATGTGACTAATAATTTCGGTATTGGATTTTCATGTGTAGTCGACACATTGATTAAATCCGTATAAGGACCAGCAACAATTTTAGAATGTGCACGTACTCGAAAATAATATGTCATGTTAGATGTTAGATTGTGCACCGTGTGCTCCAATTTTGTAGTTGTGATATTTTTATCATCGCAGATTTGAATGTCTTTTAAGTCCTCGATGAAAAAACATTGCACTGTGTACCCTTGTATTATTTCATCGATAAATTCAGGTTGGTTCCATCTGTAAAAACATAAAATTTTAGTCACTTTATATTTAACAAAATTATAACAGAATTAACATTTTGATATATTTATGTCGTTAAATTTAAGAAAAAGAGAGAAAAATGAAAGAATACAAACTGAGAATTTAGATTCCTTACCTCAATGTCACAAAAATGTCGTTTATTTTTTTTGCGAATTTCCTGTCGAATTCTACAAATGCTCTGAGAGATGTTGGCTTGCTCAAACTGTTTTCTAGAGATTTTAAGGTCGTACATATTAACATATTATATATAAGATTAAGTGGATTATCTCAATAAATCACACAGAAAGATTAATTAAATGTGAAAATAAAGGAAAGAGGAAAAATAAATCTAAATTGCAAAATATGAAAATCAGCATAGTATTGATCTTTAAAAAATAAAATAATATAAAAAATTTTTACGTCATTTAAAGCTTAGAAAAGTAATTGTTAATACATAGCAAAAACGAATAAATAACTTTTAATATAATGCCAACTTTTCGAAAAACTCCTACAGTTAAAGGAATCAGAAGTATAATATAATATTTGCGATTGCTTTAAAATCAAGTATCAAATAAAATTGACTTTACCTTAAATAGTGACAATTTTTACAATGTTATATTTATATTATATTTTTCTATTTCTTTATTCACAGAACTTTATAACAGAATATAGAACTTATATTCTTTCCAATAGAAAATATTTTTAGATTTGTGTGATTTCACTCTCTCTTGAATTTAAATCGTATATATATTTAAATTATATTTCTAATTTTCCGTCGTAGATTTTTTTATTGTTTTGTGCCACTTACCGATAGATTTTAGGATCGTAGAATTACTTGCTAGTGGAACCACATTGACTTCTCGCTTCTTTCTTACAGTCATACTATCAGAATAACTCCGATCAGATTTCAAATTTCGATGATCATTTTTTTCGAACATTAAAATATCCTTAAATAAAGTATAACATACGAAAAGAATTAGGTGAGTATCATTGGGATAGAAACGCAATTGTTTTTGATGCTTTTAATGTGCTAAGATTATATAAATTATAAAATTAAACCATTACAAATTATCATTCGTTTAATTAATAATATTGGTTTAGTATATATACTATTCCTAATTGATAATATGTTAAATATAATGTAATTTTATTTTTGCAAAATTTATTTTTTATTCTATTTTAAAACATCTTGTACATCAAGCTTGTATATCAAGATTCACATATCAAAAGTGAAGTCATGTAATAGGTTAATAAAAGTCAATAAAAATTCATAACCGCTACTTGTAGCAAATAATATAAGTGTACGTAATGAAAGTGTAGTTCTTTGCAATTGAAATAATTTTGCATAACAATTCGATTTTTTCATGATAGGTTAGTTAACTCTTCTCCAATTATACTATAACTCAAAATTCTTTTCAAAAATTTGCTCGATATCATTAATGTTTTAATAATGTTTGTACTTCGAAAATTAAAATGTTAAAAATATTCTTTTTTTATAGTTATTAAATATTAGTCAATATTAGAAATTATATAAATTCTTCTATAATCTTGTCAAATTATTTTCGATTATCGATTATAATTTTAACACGAACAAATCCTGAGAAACATGATAATGCCGACCATAAGAATATGTGCACGTATTTATATATAAATGGATATATATATATATATATATATATATATATATATCAATAAATATTATTATAAATATCTCGAAAAATAAAGAAATTTTAGAAATTGAAAAAATAACAAAAATCTGTTTAAGTGTCATCATATGTATATGTATATAAATGTAGCGGCAAGTAGACAGAGAACCTCATTAATTTTAAAAATTTTTTGTTATTTTTAGAAATAATTTTATATATATATGTGTGAGAGAGAGAGAGAAAGAGACAAAATAATACAAGTCAAGTAATATATATCGTTTTAATTACACTTAATATATGATATAACATCGATCTATCAACAAAATTTCGAAACTTTATACATCCTCTTTTTACAACATCGCACATATTCTTTCTTTTATGTTGAATAGTTTTATTTTATTTTTTCTTATTATTATATAGAGACAGTATATCATTTATTATCATTCATTTTGAATTACACTACTAGCTGCAATAAAATGTTTGAATTACACTACTAGCTGCAATTCAATTGTTTCTTAATCAAGCGAAAAATATCTCCTACCTGCGTGGAATTTAAATCCGGACATATGGAATCACTTTCTTCCTGAAGACTGTTTGAAGGAGTATAATCCTTCGGTACAAAAGTGATAATTGCCTTTGTTAGTACTAAACCTTTCAATAAAATACATAAAATACATAAAATTATTCCAAACGTAATTTGCATTTTTCGTAAATATTTGTACTCAATAGGTTCCCGTTGAATCATATATCAATAGTTAGTTGTTTTTTTCACTCTACTAATTCTTATGTACTAATCGCGAACTGATATTAATTTATATATATATATATATATATTGTTAGATCCGAGTCGAGGACTTCGAGATATAGCGAAGACGCGCACCAAAGAGAACGGCTGTCGCGGATCGCGTTAAATAAATAAACACTTTTAGAAAACACATAGGAACTTTAATGCGAACACATACGAACAACAAATTAATAACACAACGGATTAATAATGCAATAATGACTCGTATATGAAAACGCGTCCAGATAGCTTGACAGCTATCTCTCGACTCAACTGTTCTTCTCCTCTTAACAATCCTTGACAATCAAATGTTCGTTTGCAATTGTCAATTTTAAGATTGAGTCATCACAGATATGTTCGTTTGCAATTGTCAATTTTAAGATTGAGTCATCACAGATATGTCGTCGGAGTCAGTTCGCTCTTTCTGAATCCCTGTTATTTTTAACCCTTTCCCGACTTTCCCATATATCATCTTTTATCTTTAGGACATTTTTTATTACGTTCATTCTTTTGGACATTTGTTTTTTCACCATGTAATATTTGGAGCTACATATTTGGACCGTTATGCTTCTCCATCATGCTAGAGGTTCATCTGTACAAGCTTCCCTCACGTGATTGTCCGTTTTACCCCCTTTTTTTGCAACCACGCGTTCTTCACGCTTTCTTCACTCTTCGATATCATAAGCGACATGTTATTCTGTCGTTTTTGCGAGAGTTAAATTTAGATTTTCATTTACTAATCATAATTATGCGTGCGTCTCATCATGTCACCATTCTTTCTGCGATTTTGCGTTTTTTGTAACACACTAAAATGACCATCTATTTTTGCTTGATTTGATTTTGCCCTATGTTTGCGATCTCTTTTGATATTTAATGATATTTAATTTGTTATTGTAATGTGAGACATTGAAAATGACCCAGATCCGGATTGAAATGTTTGTCTTTCCTTGAATATAACAATTTGAAATTATTTGTTGTCATTTTTTTTGTTTTTCTTTTGCGTTATCTTTGCGCTGTGGTTTTCTGTCTATTGACTTTTAATATTTGATTTATATGATACAACTACTTTTGAATTAATATTATCAATTTTAAGATTGACAAATTGATATTTCATCACAGTTACTTTCAAGATCAATTTTAAGATTGAGAGAGACCAAGCGCTTATATATGTATAGTACTCTGCGACACTTTGTATATACAATAAAAAGGATATTTGCATATAACTTGCTACAGATTACAATTTATGCACGACATTTGTTAAATCGATATAATCAAAAGCTAACAACATAAAATGTTTATGCAAATTGATGTAGTGTCGTAAAATTTATAAATAATATAAATATTTTCATAATACATTCTTTGTCTCAAAAGCATCGAAATGATAGATTTATATCGATAATATAATGGGTTTCATCGTCCATTTCCAGATATAACCATAATATATTTTTTTCGTCTCTCCAATATATGCAAATGAAATATTTGTACTGAGGCGTCTTTTTCTAATGATATTCATTGGAATATCGTGATCAGATATGATAAATGTAAGATATATGATAAATGTAAGATATATAAATAATTTCATCACTTTGGAAAAGGCAATTTACTTACTGCTATAATTTTTAAAAAATGTTGCTTTGTACATTTCACATTATTGAAATATTTTTCAATTAAAAGAAATATTTTTGAGTCAAACAGTAAAATTAAAGGATAATATTAAAGAATTTAAAAAAAGAAACTTGCCGGATAAAAACTATCTCGTAAGGGAAAAGGGTGAGAAAAGAAAAAAAATTACAAAAGAAGAAGCAATTAAAGTCAAAATAAAGCAGCCTACGATAATCACCGATACATTAAAATCTTCTTTCAATAAAATAACTGGAAACATCGTAGAATCTTCACCAAAAACCGGGAAAAATAGCAAAAATAGCAAAATTTTAACACTCCAAGATCAGTTGAAAATTCTGCATGAGAATATCTTTATCACATCAGGAATCCAAAATCAAGGATTTTTGTAGTCCGATTTACTCGTACACTTGAAACATCGAAAGCGATATTAATAGATCCAGAAAAAATTTCCGTTAATAATTTAATGAAGGAAATTTCTAAATTATTAAAAATTTACAAATTTTGTAATTCTTATCTCTACAATCAAATGAATTATTAGAAAGATCTGATTATATAATAGAACATTTTAAATAATGTACAAATGAGCAGAAACAATGGAATAAATGGATTGATTTCACATTCAATTATAATATCAACATATATGAAACAATTAAACATACTCCATTTATGAAATAAGTTTTCATGATAGCACGAGTTTCATCACACGAGTTTTTCGTCTCAGAAGATAATTTAATAAATACTTAATAAACTCTGTAATATATCTTTCAAGAAAGTCTTTTTACGTAATTTAAGGAAATATTCATAATGTCAAAGCAGAACTCAGATCTGAAGAGCATTATCAGACCACTCAAAATTTTAAATCAGAAAATCAAGTATTTTCATTGAAGAGATCGAAAGCGAGAAGATTCAAAGATCAGTATACAAGACTTCATAAAACATTGAAGAAATTAAAAAAGAATAATGCAAAAATTAAAATAAAAATAAACAATCTAATCGCGCACTTTAAAACCGTTTATGAATTTTTTCATTAAATCCAAATCCAATGAGATAATCTTCAAAGAATTAAAGGAGTGCTGCTCTTTAACGCTAAAGATAATAAATAAATTTAGTTCAATGCCTAGATGAAAACAATTCTCAGAATCAGGAGATCTTTATCTTTTACTACTTTTAAAGGAAACTTCTATCTAAAGTATGACCAGCTAAATATAAGCCATGAGAATACTTTCTATTTTTATACTTATAACCAGTCAATGATCTGCTGTGACATCGCATAGCATAACTATAATATATTTAATTGACTGTTGGAAGCAGAGCGCTTACTAGACCTTGAAATGCAATTTAGCGACACCTACGTCAAGAATAAATTCGTTTAATGTAACGCGTCACTATCTGTAATATATATTGTTAACATCGCGCTGAAGAAGAATCAAAAGATGATCTAAAACGTTCTCTTTTTGTTATTATAATGTGTTTTTTAATGAATTAATACTGAAAAGAAAAAGAAGTGTTGTTGCTTCTCTGCGCTCCAACTACCGCGCGTTCGCTCTTATGCCATTTTCTCTTTAATTTTTTAAATTATATTTATACTTTTTCGTCATAGGTTTTGTTATTAATGTTTTATGCATTTTTTTGAAACTTACCGATAGATTTTGGGATGATAGAAGTATTTGTAAGTGTAACTTCATCGACTTCTCGCTCATTTCTCACAATATTATCAGAATGACTCCGGTCAGATTTAAAATTTAGTATATGATGATCACTTTTCTCGGACATTGAAATATCCTTTATAAAGTGAACATATGAATTAAGTGAATATCGTTGAATCGATTGTTTCTGGTGCTTATAATTATAAAATTAAATGAAAAATTTCCATTCATTCTTTGTTTGCTTAATAATATCAGTTTGATATATATCATTCCTAAATGATATAAATTGAATGTGATGTAATTTTATTCATATTTAAAATCTATTTTTTATTTATTTTTTTAAAGACATCTTATATCTCAAACATAAATCATGTCAAAAATAAAATCAATCAATAGGTTAACGAGAGTCAATGAGGATTTATAACAGCTTTTAGTAATACAAGCGAAAGTATAGCTCTTTGGAATTATTAAAACAATTTTGTTTAACGATTTGTCTTTCTCACGATAGGTTAGTTAATTCTTCTGAATTTTACCGTAACTCATATTTCTTTTCAAAAAGAATCCCGCACTAACCTTATAGAAATTGGGACTCGACGGAATTTGATAAAATTTTGGGAAAAAATACAGTTCAACATTCTGATCAAAAGTTCTCATGGGACCAACTCGATGCGAAATGATATTTTGGCCTTGAAAGACCCCTAATGTGACACAACATCGGATAGACGGTAAAGAAAACTGTTACCTGAGAATATCATGAATTATGTTTTACACAGAAAAAAATTTGTGTTAAATTTAACATATTTCACATGTCCCAATTTATCCACTCTAATTTTAATGTTAATTTAACAGAAGGAAAGTATGTAAATAAATAACACAAGTAATATGTTTAAATATTAATACAAAAGTGTAACACTTAAACTTTATCTGGAAATAAAATTTATGTTAAATTAATATATTTATAATGTTAAATTTAATTAAAAGAAAATGTTATTTTTACATTTTTATGATAAATAACAGAAGAGATATGTCGATTTAACATATGGAAACTGTTATACAGACAAAAATATCACAATTTATGTGTTAATTTTAACATATAACATATTTCAAAATTTCATGCATTTACATATTAATTGTGTTGTTTTAACTCTTAGAAACGGTGAATACTAACTCAACGCAGAAATGTCAAAATAACGCAACGATAATATGTTACATTAACATAAGAGTATGTTAAAAATTTAACAGAAAAATTTTTACACGAAAAAATTTTAACAAAAAGTAATAAAGCTTTCTGTAAATTCAAAATTAAAGTGATCAATTAGGCGTAGAGAGCTGAAGTCCAAAATCAATAATGTAGATTAGTTAATCAAAATATATATTAATAATTCATAATACAAGCTCAAAACAAAACAGATATAATATATATAGATATTAAAGATGTGTGCTGATGTTTCGACTTACTTTTAAATCATCTTCATCGCAAATTTTGTAACGAAGATAGAGCATTTTATAAAAAAGTTCGCAGAGAAAGAAAGTAGTAAAATTAAACGCAGAAAGAATATAAACTAATCTTAAAGGAGATACAACTCCAAACGCAACGATTGTTCATAGTTAAATGTAGACAGCTTACTAATCTTAAAGGAGATAAAACTCCAGACGCAACGGTTGTTCATGGTTAATTGTAAACGGCTTCCAATTATTTGCATAAGTGAAACCACTCTCGTTTGGGTTAATTGGCCCAAAGTTGAGTATGGTTTCTTAGAAAATATTGCCATAAGGAACAAAGTTGAACATGTATGTCGTTAAAAGAATCATCTGATGAACAATTATGTTAACATTTTTAAAAAATTCTTCTGTATCACTTTTTCTTACGAAGGCAAGAATATAAATGTCATTTAACATTTTTAAAAAATTCTTCTGTATCACTTTCTCTTACGAATATTAATATTCTTGCCATCGTAAGAGAAAGTGATACAGAAGAATTTTTATATATAAGATAACATAATTGTTCATCAGATGATTCTTTTAACGACATACATGTTCAACTTTGTTCCTAATGGCAATATTTTCTAAAGAACCATACTCAACTTTGGGCCAATTAACCCAAACGAGAGTGGTTTCACTTATGGAAATAATTGGAAGCCGTTTACAATTAACCATGAACAACCGTTGCGTCTGGAGTTGTATCTCCTTTAAGATTACTAAGCTGTCTACAATTAACTATGAACAACCATTGCGTTTGGAGTTGTATCTCCTTTAAGGTTAGTACTAGTTTATATTCTTTCTGCGTTTAATTTTACTGCTTTCTTTCTCTGCGAACTTTTTTATAAAATGCTCTATCTTCGTTACAAAATTTGCGATAAAGATGACTTAAAAGTAAGTCGAAACGTCCGCACACATCTTTAGTATCTATATATATATTATATCGGTTTTATTTTGAGCTTATATTATGAATTATTAATATATATTTTAATTAACTAATCTACATTATTGATTTTGATCTTTAGCTCTCTACGCCTAATTGATCACTTTAATTTTGAAAAAATTTTAATAAATACAAAATGTTTTTTACCGTGTACTAAAGTTTTATTAATGTTTGTACTTCAAGAATAAAAAGGTTAAAAATATTGTTTCTTTATAGTTATTAAGTATTAATTATAGAATTACATAAATTCTTTTATTTATAATCTTGTCAAATTTTTTCTCGACTGTCGTCATATTTTTAACAAATAAATTCGGGAAATAATAAATTATATTATATTTTTATATAATTAATATTTATATAAAAAAGGCATAGAAAAATATAATAATATATTATATTTTTCTATGCCTTTTTATACATTTTTCACATGCAAATATATATAATTATAACGGATCTTTAAAATTTTTAAATAAAAATATAATTAGTAATGTTTAATTAATTCTATAACTATAATGTTTATATACAGGATGAGTCATTTTAATCAATACACTCGAATATCTCGAAAACAGCACTCTTCAGAAAGAAATGTTTCAAACAAAAATTGTAGGGTGTGAAGGGGGACATAAGATGGTAGCATTGGTTTGACCTTGGAAAGTCATTTGAAGGTCACATAAAAGTCACCTTCAATTTCTTAAATTGAACCCACTATTTTTCATTACATATTCTTGTAGCTTATCTCGAGAGCTTTCCAAAACACTACAGACAAATGTTTTTTCATTAAGTACTTTTTGAGTTATAAGGCTTCAAAGTTTGCAGTACTTCGATATAAAATGCAAAATATCTCGTAAAATATTTAGTTTTCGGTAGTCTTACCCTAATACTTTTATGCACAGGATAATGAGACAAAACTATTGGTACAAAGAAAACGCATGATTGTTTATAACAAAAAGTGCATTGCAAATTACACATTTTTTATTATAAACAATCATACGTTTTCTTTGCACCAATAGTTTTGTCTCATTATTCTGTGCATAAAAGTATTAGGGTAAGACTACCGAAAACTAAATATTTTACGAGATATTTTGCATTTTATATCGAAGTACTGCAAACTTTGAAGCCTTATAACTCAAAAAGTACTTAATGAAAAAACATTTGTCTGTAGTGTTTTGGAAAGCTCTCGAGATAAGCTACAAGAATATGTAATGAAAAATAGTGGGTTCAATTTAAGAAATTGAAGGTGACTTTTATGTGACCTTCAAATGACTTTCCAAGGTCAAACCAATGCTACCATCTTATGTCCCCCTTCACACCCTACAATTTTTGTTTGAAACATTTCTTTCTGAAGAGTGCTGTTTTCGAGATATTCGAGTGTATTGATTAAAAATACCCCATTATAAGAGTATAAAAAACATTTAAAATAAAAAAAGTGATTCGTAAGTAAAAGTTTAAAGTAATTTTGTATAAAAATATAATATTTTATGTTATGTGATTATGTTTAAATATAATTTTGCAATATATTATCTTAGACATGATTATCTTAGATATTGTAAACTTCTATTTATATCAAGCTTTTTAATTTAATTAAATGTTTCCAGGATATTCATCCAAAAACAAAAATATTTTATACGTAATATTATTAAATGGTTGCAATAACATTACATTCTTTCCTGTCTATACTATCTATCACTGTAATATTGCTACAATATTTCATTGCAAAAAACGGACATCTTAACTTCATCACAATCTTATAACAATAACTCAGCAGAGTTTCACAATCGATTTGCAATATTGTAATGTTTCAATGAAATTGTTCTTCAACATATTCGCAATCTTATTGTAGTGTATAGGTATCTTCGTTTGCTTACCAAGTGTTGAAAAAATAAATCTTTCATCAGCCGGCCATGTAAAATTTTCCTCATATTCGGGATATCTTAATATCAAGCGAAACTTGTATAAAGTTCCCGATTGTAAATTTTCGATATAGTATATTATTTGTTTGTTATAATTCATTTTAACATAATTTATTGTTTGCCACTTTTCTGTTGCATTCTTTTTGTACTCTAATGTAGGAGGAATCGTCAGATTGATGTTTGAGATCCAGGAAATGTCCATGCTATTTATGTCAACCTCGCTCAAAGTAATATTGTTTTCGATTTAGTTTAATTCACGCGCTAGCTGAAATAATCGCGTTTCATTTTCCATAGTTATAAACAAATAGACGAGGGTAGTATCGGTGTGGGGCTGAATAGCTCAGTGGTAAGAGCAGTCGCCCGGCAAACGAAAGACTCGGGTTCGATTCCCGATTCAGCGACTTCGCCCCGATATTTTTCTCGTCTCTTCAGGGGGGTAAAGAGGGTTTTATAGAATTTCTCAAAAATGAGAATCTATATCTTGGTTAAATGCACCAAGTAAAATATATGCATATGCCGTGTTTTCGTTTAAAATTTCGCGTACAATTAAAAAGAATTTTTCAGGCATTTACCATCCGCTGTGGCTCGTAGACGCTAGTTTTCTTATCATGTTATTTAATATTGTTTGGTTCTGAATATTTGTGAACGGTCTTTCTTAAACTCTTGTTGTAGAAATCGCTGAAATTATTTGGAAATACACGCACGTATATCAAATAATCTTGTACCGGTAGCGACAAGTTAATCTTTGTGAAAAATCTGCCGTCTGCCGTACGTTTTGGCACATTGATAAATTGTTTGCCCTTTTGTTGCGTGTCGTTCACTAATGTAACTGACTTCCAATGCACCTTGTAGGTCACGGCCACGCAGTTCAATTCCTTGGGTGGCATCCAATGAACTACTGCTATAGTAGGCGTCAAAGCAAGAACACTTACGTCTGTTGGTTCATTAAGCTTGCCCGACTTAGTTTTTATTGGTATCACATTCGAATCGAATGGATTTATTGATAATTGATCAAAGTAAAAATTGCTTAAAGTAAACTTCAATTGGTACTCTGTAAATGGTGTCAAGTTCTGAATCACGTAATATCGTTCGACCGTCTGCACATTGAATTTCTGAGACTTGTTGACATCGTTGTCTAAACAATGGCTTACAGAGATAGTATACATAGTAGTTGGTAAATTATATTTTTTGCATCCACTTTTTACAACCGCCTCCGGAAGATTCACAACGATGCTGTTTGCCGTTGCATTCACATTTTCAAAATTATAAACTTTTTCGTCAGGTGTCAGACATCTCATTGGAGGATATGGTTGTAAAGATTTGTCAAAAGCGTAAATATTATTAAATGTTTCATGTGACCTTATTATTACCTTTTCAACATATTCGGCTGCATTTACGTTTTCGAGATCTACATATTTTTTTTTAAATTTGTAGATATGATTAATATACTGTTCAGATGCTAAAATATAAATGTTTGTTTTGTCAATCGCCATAGAATCGAAGGAGATGTTATACCTATATTTTTCTTGTTTAAAATCGTATTGCACATAGAACCGTTAATGTCTGTCACAAATATGTGTAGAGAACTTAACGAGTAAATTAATGGCTCCTCACTATTCATATCATCAATTATCATATGAAAAGAAATTTTGTAATGGCAAAAGGATGCATTTATTCGACCAATTTCCTCGATTTTTCCATCGAAATTATATTTCATTATACCATATTCTTTCGTGAAATTGCATGAAATGTAATATAAAATTCTAAAAAATATGTAATTATTTTACTCATTATAAAACATTATTTTAACAAAAACAGAAACTTAGATGTAATGAAAATTCGAAATTCTTATAATTATATAATAATTTATTATTTTTTTTACTTATGATCTTAATTATAAAACCATGTAAAATTATAGAAAAATTACAAATTTGCATAAATCTTTAATGGAAAATTATTTTTTCAGATGAACTTTAGTAAACGTACCTCATAGACGGTGATACACTTAAATGACAAATTTCATTTCTTGATTCTAAAATCTTATCAAATTTAATTATGCCATTTTCCCACATTGTTAAGTCGAACTTTACAATATAAGATAAAGAATAATATTCCTTTTCAGAGGATATATATATAGATTTCTTGCTACTCAGTCAATGCAAAGTTTACGTGGACGAAAATCAAGGCTAGTTATTTTTGTGATATTATTTTCATTAATTTTCGATGTCATTAAGTCATTTCGTGATAGCCAATAAATTCTATGTTCCTGTATCGAATAAGCAGCATGTTTTACTGATCTGAAATTAAAGAGTTATATTCTATTACTAATCTGAGAAAAAGGAACTATAATTGTAAAGCAAAAAATTATAGTTGAGACTTCTAATTTTATAGTTATTACTACTGATATTGATAATAATAAACCTGTGCATAATAATAATAACTTTAACTTTATAGTTAGTATTAAAAATAATTTATGATAATTATAACTATTTTTTTATTAGTATACATACCCAAACATTAAGAAATCAATAATTGTAATGTTTAAATCCAAGAACCAATCAGTAATGTAATTTAAATCCACGTCCAAAATGTGGATACCTTTATTCGATGTGACTAATAATTTAGGTATTGGATTTTCATGTGTAGTCGACACATTGATTAAATCCGTGTAAGGACCAGCAACAATTTTAGTATGCGCACGTACTCGAAAATAATATGTCGTGTTAGATGTTAGATTGTGCACCGTGTGCTCCAATTTTGTAGTTGTGATATTTTTATCATCGCAGGTTTCTCTAAAGTCCTCGAAGAAAGAACACTGCACTTGGTACTCTTGTATTATTTCATCTGTAAATCCAGATTGGTTCCATCTGTAAAATAATAAAATTTTAACCATTTTATATTTAACAAAGTTATAACAGAATTAACATTTTGATATATTTATGTTGTTGAATTTAAGAAAAAGAGAAAAAAAATGAAAGAATACAAACTAAGAATTTTACCTCAATGTCACAAAAATGTCGTTTACTTTTTCTGTAAATTGACTGTCAAATTGTACAAATGCTCTGAGAGATGTTGGCTTGCTCAAACTGCTTTCTAGAGATTTTAAGATCGTACATATTAACATAATTATATATAAGATTAAGTGGATTATTTCAGTAAATTGGAAAAAACAATTTAATATAAAAATAAAGAAAGAAAATAAAGAGAAAAAATAAATATAAATTTCCAAATATGGAAATTAGTACAATATTGACCTTTAAAAAGATAATATAAAAATTTTTTGTGTCATTTAAAATTTAGAAAAGTAATCGTTAATTCATGGCAGAAACGAATAAATAACTTCTAATAAAGTGACAAGTACTTTTCGAAAAATTCTTATATCTTAAGAAATTAGAAGTACAATATTTGCAACTGTTTTGAAACAGAGGGGCAAATTAATAAAATTGACTTTACCTTAAATTATGACAATTTTTATGTACAATGTTATGTTTATATTATGCTTTTCTATTTCTCTTTTGGACGGAATTAGAATTTATATTCTTCTCATTACTGGAAGATATTTTTAGATTTGATTTCCACTATCTCTTCAATTTAAATTATATTTAATAATTAGAGATTTGGCTCAAGCAATCAAAAAATTAAAAAGAAAATGGCATAAGAGCGAACGCACGGTAGTTGGAGCGCAGAGAAGCAACAATACTTTTTTTTTTTTTCAATATTAGTTTATTAAAAAACACGTTATAATAACAAAAAGCGAACATTTAGGATTATTTTTTGATCTTTCTTCAACGCGATATTAACAATATATAATATGATACAGATAGTGATGCGTTACATTAAACGAATTTATTCTCGACAGGTAGGTGACGCCAATTACATCCCGCGGAAATCTAGTAAACGCTCTGCTTTTCAACAGTCAATGACCTGCTGTGACGTCGCACAGCATAACTATAATATATTTAATTGACTGTTGGAAGCAGAGCGCTTACTCGACCTTGAAATGCAATTTAGCGTCACTTACGCGTCGAGAATAAATTCGTTTAATACATATAACGCATCACTATCTGTAATATATATTGTTCACATCGTGCAGGAAACGGATCAAAAGGTGATCCAAAACGTTCTCTTTTTGTTATTATAATTGTTTTTTAATAAACTAATATTGAAAAGAGAAAGAAGTGTTGTTGCTTCTCTGCGCTCTAACTACTGCGCGTTGGCTCTTATGGCATTTTCCTTTTAATTTTTTAAATTATATTTACACTTTTTCGTCATAGGTTTTGTTATTAATGTTTTATGCATTTTTTTGAAACTTACCGATAGATTTTGGGATGATAGAAGTATTTGCAAGTGTAACTTCATCGACTTCTCGGTCATTTCTCACAATATTATCAGCATGAATCTGGTCAGATTTGAAATTTAGTATATGATGATCACTTTTCTCGGACATTGAGATATCCTTCATAAAATATAACATACAAGAAGAATTAAGTGAATATCGTTGAAGTGGTTGTTTGTTTTAATAATAAATTATATAAATTATAAAATTAAACGAAATATTTCCATTTGTTCTTTGTTTGCTTAATAATACTGGTTTGATATATATATCATTCCTAAATGATATAAATTGAATGTGATGTAGTTTTATTCATATCGTAAAATCTATTTTCTATTTATTTTTTTAAAGACATCTTGTATATCAAACATAACTCATGTCAAAAATAAAATCAATAGATTAACGAGAATCAATGAGAATTTATAACAACTTTTAGCAAGTAGTACAAGCGAAAGTGTAGCTCTTTGGAATTGTTAAAACAATTTTGTCTAACAATTTGTCTTCTTTCCCATGATAAGTTAGTTAACTCTTCAATTTTATCGTAACTCAAATTTCTTTTGAAGAATTTGCCGTTATTAAAGTTTTATTAATGTTTGTATTTCAAGAATAAAAAGGTTAAAAATAGTGTTTGTTTACAGTTATTAAATATTAATCATAGAAATTATATAAATTCTTTTATTTATAACCTTGTCAAGTTTTTTCTCGATTTTCGTTATATTTTAACAAACAAATCCAAGAAATAATAAATATAAACCGATAGTATAAACCAATAATGCCTCGATAAGAATATGTGCATATAATTAAACTTCTGGACAGGAATATAGATAAAATATGTAATTTATTACCATTCATTTTTAGTTACACTACTGCAATAACATTCAATTGTTTTTTAATCAAGCGAAAAACATCTGTTACCTGCGTGAAATTTAAATCCGGACACATGGAAACACTTTCTTCCTGGAGGATGTTTTGAAATGGTATAATCCTTTGGCGTGATAGTTGTCTTTGTCAGTACTAAACCTTTCAATAAAACACATAAAATTGTTCCAAACATAATTTGCATTTTTCGTAAACGTTTGCACTCAATCAGTTTTCGTGGAATCCTCAGTTAGTTGTTTTTCTCACTCTACTAATTCTGATGTGTTAATCGAATTGATATTAATTCATATATATAAATATATTTTTAAATAGAACTTCGAGATATATCGAAAACGCGCACCAAAAAGAAAGACTGTCGCATATCGCGTTAAATAAATAAATACTCTTAGGAAACACAGGAACTTTAATGCGAACACAGAACACACACGAACAACAGATTAATAACACAACGGATTAATACCACTATAATGGCTCGTATATGAAAACGCGTCCGGATAGCTTGACAGCTGTCTCTCGACTCAGCTATTCTTCTCCTATTAACAAGCCTTGACAACCAGATATTCATCCTTTGCAATGCCGATTGACAAATTGATATTTCATCACAGTTACTTTTAAGGTCAATTTTAAAATTGACAGAGGCACCTTTAGAAAAGACGTTTGATACAAAAGTTTCTTATTTTTTCACGTACAATTCGAATCTGTAATAAATAGTATCATGTTCCCCTAAAAAAATTCAACTTCTGATCTGGATGGCGTATTATATATTTCCGGTCGGAATCAAAAGTTAAAAATATTACCATTTGATGGAGCGATTTACTTAAAAATTGTTGGTGATTTTTGATAAAAGCCATTTATTTTTATTTTAAAAGAAATGTACGGATGATCTGAGACACCCTGTATATATATATATATATATATATATATATATATATATATATATATATATATTTCCGATAAATTCTTTCAAACTCGGTTTTAACGTATCACAATCGTTGTCGTACTATACATATTACAATACGTACATTTATTAGCATCTTGAATTATTCTTAAAAAGAATGTCTTTAATTACCAGATCAAAATAATTATTCCTCAATGAAGAAGTCATAAAATCTATGCTAGCGCGAGGATGATCAATTGTATTCAGCATTCTGCATAATTGAGAAAATCACAAGATAGATTTTAAAAGATATTATAATCTATTTTATGTATATATTCCAATTATGAATAATTATTATTATTAATTAATAATTAATTACTGATTAAATTATTATTATTAACTAGTATATTCTACTAGCATATTCTTTTTGTAAAAATCAATTCTCTGGAAATTAATTATTACTATACTACATATATTACTATATATATTATTTTATAAATTATCGAAAATTAATAATAATTAATTTCAACACAAACTTACACATTTTATATTTTACATTTTACCAGAACCGGTTTTCTTGAGTTGATTAAAAACCAGAATTTTTCTATTTATAAGTAAATATCTTTTTTTTCGAGATAACAATTTTATTTTATTTTGTATTTTTACTTTGTATTTTTGAAGAACGTTGTTATTTCTCGTCAATTTCGCGAAATTTCACGAGCAAACGAGACTTCGGACAATGATTTAATTGAGTTAATGCTAATGTTTTTTATTTATCTTTGCGGAATTCGAAATTTTAATAACAGAAAAGAAGCGATCTTGTATCTTTTTAAGTTTACGAGAACGATATTTTTATTTTAGGAAAATATTTGATATAAGAGAAGATCTTATCATGTATAAAAATTTTCTTAGGATCCTTCCTCTTTACAAATCGGTCCTTCGCAGCACTCTGGGAAAGGCTTGCTGGGATCCACGTCGCGATAACCGATTTGCTTCCCTTCCGGACATTGGTATAAAGGACACCTGAAAAGAAACAATAATAATAATATTAGAAATAATAATAATAATAATAATAATAATATAAATATTAGAATAATATAAATATTCTAATATAAGTATTAGAATAATAATTATGATAATAATAATAATAATAATAATAATAATAATAATAATAATAATAATAATAGAAATAATAGAAATAATAATAATTGAAATTGTCGAAATTCAACGAAATTAGAAAACAGATAAAGTAAAATTGAAAATAGATAAATAATTTTGTAGAGAAAACTTTATTTATTAAATAGAGATATCATTAGTGTTATTATATTTATTAGAAGAAAAAGATGTAAAATTTGCAAATGTTAAATAATATATAAGATATCTTCCTTATTTTATGGAGTATCATCTTGTTACAGTATAACTAAAAAATAAACTATAGTCTCTTTAATTTATTGACAAATAAATCGTGCTCTAGAAATCATATACTTTCTCTGCGTCGTAATCTCAAGTAGATTCTTTTCGATTATTATTTTTTAATTGTTTTTAAATTAGATGATCAATCATGTATCAATTATCGTTGTTGCACATTTCGTAGAAATCTATTTTTGCAATCAATTGCAAAGTGAAGGGTCGGGATAACCGGTTATTAAAAGTTCGTTATATAAGAACCGGTTTTCTTGAATAGAAAAATAAATGCTCAAAAACGTCAATTAAAAGCAACGTGATTTTTTCTTTCAGGATATCACAAAGTTTTAATGTAATGAGAAGATATTTTAAGAAGGATTACTTTGATAGATAAAATCTGGACTTACGCAAGTAATGATATTGAACCTTGCGGGTAACAAGTAATGCGTAAACATCGACGAATGTGTTCACCCACACTTAGAGTCTCGTTCTCAAACAGACAGTTACCTATGTAAATAAAATCCTGGTATTATATATTTACCTATGGGAATAAAATCCTTACTGGTATATTTATCTATGGGAATAAAATCCTATAGTAGAAAGGTGTCATCCACTCGTATAACATATTAATTAGAAATTAGAAATTAGAATTATAAATTAACTCATAAATTAGAATTTCGTCACATCCGGAGATCAATATCTCTTCTGCATTATATCTTTCTATCATCAAATTATCGCAAACTTACCCAGGACGGTATAAGCGAACACGCATACGAGCAACAAGATTGTGAAACGTTTCTTCATCATTTTTCTTTTCTTACTTAGAAAGACATCAGGAAGCGAAGGCGACAGTCAGACTAATTGTAAAAAATATCTCTTCAGCTCTTATATATTGTCCCTCTCCTCCATATATACAGGATGTTTCATAATAAGTGTGAAAAATTTTAGGAGATGATTCTTTGTCAAAAATTAAGGGAGATTTTTCATATAAACATATACTCCTATCCCTACCCTGTCGAGTTACACTCCTCCAAAAATGGGGGTAAAAATTAAATTTTTTTAGGTTTTTAGGTTTTTATTATAATTTTGTTTTTGTTCCATTTTTCCCAACATTTATTCTAATTTTATTTTTATTTTAAAATTTAAAATAAAATTTCTCGTAATTCAAAACCTATGTTATTTAACATCGTGTTGTGCACGATAACATACTTTATTTTTTTTCTTGAAAACTACTGATTTTATGAAAAAAAATAAAAAAAATAAAAAAGTTTCTAAATAAATCAAACTTTTTAATGCATATTTTTAGATGATTATATTCCGGCCTTTAAAAAGTTCTAATAAAAAATTGAATAAGAGTTTCTAGTTTTATCATCTTATAACAATACTGGAAGCTGAAAAAATATTAATAAATAATCTTTTTACTGGTAAAAAACATCCACCTAATTTCATTTTTTTAACTTGTTCCAAATTTGAAAAAAAAATAAAAATCTAATTTTCACCTCCATTTTTGGAGGAGTGTAACTCCACAGGAAAAGATGTAGGAGTATATGATTATATGAAAAATCACCTTCAATTTTCGACAAAGAATCATCTCCTAAAATTTCTCGCACTTAAGAAACACCCTGTACATACATATTTTACTTTATTTCTATAATAAAAAAACAAGCGTAGACATTTCAAGGCTTGAGTGAGGAATACATATGGAAATTATGCTTAATTAAAAAACTACTATAATTATCTATATTTATGAGATGACTTCTCCAGCAAAAATTTATTAAGATTTAGAAGCCAATAATATTTACATAAATGTATTTTTATCTCTTTAATCTTGCCGAACAAGAAATGGAAATGTACATATACAAAACATCAAGAAAATACAAAGATCCGCAAACAACTTTGCTTTATAAATGTGGAATTTAATCATCCCAATAGAATTACTCATTATATGCTCTTTATCAACTATTTACAACATGTGCATATTTTATATTATATATATATAAATTTTAATTATATTTTGTTATATCAAAGTTGTTCTACAAAACATAAATAATCCTATAGTGATAAGATAGATGGTGTGCAGTTGGTGAGAAATGGAGAATTTTGCTTCTTGTTTTCGGTATTTATTATTCTACTAGCTAGATTTGAATTATTCTTTTTTTTATGTGCCACACTGTAGATCATTTTATCTTATTCGATGATAAAGATTCCAATAAAATGTTCAAGTACTTCAGTCCTTAACATTTATTTGATATACAACGAACATAATCAGTTTATATTCGCATCATAATTAGGAAGAATTTTATTTATTCGCGCAATAGATATGTATTTTTCTTATCATCTTCATTTTTCATCCCATGAATAAATTCGTCTCGCGCGCGCCTGCGGTTTGTTTACATCGCATGCAAATATCGTAATCCTACTGATTCTAAATCTTGTACACAATTCGAAAATCTCCGTGATATAAATTTTGTAAGAACAATTTAATAAAATAAATAATATAAACTTTATCTATTAAAATAAATGGGAGAAATAAATTTTTTCCATAAAAATATGCTTTAAAGCTCAAGGTATAATAATTAATTGGAAAATATCAATCACTCTATGCATTAGGGAGGTATACCTTATTTTTATATTTATTATTTTTATATTTTTTCAACCTATATCTCTAAAGCTATTTGAGTCCGACCCTTATTTATACAGGGTGTTCTAATAAAATATGTCAAAAATTTAAGGAGATATTCATCACACCTGAAAGATGAAAAAATGTTATATGGACATAGGTGCGGAATAGGTGCTCCTTAAATTTTTAGCATACCTTATTAGAACACCTTGTATATACGAAATTACTCGGGAAGATCTCTCCTATAACATATTTAAAAATAAAGCAAATCGGTAAACAAATAAAGTAGAATCTTTATGTCAATATTTCTCACATTTATTTGTTAATAATTTTTGAATAAAGAACGACCGCAGGCTAAACCTTCAGAATGTTAATCAGGCATAACATCTTCACAATACAACATACGTCAATAACACATTTGTGCGAAGGTGAACCCTTTTTATGCATAATTACCTTTAATTTTTTTACCATTTAATATATTCTGCGATATAAAAAATTAGAATAATCTTTAAAAAAGTGTTCCGCAAATCAGCATAAACGGTCTGTAGATAGAAGTAAGATATGAAATTATGGAGTATCCAAAATGTTTATATCTCGAATAAAATATCTGTAGCTGCTTATTGCAAATTACATTTTTTTTTCTTAAATATGTTTCTATTCTACCAATGGATTCCTTTCATTGTTTTGTGCATACAAATATTGAGGTAAGATCAGAAAAAGAATATATTCTAGTTTATATAAAATTAAGAAATTCTTTCACGTCTCATAACTCGAAAAGTAATTAAATTCCGCACACAAATATAATTGCAACTATTAGATTTCGCTTCGATTACTCAAAAATACAAATTAGATGTATTAGATATATTAGATTGTATTATTTGATTTTATACAATTATGAAAACGGATGTGGTATTTTTTAATAATAATCAAAATTTTATGGAAAATAAGATTACAAAATTTCTTATATTTTCATTGATATATCTATTATTAAAATTAAACCCAAAAATAACAGAATCAATTTAGAAAGATTATAGAAACATTTTTTTTACATTAAGATTTATTGAATCGTTTGAAAAACAAGATAAACATTAATTTAATTCTATCGGCTAAATCGTATCGACCGGACTCAGTAGGGCATCTTCCATGTTCTTTCTTAATGCTATAATACTTTCCAGACAAAATTTGAAATTTGGTCTAGCATCCGCTGCACTCCAGCAACGTAGCATCAATTGGTACAATGGTGACGGACAGTTAAGAGTCATCGGCAACCTGCCTCCATTACGTACATAACTTATCACTTCTTCATGAGTTTTGGTAACATAAGGTTGCTCACCCAACGATGTAATTTCCCACATTAATACCCCAAATGACCAAACATCGCTTTGAGAAGTAAATATTCTGAGCATCCAAGATTCGGGTGCCATCCAGCGAATAGGAAGCAAACCTTGTCCTTTCTAAAACATGATTTTAACAAAAATTTAATTTTCTGGTTCAAGTTGTTCATTTTTAGAATATGTACAAATAAAAAACGTTCATTCATCTCTTGCTATATATAAATAAAAACTATTTATATTCTATATTACTTAAAGAAACAATGCACGATACTATTATGATAAAAAAATGGAAAGCATTTTCAAAAGAATTCAATTTTTAATCATTATCTTTTATTAATAATTGTATTTACCACACGATAATAATCATTCTTGTAGATATCTCTAGCTAGTCCAAAATCTCCAATTTTGATGACACGATCCTCGCGATTTCTCGAAGATACTAAACAATTACGACACGCTAGATCTATATGTACGCAACGCAACTCTTCCAAGTAACAACAACCTCGCGCAACATCTTCGCACATGGCAAGCAAATCTTGCAAACGCAGAGCAAGCGAATCTGACGGTTCCAAATTTCGACAGTCTCTCAAATATTTTAAAAGATCACCAGTTTCCATCAATTCCAACACTAGTAACGGAGAATCCCCATCTAAACAAACGGCCAACAATCTTAATATATGTTTGTGTTGAAAATATTTCATAAGCTCGGCTTCCTTTAACAATTTCTTTTTCTCATCGAAAGAAGCATCTTTTTTAACCGTTTTTATTGCAACGGATGTCTCTGTTCCCGAACCTTCTAAGTTCTTCACCTTTCCTTGATACACCTGCAAAATATTTCACACAAATTTACATGCGTACTTCATTAGAAAGTGTATAGTTAAATGTCAAGTAATATTACATTTTACTTTATATTAAATAATTCAATGAAAAATATATAATAAAGTGCATGTTTGTTATCTCATCTAAATTTTATATTATTTATAATCTATTATAAAAATTCATGTAAATGTAATTTATATCTTTATTAGAAAATATATATCTGTTTTGTTGATCCAGAAATTAATTTGAAACATTGCTTGAAAAAATTAATTTTTACCATTCCGAATGCGCCGCTACCAATACGTTTTGTAAGTGTAATTTGTTTACGTGCAATTTTTTGTATCGCACATTCATTCAGATTACAATGTAACATAGGATTGTAAATTATATTGAATTGAGTGTTTCCGTAAGGTTCTTCACGTAGAATCTCCAATTCTACATCGGTCAATGTTAAAAATTGGTCGTTATTACTTCTGCGTTGACGATACACTGTTATAAAATTTCGACTTAATTATGTAATAATATGTATTATAAAATCTACTGTTTTTTAGTAAATTTATTCGTTTAGTTTTATATAAGTAAATTACTATTTTATACACTAAATTACTATTTTTCTAATTTTTTAGATCTGATATCAGATATATATATATATATATATATATATATATATATATATATGTATAATCTACAATTCAAGTCAATACCTACATCAAATATACTTACAACGATAAAAGTAGTAGATGCAGATTATAGTAACTATTACGATAAAACTTAACAACAGTAGTAAGTAAAATTCTTTCGCTATTATTGCTGGTGTGCTCGGAATATCTATATTAAGCAAAAATATAATTTTAATATCTTCGTATATGTATGTTTTTACAAATTGATTTTTACTTATAACTTTATTACAAAAATTTAATTTTTTTTAATTTTAGGCCTATTCATATTTGAAAAAATTAACACATAATATTATAACATCTATGCAGCATAGAATGTTACCACTATTTTGCAACAATATTGCAATATTACAAATTGCAATGCAACATTATGGAAACATGTAGAAATATAAATTAACAAAGTATGAATTAAACATTAGCAATATGATACTTATATTTTAGAAACGTTTTAACTCTAACTCTAACTTTAACTCTTTTTAATTTATTTATAAAAATAATAATATATTTGTAATAATATATTTTAATAATATATTATGTAATAATATATTTTTTATATTTGTATATATGCGATAAATTTTACTTTTTTGCAGAAGTCAAATGAAATAATAACACAGAAATAATATCAGTCGAGTAAATATAATTCCAAGCTAAAAATAAGCATTGCTGCTTTTTATTAAAATGTAGCTAACATGTTATATTAATGTTTTAATATATTTTATAATATATTTTCACTTTATGTACGAATACGATATTAATCTTCAAAGATAATATATTTTTTTATTATATTAAGTATATAAATACTATTATATATGTCATTATATTTTTCTATGCATTTTTATGTATTTTTCACATGCAAATATATATAATTATAACGGATTTTTTAAATTTTTAAATAAAAATATAATTAGTAATGTATAATTAATTCCATAACCAATACGTATATGTACGTATGTGTGTATAAAATATCCATTATAAGAGTGTATAGAACATTGAAAATAAAAAATGTGTTTCGTTAGTAAGAGTTTAAAATAATTTTGCATAAAAATATAACATTTTATGCATTTATATGATTATGTTTAAATATAATTTTGCAATATATTATCCTAGATGTGATTATCTTAGATATTGCAACCTTCTGTTTATATCAAGCTTTTTCATTTAATTAAATGTTTCCAAGATATTCATCCATTGACTAAAATATTTTATACATAATATTATTAAATGGTTGCAATAACATTGCATTCTTTTCAATATATTACACTGTAATATTGCTACAATATTTCATTGCAAAAAGCGGACATCCTAACTTCATCACAATCTTAAAACATAATAATAGAGTTACGCAATCGATTTGCAATATTGCAATGTTTCAATAAAATTATTCTTCAATATATCCATGCAATCTTACTGTATCTTCGTTTGCTTACCAAGCGTTGAAAAAATAAATCTTTCATTAGCCGACCATATAAAGGTTTCCTCATATTCGATGTATCTCAATAGCAAGCGAAACTTGTATAAAGTTGCCGATTGTAAATTTTTGACATGGTATAGTACTTCATTGTTATAATTTATTTTAATAGAATTCATTGCTTGCCACTCTTCTGCTTCAATATCTTTGTACTGTAGTGTAAAAAAGATCGTCAGATTAATGTTTGAGATCCATGAAATGTTCATGCTATTTATGCTGACGTTGCTCAAAGTAATATTGTTGGGTTCTGAGTATAAATGAACGATCTTGCTTAAACTCTCGTTGTAGAAATCGCTGAAATTATTTGGATACACACGCACGTATATCAAATAATCTTGTACCGGTCGCGGCAAGTTAATCTTTGTGAAAAATCTGCCGTCTGCCATACGTTTCGGCGCATTGATAAGTTGTTTGTTCTCGTGTTGCGTGCCGTTCACTAATGTAACTTGCACTTCATAAGTCACGACCGCACAGTACACTTTCTTAGGTGGTATCCATTGAACTGCTGATATAGTAGGCGTCAAAGCTAGAACACTTATGTTTTCTGGTGCATTAAGCTTGCCCGAATTAGTTTTTATTGGTATCACATTCGAATCGAATGGATTTATTGATAATTGATCGAAGTAAAAATTGCTTAAAGTAAACTTCAACTTGTACTCTGTAAATGGTGTCAAGTTCTGAATCTCGTAATATCGGTCGGCCGTCATGACATTGAATTTCTCAGACTTGTTGAGATTGTTGTCTAAACAGCTTATGAAGATAGTATATATAGTAGTTGGTAAATTATATTTTTTGCATCCACTCTTTACAACCGGCTCCGGAAGATTTACAATGATGCTGTTTGCTGTTGCATTCACATTCTCAAAATTGTAAACTTTTTCGTCAGGTGTCAGACATCTCATTGGAGGATATGGTTGTAAAGATTTATCAAAAGCGTAAATACTATAAAATTCATTTTTCTTATCTGAATTTATTATTATCTTTGCAATATGTTCAGCTGCATTTACGCTCTCGAGACTTGCATATTTCTTTTCCAAAACGTAAAGAGTAAATTCAGACGAATATTCGTATATACTTGCTAAAATGTAAATGTTTGTTTTGTCAATCGTTATAGTTTGGAAGTGGATGTCATCACTTATGTTTTTCTTGTCTAAAATCGTGTTGCACATAGAAACGTTAATGTCTGTCACACGTATATACTCATCATTAAACCAGTAAACTAACGGCTCCTCATTTATGTAATCAGTCATCATACCGATAGGATCTCTATAATGAAATAGGCAAAAGGATGCATTTATCCGATCAATTTGAATGTTTTCCCCATCAAAATGACTTTTCATTATATCATATACTTTATCCTTCGAATCGTATGATGGGTGATATAAAATTCTAAAAAATATGTAATTATTTTACTCATTATAAAACATTATTTTAACAAAAACAGAATCTTATATGTATTGAAAATTCGAAATTCTTCCAATTATATAATAACTTATTATATTTTTTACTTATAATCTTAATTATAAAATTACTTAAAATTATAGAAGAATTACAAATATGCATAAATCTTTAATGAAAAATTATTTTTTAGGTAAACGATAGTAAACGTACCCCATAGACGGTAATACATTTAAACGGTCATTATCATTTATTGATTTAAAAATCTCATCATATTTAATTATGCCATTTTCCCACATTGTTATGTCGAACTTTACAATACGAGCGTAACTGTCTGAGTCTCGATATTTGAAATATAGATTTCTTGCTACCCAGTCAATGCAAAGATTATATAGATGATTTTCAAAGCTAGCCATCTTTGTAACATCATTTTCATTAATCTCCAATTTCATTAGGTTTCTTCCGGATATCCAATAAATTCTATTGTCTTGCATCGAAAAAGCGACCCGTTCTATTATTATTCTGGAAAAAAAGAGCCAAATATAATTATATATAGTAAAAAAATTAAAATTATATATAGTAAAAAAATTATAGATAAGATTTCTAATTTTATAGTTATTACTGCTATGATGTTGATAATAATAAACTTATGCATAATAATAATAACTTTAATTTTATAGTTATAATAATAATAACTTTTATAGTTATAATAATAATAACTTTAATTTTATAGTTAGTATTAAAAATAATTTATAATAATTATAACTATTTTTTATCAGTATACGTACTCTGATGTTACGAAATTAGTAACGTTTAAATCCACGTCCAATATTTCCATACCTAGACGCGTTGCGAGTAATAATTTAGGTATTGGATTTTCATGCGTAGTTGACACATTGATTAAATCCGTGTAAGGACCAACAACAATTTTAGTATGCGCACGTACTCGAAAATAATATGTTGTGTTAGATGTTAGATTGTGCACCGTGTGTTCCAATTTTGAAGTTGTGATATTTTTATCGTCGCAAATTTGAATCTCTTTTAAGTCCTCGATGAGAAAACATTGCACTGTATATCCTTGTATTATTTCATCGGTAAATTCAGGTTGGTTCCATCTAAAAACATAAAATTTTAGTCATTTTACATTTAACAAAATTATAACAGAATTAAAATTTTGATATATTTATGTCGTTGAATTTAAGAAAAAGAGAAAAAAATGAAAGAATACAAAGAGAATTTAGATTCCTTACCTCAATGTCACAAAAATGTCATTTACTTTTTCTTTAAATTGACTGTCGAATTGTACAAATCCTCGGAGAAATGTTGGTTTGCTCAAACTGCTTTCTAAAGATATTATGATCGTACACATTGACATAATTATATATACGGTGTTAAAAAAGTCTGGACACGGTCGAATATCTCGATAAGGAAAAGTTTTACTAGAAAGTTTCAGACAAAAATATGCCTTCGATGGGGATATAAGACGGTGCCATTACTTTGACCATTAACAGTCACCTGAAGATCACGTGAAGATCATCTCCAACTTTTTAAATAGGAAACCCTATATACTTTTGCATATTCTTTAGCTTATCTTGAGAGCTTTCCAAAACACTATAATTCAGTATCTTTTCGTTAAGTACTTTTTGAGTTATAAGGCTTAAAATCATTTCTTAATTTTACATAAACCATAAAATATTTAGTAAAATTCATTTTTCGATTATCTTACCTTAATACTTTTATGTACAAAATAATGAGAGGAATCAATTGGAGTCAATTGTAAAGAAAACATACAGTTGTTTTTAAGAAAAAATATGGAATTGTTAATTAGAAATTACATATTTTTTCTCCGAAACAATTATATGTTTTTTTTACACCAATCGATTCCTCTCATTATTTTGTGTATAAATGTATTAAGGTAAGATAATCGAAAGATGAATTTTGATATTTTACAAGATATTTTACGGTTTATGTAAAATTAAAAAATCATTTTAAGCCTCATAACTCAAAAAGTACTCAGTGAAAAAATACTTTATTATAGTATTTTGGAAAGCTCTTGAGGCAAGCTATAAGAATATGCAAAAGTATATAGGATGTCCCATTTAAAAAGTTGGAGATAATCTTCACGTAACCTTCAGGTGACTCTTCAAACTCAAACTAATGGCATCGTCCTATGTCCCCCTCGAAGCCATAAAACTTTTGTCTAAAACATTTTCTAGTAAAACTCTTCCTTATCGAGATATTCGACCGTGTCCAGACTTTTTTAACATCATGTATATGACTAAGTAAATTATCTCAATAAATCAGAAAAAAACGATTTAATGTAAAAATAAAGGAAAGAAAAAAAATAAATATAAACTACAAAATATAGAAATTAGCACAGTGTTGATTTTTAAAAAAATAATATAAGAATTTTTGTCATTTAAGATTTAGAAAAGTAATCGTCAATTCATGGTAAAAACGAATAAACAACGTTTCCTAAAATGACAAATACTTTTCAAAAAATTCCTATAGCTTAAGAAATCGGAAGTATAATATTTGCGACTGTTTTAAAACAGAGTAGCAAATTAATAAAATTAACTTTAACGTACTCGAAAATAATATGTCGTGTTAGATGTTAGATTGTGCACCGCGTGTTCCAATTTTGTAATTGTGATATTTTTATCATCGCAGATTTGAATCTTTTTACTCTTTATCTCTTAAATTATGACCATTTTTATGTACAATGTTATGTTTATATTATGCTTTTCTATTTCTTTTTTGGACGGAATTTGAATTTATATTCTTCTCATTATGGAAAGATGCTTTTAGATTTGATTTCCAATCTCTCTTGAATTTAAATTATATTTACACTTTTTCGTCATAGATTTTGTTATTAATGTTTTACGCATTTTTTGCAACTTACCGATATATTCTGGGATAACAGAAATATTTGCAAGTCTAATTTCATTGATTTCTCGCTCATTTCTCACAGTATCAGAATGACTCCGGTCATATTTGAAATTTAGTATATGATGATCACTTTTCTCGGACGAAATATCCTTGATAAAGTATAACATACGAAAAGAATTAGGTGAATATCATTAAAGCGGTTGTTTCTGGTACGTTTAATGTTAAATTATATAAATTATAAAATTAAACGAAAAATTGCCATTTGTTTCTTGTTTGCTTAATAATATTAGTTTGATATATATTATTCCTAAATGATATAAATTGAATGTGATGTAATTTTATTCATATCGTAAAATCTATTTTTTATTTATTTTTTTTAAGACATCTTGTATATCAAACATAATTCATGTCAAAAATAAAATCAATCAGCAGGTTAACGAGAATCAATGAGTATTTACAACAGCTTTTAGCAAGTAATATAAGCGAAAGTGTAGCACTTTGCTTTTATTATTTAATTATTAAAACAATTTTGTCGAAGGATTTGATTTTTTCTCATAAGTTAGTTAACTCTTCTCAATTTTACCGTAACTCAAAATTCTTTTCAAAAATTTACCGATATTACTAAAGTTTTAATAACATTAAATATTAATAAATACGTAACATTAATATATTTGTACTTCAAGAATAAAAAGGTTAAAAATAATGTTTCTTTATAGTTATTAAATATTAATCATAGAATTATATAAATTCTTTTATATATTATCACGTCAAGTTTTTTCTCGAATGTGTGTGTGTGTGTGTGTGTGTGTGTGTGTGTTATATTTTTAACACAAACCAATCCTATAATAATATAAACCGATAGTATGAATTGATAATGCCTCGACAAAAATATGTGGATATAACTGTATATAAGTGGATATATGTACAATGAAAATTAATATAAATTCGAGTGATTATTATTGAATATATTATCGACCGAAATATCAGCGTTAATAGATACAATAACTAGAAGAATGTTTGATGAATGATTTTTTTATTAGACAGAGTTTCCATCTCGATATTTAGTAGCTCTGTTCCGTTATATAATTATCCTTAACACAAAGAAATGATGCTAACTTTCTAAATTAATTTCATAAAATAAAATCTACATTAGTATAAAGCTTACTATATATCAATAAATATTATTATATATATCTAGGAAAATTAAAAACTTTTAAAAATTGAAGAAAAATAACATAAAAATCTGTTGAAGTGCCATCGTATGTATATATTAATGTAGCAGATAGTAGACAGAAAACTTCATTAATTTTAATAATTATTATTAGAAATAATAATTATATATATAGAGAGAGAGAAAAAGAGAGAAAATAATACAGTCAAATTTTAAAATACCGTTTTAATTAAAATTAATATACTATATAACATCCATTTGTAAACAAAATTTCGAAACTTTATCCATCTTCTTTTTACAACATCGTACATACTTTTTTCTTTCATATTGAATTGTTTTATTTTATCTTATCTTATTATATAGATAATATATAATTTATTACCATTTTTAGTTACACTACTGACTGCAATAACATTCAATTGTTTTTTAATCAAGCAAAAAATATCTCTTACCTGTGTGAAATTTAAATTCGGACATATGGAAATACTTTTTTTCTGAAAGTTGCTTGAAGTGGCATAATCCTCCGGCGTGATCGTTGCTTTTGTCAATACTAAATCTTTCAATAAAACATATAAAATTGTTCCAAATATAATTTGCATTTTTCGTAACCGTTTCGTAAACGTTTGCACTCAATCAGTTTTCGTGGAATCCTCAGTTAGTTATTTTTCTCACTCTACTAATTCTGATGTGTTAATCGAATTGATATTAATTTATATATATATATGTATATATATATATATATATATATATATATATATATAATATATTTTCGATAAATTCCTTAAAACTCAGTTTTAACGAATCGTTTAACGAATCTTCTAATATTATGTTTTTAGATTTCTCTTTATGGTCACGATCACAGTATTTATTTTAAGATTAAATTAGGGAATTCCTAGTAAGTAAATAATTTATATTTTTTTTAGAAGGACAAATGACAATGCAAAATGATAGATATTCATTGGATTGTATAGCGAACACAAGAATATAATTAGTATTATTATTCCTTCTTCATTAATATTATAAGAGAAAAGTAGTCAATAAAAAGATATCCACAATCAAATTACAAACGATAATAAGAAGTTGTAGAATTATAGATCTTGTAACATTTTCAGCCATATTCATCCACACGCAGCGTGTAATCGAATTCACTTCAATATTTGCTATATCTTCTATTAAATATGTAATTATGACAATTCGTGCGATTGTTATTACATTCAATTGTGTTATTAGGTATGCTTTTCAATATCCATTATTGGTGAATAAAAATTAGTATATAAATCCACTCTTTGTACATAATATTTTATGATATTTTATAATGCAGTTGGAATCAAACGATAAGAAGCGCGATAGCTTGTTTTAACTAGCGATCATAATAGTAACTGACCTCGAATAATCAGTCTGATCATGTATTCCCATGACTCAGCAACCAGATCTTGGTATCTCGTTTTCCTCACTCCATGTGCATGTTAGCCGAACGTATAGCAAATCGATGATAGCAAAGACGGCACCATCGTATAAAAAAAGAAAATATAATAATTTACTATATTATTTTATATTTTATATAATATATACATATATATCATTTTATTATATTATTTTATATATTATGTATAATATTAAATAAACATATATATTCTATGTTAATATATATATATATATTTTTTTTTTTGCTACGCGATGGTGCCTTCTTTGCTACCACCATTAGACTGGCATAGACGGTACTGCTTTTCGCGGCGTTCTGCCCCAGCTTGCACTTGGAGTGGAAAAAATGATCCGGATCACCAAGATTCGGACTTTGGCCATGACGTCTTATTAACTGCCTTTGGTTGTAATTTATTTTTTTCTACGGAAATACTTGGCGTTATTCCAAAAAGAATTAAAATCTTTAAAAATTGTTTGACAAAAAGTTTATATATGCATAAAACAAAAATAGTTCTATATATAAATGTTCTATAAATAGTTCTAATAATAGTTCTATAAATAATTATATGTGTATATAATTGTTTAATTTGAATTTTATTAAACTTTTTATATTAATTTATTTTTGAGTATCTTCTCTTTACCCTTTATTAGGGGCACGTTTACTATATAAAAAGATATTCTGATTATAAAAAAAGTAAGAATGGATTTAAAAAAAGTGGTTTATGCGTTTTCTGTACATTCACATAATGCAGTTTGAATCAAGCGATACGTAACGTCGTCTCGACTATTATAAATGTAATAGTCAGTACGATGTTACGTATCGCTTGATACTATTATATGTTATTACAAACATTATACATAAGTGCACTATTATAAATAAATGCACTATTACAAATTTACAGTAGCACATTTTAGTACACAACTAAAATAAGTAATATAATTAATTATACGAGCAATTATTATCATTATTTGCATTGACTAAACTTATTATATATATATATATATATATATATATATATATATATATATAACTTATATAATATAACTTTAGTTAATATTAATATAGTCTAATATACTTAATATATATAATATAATGTAATAGAAAAAATTATAATATTAATTACTTTATTATTTTAATTCTATTATTGTAATTTTATATACGACAGTCTTTATTATGCACCAGTGTGCATTAACGCATTCAATCAAATTCTATCTTTTTGCCGCTATAAATCATTTACTTTATTTCCAAAAAATGTGATAAACACTTTAATTACGTAAAATATAATTGAAAATAATTCTGTGATGCTACGTTCTCCTTTTGTGATTTATTTAGTTCATTCATATATTAAATGATTGTTATTTTCAAAATGTTTTTATATTACTAAAGAGACATTCAGCATAAGAAAATTTTAAACATTAAAAAATTTAAACAAAAAATTTAAACATTAATGTAACGGTTTCTTTTTAAATTTGTGCATAATAATAGATGCATTTTCAAACATTTTATAAATTTATAAAAACTTTTTAGTCACCAACAAAGATATATATACGTGCAAGAATTTTTTCAAAATGATAAACTTGTGTGTAAATATTATACATTATTAGCTTCATTAAATAGTTAGTAGAGATAGAACAACAAATATAGTTCAGTTTTACAACTGCATACTTTTTTAATTATCAATATAATTTGAATATATAATAAGTTATTAAATATAAAGATAAAATATATGTATATACTTACTCCGAATGATGTAAAAATTTATACATGATAACTGTTATAAATTCAAAAATAATTTTATTATTATATATATTTATATATTTACAACTAATTAAATATTATTCCCGTTTCCTCTCTTGCTCATAAATTTTACAATCAGTTTGTAATTATCGGTCATATATAATGTCAAAAATTAATTATACTACCATATTGAAAAAAAATATTATCTGTATATATATATGTATGTATAGACAATATTTTTTTCAATATGGAAGTATAATTAATTTTTGACATTATATATATATATATATTGCTTCGATTACTCAAGAACACAAATTAGATATGTCATCATATTATGATGTTTACAATTAAAACGGATGTGATATTTTTTAAGAATCAAAATTTTATGGAAAATAAGATTTAAAAATTTCTTTTATCTTCATTGATAAATCTAATATTAAGATTAAACCTGAAAATTACAGACAACAACATAGAAATATTCTAGAAATATTTTTTTCTACATTAAGATTTATTGAATTGTTCGGAAAAGAAGAGAAACATTAATTTAAAAATATCGGCTAAATAGTATCGACTGGACTCAGTAAGGTATCTTCCATGTTCTTTCTTAATGCTATAATATTTTCCAGACAAAATTTGAAATTTGGTCTAGCATCCGCTGCAGTCCAACAACGTAGCATCAATTGGTACAATGGTGACGGACAGTTAAGACTTATCGGCAACCTGCCTCCAGCACGAACATAATTTATCACTTCTTCTTCAGTCTTGTCCATATAAGGTTGCTCACCCAACGATGTAATTTCCCACATTAATACCCCAAATGACCAAACATCGCTTTGAGAAGTAAATATTTTAATCATCAAAGATTCGGGTGCCATCCAGCGAATAGGAAAATAATGTTCTCCTTTCTAAAACATGATTTTAACAAAAATTTAATTTTCTGGTTCAAGTTGTTCATTTTTAAAATATGTGCAAAATGAGAAACGTTCATTTATCTCTTGCTATATAAATAAAAACTACTTATATTTTATATTACTTAAAGAAACAATGCACGATATTATTATGATAAAAAAATGGAAAGCATTTTCAAAAAAATTCAATTTTTAATCATTTTTTTTTTTTTTAATAGTTGTATTTACCAGGCGATAATAATCATCCTTGTAGATATCTCTAGCTAATCCAAAATCTCCAATTTTGATGACACGATTCTCGCGATTTCTCGAAGATACTAAACAATTACGACACGCTAGATCTCTATGTACGTAACGCGACTCTTCCAAGTAGCAACAACCTCGCGCAACATCTTCGCACATGGCGAGCAAATCCTGCAAACGCAAAGCAGGCGAATCTGACGCTTCCAAATTTCGACAATCTCTCAAATATTGTAACAGATCTGTTTCCATCAATTCCAACACTAATAACGGAGAATCCCCATCTAAACAAACAGCCAACAAGCTTAATATATGTTTGTGTTGAAAATGATTCATAAGCTTGGCTTCCTTTAACAATTTCTTTTTCTCATCGAAAGAAGCATCTTTTTTAACCGTTTTTATTGCAACGGATGTCTCTGTTCCCGAACCTTCTAAGTTCTTCACCTTTCCTTGATACACCTGCAAAATATTTCACACAAATTTACATGCGTACTTCATTAGAAAATGTACAGTTTAATGTTAAGTAATATTATATTTTACTTTATATTAAATAATTCTACGAAAAATGTATAATAAAGTGAATGTTTGTTATCTCATCTAAATTTTATATTACTTATAATATATTATAAAAATTTATGTAATTCATATCTTTATTGGAAAATACATATCTGTTTTATTGATCTAGAAATTAATTTGAAACATTGCTTGAAAAAATTAATTTTTACCATTCCGAATGCGCCGCAACCGATACGATTTGTAAGTGTAATTTGTTTACGTGCGATTTTTTTTATCACACATTCATCCGGCTTATAATGTAACATAGGACTGTAAATCGTATTGTATTCACTGTATTGGTAAGGTTCACGTAGAATGGCCAATTCTATATCGGTCATTGTTGAAGACAAAAATTGTTCGTTATTACCTTTGCGTTGACGATACACTGTTATCAAATTTTGAATTAATTATGTAATAATATGTATTATAAAATCTATTGTTTTTAGTAAATTTATTCGTTTAGTTTTATATAAGTAAATTATTATTTTCAGTAAATCTCTAGATATTATATCAGATATATGCATATTTATAATGTACAATTCAAATCGATACGTAAATCAAATATACTTACAATAATAAAAGTAGCAGACGCAGATTATAGTAACTATAATGATGAAACTTAACGTCACTGACAGATAATACTTTGCCTCTATTATTTCAGGAATATTCGAAATATCACCTATATCACGGAAAAATATAATTTTAATATCTTCGTCTCTGTATGTTTTTACAAATTTATTTTTACTTATAACTTTAATACAAAATATAATTTTTTAAATTTTAGGCCTATTCATATTTAAAAAAATTAGAACATAATATCTATGCAGCACAGAATGTTACAACTATTTTGCAACAATATTGCAATATTACAAATATATTTTTACTTCATTTACGAATACGATATTCATCTTCAAAAATAATATATCTTGTTATTATATTAGGAATAGAAACTATTATATCTATCATTATATTTTTCTATGCATTTTTATGTATTTTTCACATGTAAATAAATATATTTATAACGGATTTTTTAAATTTTTAAATAAAAATATAATTGGTAATGTATAATTAATTCTATAACTAATATATGTGTGTGTGTGTGTGTGTGTGTGTGTGTGTGTGTAAAGTATCCATTATAAGAGTACATAGAACATTTAAAATAAAAAAGTGATTTGTAAGTAAGAGTTTAAAGTAATTTTGTATAAAAATGTAACAGTTTATGTCATATGATTATGTTTAAATATAATTTTGCAATATATTATCTTAGATATGAATATCTTAGATACCGCAAACTTTTATTTACATCAAGCTTTTTAATTTAATTAAATGTTTCCAAGATATTTATCCATCAAAAGTGAAAATATGGTTGCAATAACATAGCATTCTTTCCAATATATTACACTGTAATATTGCTACAATATTTCATTGCAAAAAGCGGACATCTTAATTTCGTCACAATCTTATAACAATAACTCAGCAGAGTTTCATAATCGATTTGCAATATTCCAATGTTTCAATGAAATTATTCTTCAATATATCCATGCAATCTTATTGTACTGTAGGGGTATCTTCGTTTGCTTACCAAGTGTTGAAAAAATAAATCTTTCATCAGTCGGCCATATAAAATCTTCCTCATATTCGATGTATCTCAATAGCAAACGAAACTTGTATGAAGTTCCCGATTGTAAATTTTTGACATTGTTTACTATTTCATTGTTATAATTTATTTTAATAGAATTCAATGTTTGCCATTCTTCTGTTGCATTCTCTTTGTACTGTAGTGCAAAACTGATCATCAGATTAATGTTTGAGCTCCATGAAATGTTCATGCTATTTATGCTGACGTCGCTCAAAGTAATATTGTTGGGTTCTGAGTATAAGTGAACGATCTTGCTTAAACTCTCGTTGTAGAAATCGCTAAAATTATTTGGATACACACGCACGTATATCAAATAATCTTGTACCGGTAGCGACAAGCCAATCTTTGTGAAAAATCTGCCGTCTGCCATACGTTTCGGCACATTGATAAATTGTTTGTTCTCGTGTTGCGTGCCATTCACTAATGAATGCACTTCATAGGTCACGGCCGCACAGTACACTTTCTTGAGTGGCATCCAATGAACTACTGCTATAGTAGGCGTCAAAGCTAGAACACTTATGTTTTCTGGTGCATTAAGCTTGCCCGAATTAGTTTTTATTTGTATCACATTCGAATCAAATGGATTTATTGATAATCGATCAAAATAAAAATTGCTTAAAGTAAACTTCAACTTGTACTCTGTAAATGGTGTTAAATTCTGAATCTCGTAATATCGCTCGCACGTCACATATCGCACATTGAATTTCTCAGACTTGTTGAGATTGTTGTCTAAACAGCTTACGAAGATAGTATATATAGTAGTTGGTAAATTATATTTTTTGCATCCACTCTTTACAACCGGTTCCGAAAAATTTACAATGATGCTGTTTGCCGTTGCATTCACATTCTCAAAATTGTATACTTTTTCGTCAGGTGTCAGGCATCTCATTGGAGGATATGGTTGTAAAGATTTATCAAAAGCGTAAATACTAGCGTAAGATAAAGCCGTAAAATAAATTTTTCTTATATGAGCTTAGTATTGTCTTTTCAAAATATTCGGCTACATTTACGCTTTCGAGATCTACATATTTTTTTTTTAATATGTAGATATATTTAATAGACCCTGCATATGCCAAAATGTAAATGTTTGTTTTGTCAATCGTCATTGTTTGGAAGCGGATGTTATCACCTATATTTTTCTTGTTTAAAATCGTATTGCACATAGAAACGTTAATGTCTGTCACAAATATGTGTTCACCACTTAACCAGTAAATTAATGACTCCTCACTATTCATATCATCGATTATCATACTACGATAAGGATCTTTGTGATGAAATAGGCACAAGGATGCATTTATCCGAACAATTTGCTCGATTTTTCCATCGAAATGATATTTCATTATACCATATTCTTTATCCGTCCAATTGTATGATGTATGATATAAAATTCTAGAAAATATGTAATTATTTTACTCATTATAAAACATTAATTTAACAAAAGCAGAAATTTATATGTAGTGCACATTCGAAATTTTTCCAATTATATAATAACTTATTATTTTTTTCTACTTATGATCTTAATTACAAAACGTAAAATTATAGAAAAATTACAAGCATGCATAAATCTTTAATAGAAAATTATTTTTTCAGATGAACGGTAGTAAACGTACCCCATAGATGGTAATACATTTAAACGGTCATTATCATTTTTTGATTTGAAAACCTCATCAAATTTAATTATGCCACTTTCCCACATTGTTAAGTCGAATTTTATAATACGAGAGTAGTCTGAATCTCGATATTTGAAATATAGATTTCTTGCTACCCAGTCAATGCAGAGATTATCTAAAGCTGGATAATTATGAAAACTGGCTATGTTTGTGATATTATTTTCATTAATCTTCAATGTCATTAGGACTCCACTCCAAATATTATAGGTTATCCAATAAATTCTATTTTCTTGTATCGAATAAACGAATAAGCTTCGATCGTTCATTAGTATTCTGAAAAAAAGGAGCCAACTATAATTGTACAGTAAAAAAATTATAGATGAGATTTCAAATTTTATAGTTATTACTACTATAATGTTGATAATAATAAACTTATGCATAATAATAATAACTTTAATTTTATAGTTAGTGTTAAGAATAGTTTATGGTAATTATAACTATTTTTTTATCAGTATACGTACTCTGACGTTTCAAAATTAGTAACGTTTAAATCCACGTCCAATATTTTTATACCTTGATTCGATGCGAGTAATAATTTAGGTATTGGATTTTCATGTGTAGTCGACACTTTGATTAAATCCGTGTAAGGACCAGCAACAATTTTATTTACAATTTTACTATGCGCACGTACTCGAAAATAATATGTCGTGTTAGATGTTAGATTGTGCACCGTTTGTTCCAATTTTGTAGCTGTAATATTTTTATCGTCGCAAGTTTCTTTAAAGTCCTCGAAGAAAGAACACTGCACTTGGTACTCTTGAATCATTTCAGTAAATTCAGGTTGGTTCCATCTGTAAAAAAATAAAATTTTAGCCATTTTATATTTAAAAAAATTATAACAGAATTAACAACTTGATAAATTTATGTCGAATTTAAGAAAAGGAGAAAAAAATGAAAGAATACAAACTAAGAATTTTACCTCAATGTCACAAAAATATCATTTACTTTTTCTGTGAATTGACTGTCGAATTGTACAAATGCTCTGAGAGATGTTGGCCTGCTCAAACTGTTTTCTAAAGATTTTAAGATCGTACATATTAACATAATTATATATAAGATTAAGTGGATTATCTCAGTAAATCAGAAAAATACAATACAATGTAAAAATAAAGGAAAAATAAAAATAAATGTAAACTATAAATGTAAAATACGGAAATTAGCACGGTATTGACCTTTAAAAATATAATATAAGAATATTTTGCGTCATTTAAGATTTAGAAAAGTAATCGTTAATTCATGGCAAAAATGATTAAATAATTTTTAATAAAATGACAAGTATTTTTCGATAAATTCTTATAGCTTAAGAAATTAGAAGTATATATAATATTTGCGACTATTTTAAAACAGAGTAGTAAATTAATAAAACTGTCTTCACCTTAAATTATGACAATTTTTATGTATACTGTTATATTTATATTATGCTTTTCTATTTCTTTTTTGGACGGAATAGAATTTATATTCTTCTCACTACTGCAAGATATTTTTAGATTTGATTTCCATTCTCTCTTGAATTTAATTTATATTTACATTTTTTCTTCATAGATTTTATTAATGTTTTATGCATTTTTTTGTAACTTACCGATAGATTCTGGGATGATAGAAATATTTGCATGTGTAACTTCATGGTCTTCTCGCTTATTTCTCACAGTACTATCAGAATGACTCCGGTCAGATTTAAAATTTAGTATATGATGATCACTTTTCTCGGACATTGAAATATCCTACATAAAGTATAAACACATACGAAAAGAATTAGATAAATATCGTTGAAGCGGTTGTTTCTGGTGCTTTTAATGTTAAATTATATAAATTATAAAATTCAACGAAAAATTCATTCATTTTTTGTTTGCTTAATAATACTCGTTTGATATATACCATTCCTAAATGATATATATTAAATGCGATGTAGTTTTATTCATATTGGAAAATCTATTTCTTATTTATTTTTGTTTAAACAACTTGTATATTAAATATAACTCATATTAAAAAGAAAATCAATTAATATAAGTTAACATGAGTCAATGATGATTCATAATAGCTTTTAGCAAATTGTACAAGCAAAAGTGTAGCACTTTGCAATTATTAAAACAATTTTGTCGAAGGATTTGAGTCTTTCTCACGATATTAGTTAGCTCTTCTCAATTTTACCGTAACTCAAAATTCTTTTCAAAAATTTGCCGACATTATTAAAATTTTAATAACGTTTGTACTTCAAGAATAAAAAGGTTAAAAATAATGTTTCTTTACAGTTATTAAATATTATTCATAAAATTATATAAATTTTTTTATTTATTACCATGTCAAGTTTTTTCTCGAATGTCGTTATATTTTTAACACAAACGAATCCTGGAAATGATCGTATAAACCGATAATGCCTCATTAAATATATGATATAATTATATATAAATGGATATATGTACAATGAAAATTAATATAAATTGTAGAGATTGTTATTGAATATATTGTCGAAATATTAGCGTTAACAGATGCAATTTGAAGAATGTTTAATGAATGATTTTTTTATTAGACAGATTTCCTATCTCGATATTTAGTAGCTCTGTTCCGTTATATATAATTATCTTAAACACAAAGAAATCATGCTAACTTTCTAAATTAATTTCATAAAATAAGATCTACATTAGTATAAAGCTTACTATATATCAATAAATAAATATCATAAATAGAAAGATAAAGAATATCTAGAAACATAAAGAAATTGAAGAAAAATGACATAAAAATCTATTTATCGTCGTATGTATATATTAATGTAGCAAATAGTAAACAGAAAATTGCATTAATTTTAATAATTGTTATTATTAGAAATAATAATTATATATATAGAGAGAGAGAAAGAGAGAAAATAATGCAGTCAAATTTTAAAATACTGTTTTAATTAAATTTATTATAGTATATAACATCCATTTGTAAAGAAAATTTTGAAACCTTATCCATCTTTTTTTTACAACATCGTACATATTTTTTTCTTTTATATTGAATTGTTTTATTTTATCTTATCTTATTATATAGATAATATATAATTTATTATTATTCGTTTTTAGTCACACTACTAACTGCAATAACATTCAATTGTCTCTTAATCAAGCGAAAAATATCTCTTACCTGCGTGAAATTTAAACTTGGACACATAGGAACACTTTCTTTCTGGAGGTTGCTTGAAGTAGTATAATCCTCCGGCGTGATAGTTGCTTTTGTCAATATTAAACCTTTCAATAAAACAAATAAAATTGTTCCAAACATAATTTGCATTTTTCGTAAACAGTCGTAAACACGTTTGCACTCAATTGGTTTCCGTTCAATCCTCAATTAATTATTTTTCTCACTCTACTAATTCTGATGTGTTAATAGAATTGATATTAATTCATATATATACATATATTTTCAATAAATTCCTTAAAACTCAGTTTTAACGAATCGCAAGTTATTATTTTTTAATATTATGTTTTTAGATTTCTCTTTATGGTCACGATCACAGTATATATCTTAAATTTGAGAATTCTTAGTAAATAAATAATTTCTATTTTTTTTAGAACAAATAACAATATAAAATAATACATATTTATTGGATTGTAAAACAAACACAAGAATATAATTATTATTATCGTTCCTTCTTTCATATTATAGGAGAAAAGCAGTCAATAAAATGATAATCACAATCAAATTACAAACGATCACAGAAGTTATAGAATTATAGATCTTGTAACATTTTCAGTCATATCCATGCACATGCAGCGCGTAATCGAATTCACTTCAATATTTGCTATATCTTCTATTAAATATGTAATTATGACAATTCGTGCGATTGTTACTACATTCAATTGTGTTATTAGGTATGCTTTTCAAAATCCGTTATTGGTGAGTAAAAATTGGCATATAAATCCATTCTTTGTCCATAATTTTTTGCGATATTCATATAATGCAGTTTGAATCAAACGATAAGTAACGATAAGTAACGCGATAGCGTGTTTTGGCTAGCGATTATAATAGTAACTGACTTCGAGCGATCAATCTGATCATGTGTTATCATGACTCAGAAACCGGATCTTGATGCCGTTTTCCACACTCCATGCTAGCGACCGAACGTCGCGAAAAGCAGAACCGTCTAAGCCGGTCTAGTGATGGTAGAAAAACAGGGCACCATCGCGTAGAAAAAGAAAATAGAATAATTTATTATATTATTTTATATTTTATATAATATATACGTATATATTATTTTACTATATTTTTTATATATTATATATTATAATATTAAATAAACATATATTCTATGTTAATATATATACACAGTAAAAAACATTTTGTATTTCTGTTAAAATTTTCTCGTAAAAATTTTTGTGTTAAATTTTTAACATACTCTTACGTTAATGTAACATATTATCATTGCGTTATTTTGACATTTCTGCATTGAGTTAATATTCACCGTTCCTGAGAGTTAAAACAACACAATTAATATGTAAATGCACGAATTTTTGAAATATGTTATATGTTAAAATGAACAGATAAGTTGTGTTATTTTTCTTTCTAACAGTTCCCATATGTTAAATCGACATATCGCTTCTGTTATTTATCATAAAAATGTAAAAATAACATTTTCTTTTAATTAAATTTAACATTATAAATATGTTAATTTAACATAAACTTTATTTCCAGATAAAGTTTAAATGTTACACTTTTGTGTTAATTTTTAAACATATTACTTGTGTTATTTATTTACATACTTGTCTTCTGTTAAATTAACATTAAAATTAGAGTGGATAAATTGGGACATGTGAAATATGTTAAATTTAACACAAAATTTTTTACTGTGTATATTTCTTTTCTACGCGGCGGTGCCTTCTTTGCTATCATTGTTAGACCAGCATAGACGGTACTGCTTTTCGCGGCGTTCGGCCGCTAGGAGTGCACTTGGAGTGGGGAAAACGGTACGAACATCCGTACTCTGGCCATGACGTCTTATTAGCTGCATTCCGTTGTAATTTATTTTTCTCTACGGAATTACTTGGCGTTATTCCGAAAAGAATTAAAATCTTTAAAAATTGTTTGACAAAAATTTTATATATGTATAAAACAAAAATAGTTGTATAAATAAAAATAATTATATGTATATACCTGTATAATTGTTTAATTTGAATTTTATTAAACTTTTTTATATTAATTTATTTTTGAATATCTTCTCTTTATCCTAGAGACACTATTTACTATATAAAAAGATATTCTGATTATAAAAAAAGTAAAAATGGATTTTAAAAAAGTGGTTTATGCGTTTTCTGTACATTCACATAATGCAGTTTGAATCAAGCGATACGTAACGTCGTACCGACTATTATAAATATAATGGTTGGTACGAGTTACGTATCACTTGATACTATTATGTTATTATAAATAATTGTACCATTATAAATAAGTGCACTATTAAATGCACTATTACAAATTTACAATAACACATACACAATTAAAATAAGTAATATAATTAATTGTACGAGCTATTATCATCTCTTCTACATCACTTCTTAGAACTATAATATTTTCGAGACAAAATTTGAAGTTTGATTTAACTTCCGCTGCATTGCAAAAAGACAGCATTAATATCAAATAGACAGTTAACCTTTAATTATCAATATTCAATAGATGATGAAACGTTTTATAACACGTGATTATCGTCAATAAATAACTTCAAGATATGCTGTCCGAGGTAGCACACATTCGTTTTATATACGTTTCTTAAACGTATCCAATATTTTTTAATCGTAAAACATTAATAAGACGTTTCTATAAGAACGGTTTATTTATTATATTTTATATATTATATAGTTTTATATATTTTTAAAACCATAGTTAAGGAAATATATTTTTCACGTTTCTAATATAAACAAAATAAAAAGTAATTTTTATTAATTTCAAATTATATATACATATATACATACAGATACATACACACATATAAATATATAGGGAAGACCGGGGACAAAAGTAACATTTTTTGTATTACAGATCATTAATTATTGTTAGAGATATAAAAAAATGATTATATCTTTTATTAAGCAAGATAACTTTTATTATAAATTTTTTTGTGTTATATTATATTAAAATAAAAAATAAAATAAATTTTTATTTTCATCATCTTTAAAAAACTTAAAAGAAATAATCTTCGTTAAGCAAAATAATGATAAGTAATATCATAAAATAATTATATCACACCAGTTTTGTACCTTTTTAAGTCTAAATAATAGTTTAATTCTAAATAATAGTCTAAAAATTGCATGATAACTACTTATATACAAAAGAGATTAGTATCTATTCCGAAATACAATTATGGCACACGTAATAAGAATCGCCTTTGATACAGTTATTATGAGTCCAGCTTTTATACTTTAAGCATTGAAACATGTTACTTTCGTCACTTTCGCCACTTTCGTGTCCCCAGACATATTTTTTAGAATAAAAAGCATTATAACCTAAATATGATGTAAGACTTAGCCAAATCAACTATAAAAACATATAAATACACTTTAGAAGAATACACTGGCAAATAATTACGTCAATATATACACTTTAATTATACAGTAAAAAATTTTGTGTTAAATTTAACATATTTCACATGTCCCAATTTATCCACTCTAATTTTAATGTTAATTTAACAGAAGACAAGTATGTAAATAAATAACACAATATGTTTAAAAATTAACACAAAAGTATAACACTTAAACTTTATCTGGAAATAAAGTTTATGATAAATTAACATATTTATAATGTTAAATTTAATTAAAAGAAAATGTTATTCTTACATTTTTATGATAAATAACAGAAGATATGTCGATAGATATGTCGATTTAACATATGGAAACTGTTATAGAGAGAAAAATAACACAACTTATCTGTTTATTTTAACATATAACATATTTCATCAAAAATTCGTGCATTTATATATTAATTGTGTTGTTTTAACTCTTAGAAACGGTGAATATTAACTCAACGCAGAAATATCAAAATAATGCAACGATAATATGTTATATTAACATAAGAGTATGTTAAAAATTTAACACAAAAATTTTTACACGAGAAAATTTTAACAGAAATACAAAATGTTTTTTACTGTGTAGGCATAGATCCAAAAAAACTAAAACAAGAAATACTTAGGTGAATAATGCAGATATACTAATTTCACTCCTGCATGTGCAACCGGCGCGATCGTTCTGCAATAATTAGCTGAAAAGGAAGAGAATCGGAGCGTACGCGTTTGGCTATAGTTTGGTATAGTACAAATTATTCAACATTTTGTGTAGTTTATTACGAGGCTTGTTACTTCCATAACGTTGTTATTTTTGTCCCCGGTCTCCCCTATTTAGAAAGTTATATTCCAAATTAAAAAAGGTGTTACTAAAAGAATTCTACTGCTAAAAAAATAAAAAGATAGAAATTTATCCGTAGAAAATTTCATTAAAGAGAAAAGAAAGAAGAAATTTTTTTTCATAAACTTTTGTACTTTGTATTTGTGTAATAAAATCATTAAAAATGGCGTACGTTTCATTAAAGATATTTGCATATTAATAAGCAATAGAGAAAAAAATCGAAGTAACTAGGGAAAAATGAGAATCTCCGAAGACGGATAATCTGGATTAAATTGGATGAATAAAGATGTGGGCAGAAAAGGAAAGAAATTTCTCTACGTTTGCTTTCACCGTATCTCTTTTGATACACGCGATCGATTTGCTAGAATTTCTTGAAAGAAAAAAAAAGATCATCCGATACATTCTTGTAATTAGAACTTGGCAAATTATACAAAAATAGATTCACGTCGGACAAATCATCGAACAATCCGATTACGATTACGTAACTAAGAATTTTTCTGTATTGATATAGCGAAATCCGATTAATTTTCCCTCTCATGGACTATTATTTTCTAAACACGTGATATATATAAATTAATTTTAAATTTATGTAACTACAATGGCTCATCGTGCTACTGTTTTACTTTGTTTCATTTAACGAGGATTTATTCAAGGAAAATTACAATTGCCAGAGGAAAAGTACAATCAGTCCCGCGAGAGAAATATATGAAATATATGAAATATATAATTATATAAATCTAACATAAGCTTTTTCGCAAAACATGGTCTGTAAAATTTCTATTCCTCAACTGTTATCTGTCAACTTCGAGAGAATGGAAGGCAAGTAGAGAAAATGTAAATAATGTAAAAGTCGATGTACTCTCCAATTTATTTTAATTAAAAAGACAAAAATTTATCTATATAAATAAATATGAATATCCCTTTTATCCGAGATTTTTAGAATTTTAATTTATTTTTTAACAAATTTTTTATTTTATTTTTGAAAAACGCTGTAGCTTCTCATTAATTTTTCGCGAAATTTCACGCAGCAAACGAGAATTCGAACAATGGTTTATTTGCATTAAAGCTAACGTTTTTTATTTATATTTGCGGAATTTACGATTAAATAAAGAAAAGCAGGTCCTTTTGCGTTATTCATCGTCGCGTGAAGGAATCTCAAAGAATCGTCAATTGAAATATGATAATGACGCGAACTAAAAATAGTATAAGCGATGAGAGGCGCCAAAATGCAAATAGATAAATTTGATTTTAGCGTTATTGTGCGAGTCATTGCGATTTTTCTTCAGTTTCAATAAATAACAGGCAAGCAAGGAAAAAGGCGATTTTTCTTTTTAAATGCACGAAAACGATATTTTTATTTTGCGAAATATTTGATATAAAATATTTGAATAAAAAATATGAATAAAAATATGAATAAAAAATATTTGAAAATATTTGATATAAAAAAGGCTCTTATGTATTATATTATACATAGGAGTTCCATTAGGACTTTTACTTCGCACAAATCGGACCTGCGCAACACTCTGGATAAGGCTTGCTGAGATCCAATTCTTTCCAACCGATTTGCTTTCCTTCTGCACATTGGAATAAGGGACACCTGCACGGTAAAAAACATTTTGTACTTCTGTTAAAATTTTCTCGTGTAAAAATTTTTGTGTTAAATTTTTAACATACTCTTATGTTAATGTAACATACTATCGTTATTTGACATTTCTGCGTTGAGTTAATATTCATCGTTTCTAAGAGTTAAAACAACACAATTAATATGTAAATGCGAATTTTTGATGAAATATGTTATTTATTATATTAAAATAAACAGATAAATTGTGTTATTTTTCTCTCTATAACAGTTTCCAATACGTATGTTAAATCGACATATCTCTTCTGTTATTTATCATAAAAATGTAAGAATAACATTTTCTTTTAATTAAATTTAACATTATAAATATGTTAATTTAACATAAACTTTATTTCCAGATAAAGTTTAAGTGTTACACTTTTGTGTTAATTTTTAAACATATTACTTGTGTTATTTATTTATATACTTGCCTTCTGTTAAATTAACATTAAAATTAAAGATAAATTGGGACATGTGAAATATGTTAAATTTAACACAAAATTTTTTACTGTATGGAAAGAAACATAATTATAATTGAATATTGTCGAAATTTAACGGGATCAGAAAATAAATAAAGTAAAATTTAATTTTGAGAGGAAACATAATTAATTATTAAATGAACAAAAATATCATTAGTGTTATTATATCTATTGTCACATGGAACATAATGATGTGAGATTTGTTAATATTAAGTAATACACAAGATATCTCTCTTTTCATACACGGTAAAAAACATTTTGTATTATTTCTGTTAAAATTTTCTCGTATAAAAATTTTTGTGTTAAATTTTTAACATACTCTTATGTTAATGTAACATATTATCGTTGCGTTATTTTGACATTTCTGCGTTGAGTTAATATTCACCGTTTTTAAGAGTTAGAACAACATAATTAATATATAAATGCACGAATTTTTGATGAAATATATTATATGTTAAAATGAACAGATAAGTTGTGTTATTTTTTTCTCTATAACAGTTTCCATATGTTAAATCGACATATCTCTTCTGTTATTTATCTGTTATAAAATGTTATTCTGTTATAAAAATGTAAGAATAACATTTTCTTTTAATTAAATTTAACATTATAAATATGTTAATTTAACATAAACTTTATTTCCAGATAAAGTTTACTCTCTAAAAGTGAATCAGTGTATTATCACTGAAAAAACAGTAAATAGTCACTGATTACAGCAGTTATAAGTACAGCACTGTAAATCAGTGATATTTTATTGAAAGAATCAGTTAATAATTTTGACTGTTTCAATCAGTAATATTTCTCAATATCAGTAATATTTAACTATTATTCATCTCTCTATCTATTTCATATAAAATTAAAAATTTTATTTATATTTACTAAATATTTATTATATTAAAAATTTTATTTTATTTATATTACATACATATTGAACTTGTTAGTTTAAATAGATAACGAACGAATAATTTTTATTAAGTCGCCAGACATTTATTTGTCCGACTTGTCGCTCTTTGCAAACTTTATATAATTCTTATAACTAAAATTAAATACGAGAGAGATAGCGATTGTAGCAGTAAATGAACGAACCAGCGGTTACTGGTTTTACAGTAAAATTTACTGATTTTGCAGTGAATTTTATTTTAACTGACCATAATCAGTGAGATATAAGATAAAATAACAAAAAAATAAGCGTTTCCATTGAAGATCAGTAAAATACTCACTAATTCTCAGTGAAATCTTATTTTACTGTTTAAATTAGTGATATTTTCACAGATTCACTTTTAGAGAGTAAGTGTTACACTTTTGTGTTAATTTTTAAAGATATTACTTGTGCTATTTATTTACATACTTGCCTTCTGTTAAATTAACATTAAAATTAGAGTGGATAAATTGGGACATGTGAAATATATTAAATTTAACACAAAATTTTTTACTCTATAGAGTATCGTCTTGTTACAATATAACTAAAATAAACCGTATAAACTCTTTGATTTATTAACAAATAAATCATGTTTTATAAATCATGTACTTTCCGTATCGCAATCTCAAGTAGACTCTACTCGATTGCTTCCTTTTTAAAATTTTTTTAAATAAGATGATCAATCATGTATCGATTATCATGATCGATTATCATGATCGATTGTCGCACATTTTGTGAAACTTGATTTGCAATCAATTGCAAAGTGGGATAACCGGTTAACAAAACTCGTTATGTAATAATCGGCTTGCTTGAATAGATAATTAAACGATCGAAAGCGTCAATTAAAAGCGGCACGATTTTGTTCTTTCAGAATATCACGTCAAGAAGTCAAGTCTCATATCTCTACAGGTGTAACGAGAAAATATTTGAAGAAGAAATAATTTGAAAAATAAAACTTAGACTCACGGAATCATTATTATTGAAGTATCATCACGACAAGTGACCGTTGAGCATTGACGAATGTGTGCACCCACACTTAGAGTCTCGTTCTCAAACGGACAGTCACCTATGTAAATAAAATCCTGGAGTAAATAAAACTCCAAAAATTTTTAAAAAAAGGTAAAAAAAGTGCGCCAAGTTCATGCACTAATATCCAACTGTCATATTGTCTACAAAAATAGTGATATAAAAAAATTGCGCTAACTAAGAATAAAAATTTGTACAAGATAAATAGAAGTATAAGGAAGAAAACTTGTACAAGTTAAATAGAAATATTTTAATTGAAAACATTGTTATACAAAATAGTTGCTTTAATTTTAAAAAATAACAATATTAAAAAATTTAAAATTTATTTAAAAATTGGAAACTGAAAATTAATATAAAACAAGAAAATAAAAAAAATTTAATTAAAAAAACTTGGCGCCAATTTTATTAATACATTACTCAACTTAAAAGTCTAAATTTTCAAATGTATTATAAATCAATATAAATTAATTAAATAAATTAGATCATTAAATTTAAATGTTAGACTAATAATTGGAATATGTTCCAATTATTTTTAGATTTCCATATTATATAAAATTGATAAAATAGAAAAAAAAAGCTTGAATAAATCTCATAAAAATTTCTAAAGTAAAAAGTATAATTTGTAAAAATAATAAAAGAATTATAATAATTAAATTAATTGAAGATCCAGAAGATCTTAAGAGAATTAATAATAAATGTCCAGCAATTATATTTGCTGTTAAACATATATTTAATTGGAATATATGCCAATTTTATTGGCAGCGGCAAGTTTTTTTGATTAAATTTTTTTTATTTTCTTGTTTTATATTAATTTTTTCAGTTTCCAATTTTTAAATAAATTTTTAATTTTTTAATATTATTATTTTTAAAATTTAAAAGCAAATATTTTGTATAACAATGCTTTTAATTAAAATATTTCTATTTAACTTGTACAAGTTTTCTTTCTTATACTTCTATTTATCTTGTACAAATTTTTATTCTTAGTTGGCGCAATTTTTTATATCATTATTTTTGTAGACAATATGATAATTGGATACAATTAGTATATGAACTTGCGTCCCTTTTTTACCTTTTTTTAAAAAGGTAAGTTTTTGGGAATTATGTCACTTCTTTTTTTAGTCTAATTTGCTAAGAGATATTATATTTAAAAAGTATATATATATATATATATATATATATATATATATAGATGTGTGTGTGTGTGTATGTATGTATATTCTTTTAATATATAAGCAAATTACATAAAAATATATATAGAATAAGTATATATAATATAATATATATTTTATATATATATATATATATATATATATATTTTATATATATATATATATATATATAATTATTATATTATATATATTTATATTTGGCTTGTAAAATAAATAAATATATATATATATATATTTATTTATTTATTTACCTTGCTCCAATTATCATACCGTACTGGCTCTTGCCAATTTTTACTTAATAATTTAATTATTTATTATTTATAACTTGCTTTATAACTTGATCATTACTCAAAATGCGGTTAATGATACATGTCACTAATGACACATATGACACATGTCATTAATATCGCAAAGCGTCGCTAGTGCAATCTTCTGTCGAGAGTAGGAAATGTACGTTTTCTCTTTCTATGTGTACAGTGTACATGTGTTGTGTACATGTGATGACCATGACCATGACGTTTCTTAATTGAAAATTTTCATATTTCGACTTTGCGTTATAATATCTCCGTTTATAGATCACGCAGCACAAAAATAAAGATACTTTCTTGATACAATTCAAACCCGCTCTATCGATTAAAGCTAGTAAGAATTCGATCCGTTCAGCCGTTATTGAAATCTGAGTTACTCTCAACTGTCCGACTCGCGTATAGATACACGGAGCGATGCTTCGCATGAACTTGGCGCGAGACACTACCGTGTCTTTTGATCATATCATCATTCGCATCAGTCACTCATACGCTAGAAACATCATTAGCCTTATAACATTCGTTTTATTTATTTAAAGGACAGAACCTCGCTTCTCCAAATCGTCCGCAAAATCTTAAGCAGTTCCACCACGTATAATACGATATATTTCTAATTTCATTGGCATCTGGATTTGCGTCTCTTCTTCAATATATTTTTTTAATCACCAAGTTTTCGCAAACTTACCTAGTGTAGCGTGAACAAACACGCCTACTAGCAACAAGATGACGAAATGGAGCTTCATCGTCTTTTCTCTTGCTTAGAAAAATATAAAGGGAGCGACAATCAGACAAATAAATATCTTCAGCTTAATATCGTTCCTTCTAGACAAAATAAGAGCAATAATAATTATCATCTACGTAAAAAAAAAACAATCACTAGATTAAGGTCAATAAGCAATGTATTACAAACCGCAAGCATCGAAAAAAAAAAAAAAAAAAAAAAAAAAAAAAAAAAAAAAAAAAAAAAAAAAAAAAAAAAAAAAAAAAAAAAAAAAAAAAAATATACAAAATTATGTCTTAATCGAAAAAACAAAATAAAAAATAAAAATACAAAATCTATTACACCAAAATCCACAAAAAACTTTGCTTTAGAATATAGAATTAAATTATATTAATTTTTCATTATGCAGGCTCTTTATCAAATATTTGCGATATGTGTATCGAGCATATTATTATAAATATCAAATAGTATTTAGGTCATAAGTTATCGAAGAATCGAAGACGAATATAACAATGATTGCGCCGAGTTCGGCTTTGAATAAATCTAGAAAAACCTGAAGAGTAAAATCATTGAAGATCCATTAAATCTCCTTCCAGATGGCTAAATCTATTTCTTCGACATAAATATTCGCCAGATTTTTTATAAGATTACCCACAAAATATGCATACACATCTAAAATACTAAAAAAAAATTAATAAACTACACGAATAATATAAATTATACAAAAAGTTTGCAAATCTCTTATTTCCATTAGCTTTTATGAATCTTAGAACGTTTTGTTATAATTTTTTTATAATCAACTATATTTTAGAAATAAACTTTAAGTGTATTTCTTCAAAGCAATATCCCACATAATTACTTGCCACGTATTTGATTGAACACTTTATATATTTATATTAATTCACCTAATATAGATTAAAATTTTTCAGTACTCAGTATGACATAATATTCTAAGATTATATTGAGAAAAACTCTTGAAATTAGATAAGTATATGTGTACGATAACGGCAAATACTTTATATCTTCGAATTATTTTATTCGCTTTAATGAGTAAAACGCATCATGCATAATATTTTAATACACTAAATAAACTTTTGTGGCTTGTAGTATGCACGTAGATATATATTTTTATTTATTTTGTCATATCAAATTTAGGCACCTGAAGAAAAAACTTTATGTATTAAAATAAATAAAAGAAATAAATTTTTTACATAAAAACATGCTTTGGTCAAAGTATAATTAATTGGGAAATATCAATCACTCTATACATTATGTACGAAACAGAATATTTATATAGCATATTTATATTTATTATAATCAATTTATCAGAAGTGTTTTCGATAAATACATTATATATATAAAACATTTCGTTGCGAGAATAAGATGTAAACGTATATTATGTTTGCTAACATCATCATGCGTTTAAACCTTGTATATCTCGTGCGACATTAAATATCAAATATAAAAAAAAATTATAAAAAACATTACAATAATTTACAAATAATTCGTTGTACAATCAAAGTTACATTTTTCCAAACTAAGCCCTCGTGCAAGAAAATAATAATTATTCTACAATCAATTGACAATTTGGAACGTCAAAGTATTTCTTTGAATTCTGTGTTTGAGAAAATTAACAACAGAAATTAAAATTATACATGTTTAAAAAATTATATTCCAAATTTTAAAAAAATTTTCCAAGTAAGAAGATGAAGAAAAAAATTTATCATGGAAAATTTTCATAAAAAATCGAGAAGCGAGAGAGAGAGAGGGAATTGTTTTCATGATATTTTGTTCTTTATATTTAAAATCATTAAAATACGTTTCATTAAAGAAATCTGTATATTAATAATACATAATAAGCGAAAGAAAAAGGATCAAAAACGGATGATCTGGATAGAATTGGATGAATAAAGATGTAGTTACAGAATTTATCAGGAAGAAATTTCTCTTGCCCTCATCGCACCTCTTCTTTAATTCACTCGATCGATTTACTAAAATTTCTCAAAAGAGAGGGAAAAAAATCATCTGACACATTCCTATAGTTGAAGCTTCACAAATAATACTAATACTTATACTACGATAAATTCTACGATTGTATTTATTAGTAACTTGAATTATTCTCGAAAATAATACCTTTAATTATCAAAGAGATCAAGATAAATCCTTCAGAAGATCATAAAATTTGTACTAGTGCGAGAATCTTCTTCTTTAGCTGTGTAATCGAGAAAATTGCAAGGAGGATTTTAAAAGACACTTTATATATAATTCGATAATATATATACATATCATTTTTATTACACGTAAAAATCAATTCTTCGTAAATTAATTATTAGTATATATTATTCCACAAATTATCGAAAATAATAATAATTAATTTCAACGTACGCTTACTCACTTTTGTAGGAAAAAATTAATCTAATTAATTAAATATAATTTATTAGTTAATTTAATAAAAATTATTTTTATAATAAAAGGACTGATATTTATTTTTTGTATGAAAAAATATATAGAAAGCTACAATAAGGCAGGAAGATCGCTAAAATCCAGTATCGATAATTCCACGTGTCATTTCTTTCGTCTATAAAATACAATCGCTGTACACAAGATCTCCCATAGAAAATAGCTTCTCACGCGAAAAAGTTTATAGAAGCAAAACACACATAGCTACGGATTATAATAAATTATCAGACTAGACTTTCCAGAGTTTCGGAGGTCTCTTCATCTCGCGAAATCTCTCAGTCCTCTAATCAAAATAGATGTATAAAATATTGTCTCTTATCGACGACGCGTATCTCTCGCGCGACATTTGCATAAACACGTCATGTATAAAATACCCGCGCCGAATGTGTCATCATCGTAACATTTATTCAAAAAGAAGAAATTTTCCGTGCTAATTTACTGATCCTAATCAATTCCTAAAATAGACTTACGTCAGATAAATCATCGAAATCCGATTACGGTAATATAATTCCGAATTTTTCCGCGTTGATTAATTTAGCGAAATTCGATTGGTTTTTTTCTCTCACATGGATTATTATTTTCTAAACACGTGATATGTACAAATTAATTTTAAATTTATGAAATTACAACGGCTACCATCGTGCTACCGTTTTATCTTGTTCCATTTAATGAACATTTTTTCAAGAAAAATTGCAGGAAAAATTGCCGGAGGAAATCGGTCCTGCGAGAGAAAAAAAATATATGTATTATGTAATAAATCTAAATTTATCGATTTCCTTAATCTAGTCATATACATACGTATCATTCTTTCATACACATCACACATGCGGTCCAAAATATCCTCTAGAGATATCAAAAATCCAATGTACAAATCGTGGTGAATCACGAATGAGCGGGCGAATGTAGCTTCTAGAAGATGATGTTTCTCTTGTACTGAAGTCGCGATTTCCAGAAGCTACATAATTCTACGTATCTCGAATGAAATGCACATTATCGCGTAATTTGTTTTACCTTTTGATAAAACTCCCGGGAAACGAATGTTGAGGTTTCTAAACAAAGATAAATGTATATCGATGACAGAAATTTGGCGAAAAATGTATTTTTGATCATCGATCGTAAGAGAAAAATTTTTCAATTGCAGCTACTGATTTTTCAACAAATTTATAGGATTGCTACTCTTGGTATCAATTATTGTGCCAATCCGATTCGCAAGGTCTAGTACACGTAAAAAATATTTTGTACTTCTGTTAAAATTTTTTCGTGTAAAAATTTTTGTGTTAAATTTTTAACATACTCTTATGTTAATGTAACATATTATCGTTATTTAACATTTCTGCGTTGAGTTAATATCGTTTCTAAGAGTTAAAACAACACAATTAATATGTAAATGCACGAATTTTTGATGAAATATGTTACATGTTAAAATGAACAGATAAGTTGTGTTATTTTTCTCTCTATAATAGTTTCCATATGTTAAATCGATATATCTCTTCTGTTATTTATCATAAAAATGTAAGAATTTACTAACATTTTCTTTTAATTAAATTTAACATTATAAATATGTTAATTTAACATAAACTTTATTTCCAGATAAAGTTTAAGTGTTACACTTTGTGTTAATTTTGAAACATATTACTTGTGTTATTTATTTACATACTTGCCTTCTGTTAAATTAACATTAAAATTAGAGTGGATAAATTGGGACATGTGAAATATGTTAAATTTAATACAAAATTTTTTACCGTGTATAATTAACGTCGCGAATTATTACGAAATTATAAAGTATAAAAGACGCTATAAAAAAATATATTTCACTATTGATATATATATTTACGTCTCTCGATATGTTCACGTTTATTGGCTCTCTCTTTCCACATGGAGATCCCTTAAAAAAAAAAGAAAGAATTAATCGTGCAGAGAGAGAAGCGAAACTAATCTAGACTCCTTTCGTATCATTTTCGCACGTAGAATCGCTTTCTCATATAAAATATGCAAAAGTGTACTCGCGAAAAAAAAAGAGTATCAAAATTTACGTACAAATATTCACGACGAAACAAAGAGTATCAAAATTTACGATAAAAAAACGAAGTTCTTACACGAGAATCTTACGCTATCAATCGATGTATTTTTTTCCCGTGCATTATCCTATATTAATTATTCCCGCATGTAATTAATATACAATCCCAGCAAACAGCAAGTAACATTTGTATAACAGTTAGTTGTAATTTCCCACTTGACAATATAATAGTTACATAACTGTTACATAACATGTAACTGTTATATTGTTGAGTGGGAAATTATAACTAACAGTTATATAACTGTTGTTATATAATTAATAATTATATAACTACATAATAATTATATAATCATTATATATAATATTAAATATAATTAAATATAATTATAATAATATTATATAATAATTATATAATAATTATATAACAGTTATATAACTTTAGTGTTTGCTGGAATCGATCGTAAATCTGCACTCATATAGCACAGACCATTGTTGTTACATTACAGCAATATTGCTAATACTCGTTTTTATAGCAACGTGTGCGAATTTATCAAAATATTTCTATCCATACGGCACAAACCATTGTTGTTACATTGCAGCAATAGTGCAGAAATATTCTGATAAATTCGTACACGTTGCAATAAAAACGAGTATTACAGACGCATTGTATTGAAGAATATTGTATCTATGTGTTCTATATATGTATATGTGTATCGAATACTCTTTTTGTACTATAATTTATCTTCGACGCGGAGGAAACCAATCGTCGCTACTCACGTATTAATGTCGTAATTATACATATCATATGTTCAATAGAATGTTTCTCAAGATCATCGCTTATTAAACTCTTCCAATCAGAAATTTGTATTCGTGATTGAGAGAACATTCGATAATTCTAGGACACACTCTCTATGCGAATATATTATACAGGGTAGCCCCGAACGTTCCAGCCAGACTTTGAGATCTTACAGGAAATTTAATTCTGAACAAAAAATTTCCTATAAACATGAGTCGAAAAATGCTTCCTTAAGAATTTATCGCTCAAAAATCTCTGATAAAAGAAGAGTAAAAGGTGAAAAGAAAATGAAATAAAAAGAAAATTAAATTAAATAAATTTCTTGAAAAAAACGATAAAAATAAAAAAATAAAAATCTTTTTCTTTTATGAAAATAAAATAATTTTTTTTTAACTATTATTTTAGTAATAGCACGTAATAGTAGAAAATGAATAAAGACGTTTTTCAAGAAATTTATTTAGTTTCATTTCCTTTTTATTTCATTTTCTTTTCACCTTTTGCTCCTTCATCAGAGGTTTTTGAGCGATAACTTCTTAAGGAAGCATTTTTCGATGTTTATAGGAAATTTTTTCTTCAGAATTAAATTTCCTATAAGATCTCAAAGTCTGGCTGGAACGTTCGGGGCCACCCTGTATATGTCCAGCAAACACCAAGTAACATTTATATAATTGTTAGTTGTAATTTCCCACTCAACAATATAACTGTTATATAACTGTTATTATTACATATTATTATATAATATGTAACAGTTATATTGTCGAATGGAAAATTTTATAATTAACAGTTATTTGGTGTTTGTTGGGATATGTATGTATATATTTTTTTTCATATTATTATTCATATATAAATATATATATATTATTATTCAAATACAAATACTTCTTGGTAACTTTATAGGCATTTAATTATACGTTCCATTTTGCGTTGAAGATTTCGACAAATATATTCAAACTCACTGCTCACGATTAAGGCAACTCCAAAAATCTCTTCGAGCTTTTGTACCTAAGTCAATTTTTTTCTCCGGCGATTTAATTGGCCATCTATCATCAATATGACGTCTTTATCACAACATTCTTGCAATCTTGTGATTGCTTTCCTCTTTTTGAATGGAAATTGACTTTTTTCAAGCAAAGTAACCAACAGTTATATAACTGTTAATAGTTATAATTAGTTATAACCAACAGTTATATAACTGTTAATAGTTATAATTTCCTACTCAACAATATAACTGTTACATAACTGTTATATAATTGTTATGTGTTAAATAACAATTATATTATTGAGTGGGAAATTATAACTAACAATTATACAATTGTTGCTTGGTATTCGCTGGGATAGATCTTTGAACGTCGATAAATTTGCGTGTCTCTCACCGAGTGCATTTCATTCGTGTGTATTTATGTACACATCGATTCGATTTGTAATTTTTTCGATACAAATGTTCAATGAATGTTCGAAGAATTTATTTTCGCTCTGTTGTTTGATTAAAATTCGCAAATATTACATATCCAGAAAAAGAAATTTAACTTTCATCAATGTTTGATCGATGAATTTCAGGCAAATAGAATAGCGCATTTTTCTATCGTTACAAAAATATGTTTTATCCTTAAATATTTTAATGCGACCAAAAATTATTTTAATCTTAAAATTTCAAGAACTCTGGATTTTAATTTATTCATTTCGAATGTAAAAAATAATTCGAAACATGGCATCGCATCGAAAGAATTATTTTGTCCTTTATATTAAATATATTGAAAATTATATATTATTATTATATATTGAATATTAAAAATCACATTCAATTTTCTCTAAACTTAAGAATTAAAAAAAACTTATTAAAGATTGTAGAAAACGAAAGTATACCAATGTCTCGTTGTAGGAAACGAAATCACTAGAGTCGAGACAAAAGTTAAATTGTTCACTTGTTAACTCTTAAAAATCAGATATCTAAATATAAAATACAGTACAAGAATACGACCTAATCTCTAATCTAAGATTACTTAAACGACGTATCTAGTTGAAAAAGATTCAGGTGTGAAAAAACAAACTTCACTTCAAGAGTATTCCAAGTCTGCTCGACTGTGCGGTACTCATGAATGTTGGCAGGATATAATCTGAGGCGCTAACGGAGGCGGTAGAGGCGCGTTCTCTTCGTGGATCATCACCAGCTTGCCGTACTTTACCATTCTTCTCTGCTTGCGCTGAATGGGACAAGTAAAAAAAAAATAGATTGTGTTATATACAGGGTTAGGAAAAAGTCTGGATACCCCTTAATATTTCGAAAAATACGCATTTTCAAAAAAAAAATGTTTGCATACCCCTTAATATTTCGAAAAATACGCATTTTCAAAAAAAATATTTCATACAAAAGTTATAGGGTTTTATGTGGCGCATTACACAGCAACATTATTATGACCTCGAATAGCGTTGTCAGGATTATATAAAGGTCAGCTTCAATTTTTTAAATAGAACCCTATATTTTTTATTGCATATTCTTGTAGCTTATCTCGAGAGCTTTCCAAAACACTATAATAAATTATTTTTCCATGAAGTACTTTTCGAGTTATGAGGCTTGAAATCATTTCTTAATATTACATAAACCATAAAATATCTTGTAAAATATTCATTTTTCAATTATCTTACCTTAATACTTTTATATACAAAATAATGAGAGGAATCAATTGGTGTAAAGAAAACATAGAGTTGTTTTTAAGAAAAAATATGGAATCGTTAATTGCAAATTACATCTTTTTTTCTTAGAAACAACTATGTTTTCTTTACACCAATTGATTCCTCTCATTATTTTATACATAAAAGTATTAGGTATAAGGTAAGATAATCGAAAAATGAATATTTTACAAAATATTTTATGGTTTATGTAAAATTAAGAAATGATTTCAAGCCCCATAACTCGAAAAGTTCATGGAAAAATAATTTATTATAGTGTTTTGAAAAGCTCTCAAGATGAGCTGCAAGATAATGTAATAAAAAATATAGGGTTCCATTTAAAAAATTGAAGCTGAACTTCACATAACCTTGACAACGCTATTCGAAGTCATAATAATGTTGCTGTGTAATGCGCCACATAAAACCCTATAACTTTTGTATGAAACATTTTCTTTTTAAATGCATATTTTTCGAAATATTAAGGGATATCCACTTTTTCCTGTATAACCGAATATACATTTTGCTAGATTTTTTAAATAAATTTCGCAACTTTTTCTTCAATTTGCTCTTCTCTCACCTGCGACTCGGTCCAATTGCTATTGCTGCTTCCGCTGTCGCTTCCGCTTGACGTGATCCCATCCTCGAGAACGAGTTCCGTACCAAAGCCCCCCAGCTCCAGATCCAGATAAAGCTGTCCCAGCTGATCGTTCACCAGAAGCGGTTGATTGAATTCCTTCATCGCATCCATGTCGACCTTCAGCACCTCGTTCAACGTCTTCGGATGCATCTGGTATTTGTAGATCAACTCCGGCGTCAATTGTACGTCCTCCAACCAGGGTGGCTCCCTCCTTCGCATTCCTTGATGACACTTGGTGTGTTCCTGCGCATTTTTATTATCGATTATAGATGGATTATAAATTGAAGAGGTCTGAGAAGCGTCTAAAAGACATACGAAAGATTGAGACGTCTTTCGGACATCTTTCGAGCATTGCCCCGTTTGGTTTTCTACCTCGGAGGAAGCCTCGCACGTTTTCTGGTCTGGATTGCAGCTGCTGTCGCTGCTCTTGTATAGGAAGCTACTGTAGAAGCTGGACGAGCTTGACTCGTCTCCATTGTATTCGGTTGGCCGACGATGCTGCTTCATGATCACTGGTGTCAGGAGATCTACCACGCTCGAGCAGCCACCGTTGCTCACGCATGAAAATAGCTCGCCCGGCGACAGAACCTGAAAGAAATAATTAAAATTATAAAGTAACCTCATCGTAAAATCGACGTTACCGAGAATGTAAATTTTGTACATGCTTTATAAGTTGTCAAAATTCTTTAAAATTCCAATAATATGAAATGCAGCAATTTTTTCAATTGTTTTCTACAGCAGATAATTTGTGAAATGCACCAAAGTCAACCGGTGATTGGTTTACCTTCTTGGAGGACTCGGACATGGCCATTATACTCCCAGGCTCGGCCTTGACACTCGTAGCTTGACTAGCGGGTCGCTTACGATCCGGACACTTGTCGTCGGACGACTGTTGCTGGCTCTCGCGCGTTGGAGCTTGCTCCGGCATCAGAAACGGTTGATACATCATCGCACACGGTGGCGGCGCGCCAATCATGGCTGGATAAATCATCCCGGCCATCGTTGTGACGTAGGACACTGGAACAAATACAAGAATGATTTCCTAGCTCGAATGTATTTGCGATCGCTACTTATTTCTATGTCAAATATGACACCTACTATAAGAATGCTGCGTCGAGTGTGTCGACGGAGGTGGGTCGAGCTTCTGCTGGGGCGGCAACATCTGCGACGCGGACTCCCTGGGCTGTGGCACCGGCACGTAATACACCGGTATCACCGAGGGAAGTAAGGAAAATCTCGGTGTCGCCTCCGAATTGCTACTGAAAAGTGCGATATTAAAACAATTCACTCCCATGTGGCTCATAATTGTTTTTCTAATTAAAAAAAATATACAGAGTGTTTCAAAAGTCCCGACCGATCGAATATTTCATAAACTAATGCACTTTAGAAAGAAATGTTTCAAACAAAAGTTGTATGGCTTGAAGAGGGCCATCAGATAGTGGCAATGATTTGACATAGGAGAGTCATTTGAAAGTCACGTGAAGATCACCGTCAATTTCTTAAATGAAACCCCCTATTTTTTATTACATATTCGTGTAGCTTATCTCGAGAGCTTTCCAAAACACTATAATAAAGTATTTCTTCATTGAGTACTTTTCGAGTTATGAGGCTTGAAATCATTTCTTAATTTTATATAAACCGTAAAATATTCTTATAAAATATTCATTTTTTGATTATCTTACCTTAATAATTTTATGTACAAAATAATGAGAGGAATCAATTGGTGTAAAGAAAAAACATAGTTGTTTTTAAAAAAAAAATATGTAATTTGCAATTAACAATTACATATTTTTGTTAAAAACAACTATGTGTTTTCTTTATACCAATTGATTCCTCTCATTATTTTGTACATAAAAGTATTAAGGTAAGATAATCGAAAAATGAATATTTTACTAGATATTTTATGGTTTATGCAAAATGGGACACTGTATATCCTAGCAAACATAGAATATTGCAGCAATATTGCGGTAATATTACAACATTGCAGCAATGTTGGTGCAAAATTTTATGTTGTGTGGGTATAAAATATTAACATTTTAAGAGAAACTGAATCCTTACTTGTGGATGGAAGGTTGCGCAGATACAGAGGAGGGTACGGTAACTGATAGGGGTGGCCATAGATTAATATTTGTTCCCGTTTGCACCACGGTCGACTGATCGAGACTCATGCTGGTGACGGTGGTCGTCAGATTTGCCGGACCTGCCGTGCTCGTCCTCGAAATTTTATCGTGTTTGGACACCTATTTTTCATTTAAACTCATATAAATCTTGCCTAGATATCTCTATTCGCTTCATAATTAATTATCATTCATATAGTTATACATCTATCTGGTATCTTCATAACATTGGAAAATGAGAAATTGTAAAATCTATTTATGTATCGTGCAAGAAAGATGAAGAAATACCTTGTAGCTATCACCCTCCCAACTATGACTACCGCTCCTCTTGACCCCGTGACCCTGATTCACGTAATGAACGCTCTGATCGGTACCCTTTTCGGTTTTGATGCGGGAGTCCTTCAGTTTGTCGCTGTTCTTGATGCTGGAACGCAGTTCCCGATGTTTCTGCATCATCAGCTTCTCCATATCCTCGTTGTGGCGATTCAACAGTGATTCCGTCAACGTGGGCAGCTTAAAGCTCTCCATCGGGGCGGTCGTGATGCTGTTACTTGTGGTGTTGAAGGCATCACCTCGGCTGGCCGAGCTCGTCTGATTGTTGGAACCGCTGCTCAGATTTTCGGCGCTACCACTGCCGCTCGCACCACTGCCATTTATCGGCGACATGCATTTCCTCGCTGAAAAAACAAAGACTTTGATTCTCTGCTGATTTTCCTTCCAAGAAATTTACCTTGAAAAAGATGTATGTTTCAAATTTTAATTTGTGCAAGGAACTTAAGAAATTTTTCAAATACGACACTGGAAACTAAATATTCATTTAAGAAGGATAAACTCCTCATGGTTAAATTTATCATTTATTTTCTTTACTTTTCCGGTAAGTTTATTCTTCTGGATTCGAAACAGTATTGAAATTATATGAATTTAAAAATACATATTCAAGCACATATGTTTCTTTCTAATGTCTTTTTTTTCTAAACCTATAATATCCCTAACAGCACAATAAATTGGAGCAACATTACAGTAATATTTCACGGCAAAATTGCAATATTATATTGCGAGCAATTACTGCAATGTTGCAGCAATCTATGTCCTACCCTGCGTAATATTGCTACAATATAATTGTTACATAATATATAACTGTTACATAACATGTAACCTAACCATTATACAGGGTGGCCTCGAACGTTCCAGCCAGACTGAAAAACGTCTTTATTAATTTTCTAATATTATGTGCTATTACTAAAATATTAGTTAAAAAAAAAATTATTTTATTTTCATAAAAGAAAAAGATTCTTATTTTTTATTTTTATCGTTTTTTTCAAGAAATTTATTTAATTTCATTTTCTTTTTATTTCATTTTCTTTTCATTTTTTGCTCTTCCTTCATCAGAGGTTTTTGAGCAATAACTTCTTAAGGAAGCATTTTTCGACCCATGTTTATAAGAAATTTTTTGTTCAGAATTAAATTTCCTATAAGGTCTCAAAGTCTGGCTGGAACGTTCGGGGCCACCCTGTATATTGTTAAGTGGAAAATTATACAAATTAAACACCAAATAACAGTTATATAACTGTTATTTGGTGTTTGCTGCGATCATTATTCTATATGAATTAATTTTAATATTACAGCAATATTGCGCAGGATAGGACATAGATTGCAGTAATATTGCTCGCAATATGCAATTTTGCCGTAAAATATTGCTGCAGTGTTACTGCAATCTATTGCGCTGTCAGAAATAGTTTAATAACGTATGGACGAGGAAATATTGAAGATGATGACTTACCGCCTTCGTCATTGCTGGAATTGACATTCTCCTCATCGCTGTACATGGTGGTGACGAGCGGTTTGCTCTTGAAGAATCGCTCGAGGTTCTCGTTGTAATTGAGCTGATTGTAGCTCGGCGGCGTTTCCGTGGAGGATTTACTATCGTAGTACTCGTGATGGGGCGAGATCTCACCAAGCATCACGCTGTCGTGCTCCTGCAACAAGGGATTGCGTGATCCCTTTACAAGTATATTGTAGGAACTTAGTATGAATCGTCACTGAGAAATAAGTATGCAATTTAAGAGGGTCAGTAGAGTTTTTGCGTGGTCGCTTTTTTGCGTGAGCGGTGGATAAGTATCCCGGCAGCCCTGGCGGAGATCAGTCTCGCTAAGAACAAGTGTTGAAAGACCCTCACCCGTTAATACATTAAACCTTCTACGATTCACTTATTCGCAAGCTTCTGCGGCAAGCTTCGTGCGAATATTTACGCGTTATTTACAGCGAAGAGTTAGGATCGATCGATCGATCTCAGTCAGTACCTCACCATCCGGATCGCAATGTCCCTCGTTGCGTCGGATCTGTTATTCCCCCTTCTCTGGGATTGGAATCAGTAGAGTTCGCGACTTCGGTATCGCAGATACATACGAGCGTTTCAAAACCTGAATTTCATCATTCTCGTCTTTCTTTTGCTCCATCTTTCATTCAAATCTTTAAAAATACTATCAATAATAATGATAGGCATGCAATACTAAAAATACGATCAATAATAATGAAAGGCATGCAATAAAAATAAATTGAGGAAAATATGTAAATTAAAAAGGAGTGCAAAATAATCAGTTAAATGTAGTTTTAAAGCGAAAACTTTTTTTTCGACTAAAAAATGACTAATTAAAAATAATACAAAATAGAATCAAAATTCATCAATAATCATTCGCGTGTTCTGTCCTGTTTCTCACCTTTTCTTCACATTCTCGTCCGTTCTATACTCTGTCATTAGTTTCAAAACCTTGTAAGTGAGAAAGTTCATCGAATGTTACGAATATTTATCATTCTGTAATAATCTTCCAAGTCAGATATAAACTAGAATTTTAAAGAATACGTTGCATATGAAATATTTCGATGAGCCAAATAGCTTGAGCAGATAATCACGTGAAAAAGTGTGATACAAATATTGAAGACTGTCATTTTCGATAGAAAAATTGCCTGATGCAGAAGAGAAAATTTCTGAAGAGACAAAAATAAAAAAAAATTGTTACTCCTTGAACCTTCAATTCCGACATTTTTACCGGGTCTCACAGTGAAAGAATACGCATATTGCTCGTACGCCGATTAAAAGAATACCCAAAAGTCCCAGTAAATTAATTTATGAATTTTTATTTTTATCGTTTTTTTCAAGAAATTTATTTAGTTTCATTTTCTTTTTATTTCATTTTCTTTTTATTTTTTGCTTTTTATTTTATGAAGCAAAATTCTCTTCACGATACGGGAAATGAAGTCAGCTCATTCGAAAAAGGCAGCGGAAATAAATGGGATCCGCTGCGTAAGATCGCCTCTTTCATCACGTTATCGATGGATAATAATAAAGTGAGTATGAAACAGAAAAAAAAAACAAGAAAAGTACGTAAAATAGAGACTTACCGGACGATCAGTGCCTACAAGGTTTTGAAATTGACGCTTATCCATTAATTCCGGCCCTACCCAATTTTCTCCATCTATACAAAAGAATTTGGTGAAGAGTTTTCTTGATTAAAGATTTTTTCCTGCTAACCACTGTTTGTGTTATAACTGCTATCAGGATTCATGCGCTCTTTCCAAGTGCCCTGGGAAATCTACTCACCTTCCTCAACTCTACTAAGCCCCTCTAAAAAGATTTCGTCCGAAGAAGTAGCGAGAATCTTTTCGCTGGGCGCGTTTTCACCGGTGCTACGTCTTCGATATCACGAGCAAACTCGAGATCCGTCTTGATCCGATTAATTTTCATCCGATCAATTTTTAAGAATTTAAATAAACAAATTATTAAAATAAATAAACGATTCAAGATTAATTAATCTGTTATGTCGGAAATTAATCTATAAGAAATTCTGCCGCCAAAGGATCATTATTTATCTACAGATCAAGGCGGTGCTCGATAAAAATATTTGCATGGACACTGTCATTAATGTAAATTAACAATGTCGATAACACTTTGGTATCTTGATATAATTTTAAGTATAAATTTATGAATATTAATATTAATAATTATATTAATAATTATATAATATAATTATATAATATAATAATTAATAATAATAATTAATAATAAATTTATTGATATAAATTTAAGTAATAGTTAAATTAAATATTTTTTAATTCAACAATAATTATTTATTTAATTGTTCTATTTTTAAAAAATTGGACTCGCGTTCGGTTAAAGAGGACACTGTACATGCAAGTTAATTATGAAATCCATATTATGTTGAGTCCTTTCGGGATATCGTCGAAGACACCGTTTTATGGCGATTGTATCAAGGATACAACAACAAAAATTACAAGAAGACCCGAGCGACAAGCGAAAGTTCCCGATTACTTCATAAAGTCTTATCAATTAGTCATTCTACGAATTGTTTTAATTCTATTTACATCATGCGTTCGCCATATTTGTGGAAAGAAAGGAAACATTCAAGAGTGGAAGTCACTGTCTCTCATGAATAACTTCCTTTCGGTTCCAGTTCACGATACGTCGTTTTCTTGCTATTAATTTTTAATGCGAAAAAAAATATATTCCCGATGATATCAATGATTCTTGCAGTATTATGCAATCATCAGGATTTTTAGCAGTGATTCTTTTTTCATCCTCTCCGAAGATTCAGAAACGAATTTTCGGAAAAGCGTATCGTGCATCGGCGAGATGAGATTAGACGACATTATTAAGTAGTATTGCTATTAACTATATATATATATATATATTATAGATATATATTAGAGTTTTCTTTTCGTAGCATACCAGAGCGGAGCGTAAGTATTATCGTAATAATATTTTCTTGGCGATACTAAAACGTAGCTAATAGTCACCGAAAAGCTCCTGAGTTCGTCTGCTGTGAGACGCCCATCCTTGCTCACCCCGAGCGCCTTCGTCTCCTGGAGCAGACTTTCCATGAAGGATGCTAGATCCTTACATCGCTTTGATACGTCGAGTTCGGTTATATCTGACTTTCTCTGGACGCTCTGCGCGCACATGCAGAAAAACGGATAGAACAAAAAGAGAAAACAAGTTAGAGAAATAAGTAGGCTTACTTCATCCGTGATGGGGAGAGATTTTTCTTTTGTTTTCAAAAAGACGCGTAATTTTTTTCTACTCAATACATACGGGACGTGATTTGAATGGGACATTAAAATGGGACACCTTGTATATTATGCTGTTAGGAAAGCGTGATAAGACCTTGGGATAATATTAAGTCTCGTCGCATTATTATTGAAGTCGTTAAAGAACTGGCGATGAAATAAGGGTAACCCAGTTTCTTTTTTTTTCTAATTTTTCGTAAAATTTTAGGCCTCATTTTCACATAGCGAGTATATATCGTTACCTCGTCGAGGAGCGCTCGTATCTCGCCCTGAATGATCTTAGCCTCCTTCAGCACCTCCTCGCTTATACTGGCCAGGTAGCCGGAATCGGTGTCGCGCGGCACGCGAAAAATGTCTGGGTTCACCGGTCCTTTGAGCACCCGGTGCTGACCTACGACAAACTCTAGTTTTTTCGTCCATGGATTGATAAAGGATGACCACTCGGTCTCGAGAACGACGCAGCCTCCGTTTTGCACGGCGAATCTGTACGGCTTCGACCTGAAGGAGGAGCCTTCGAGCCTGATCACCTGTTCAACGACAGGTAAAGGAATCAACGTGAATAATTTGTCGTAAACCGAGAACGCTCTCTCGCTCTCTTCCTATCTCTCCTCGTCACAATCGCATTCATTCTCTCTCTTTCTCTCTTCTTTCATCATCCGCACTTTCTTTTTCCATGCGTGCACACACGACTGAAACCTAGATTTCTTTCTTTTTGAGGGGAGAGGGAGGGCTCATGCTCACAGTCTCATAGATGTCTTTGATGAAAGGCAGATCCTCGGGATGGTAGAAGTCAAACAGCGAACGGCCAACCATATCCTGTGGTAGGTAGCCGAAGTATTGGACTACGTCGGGATCGACGTGAGATAAATGGCACGTCGCAGTGTGGCGGGTCGTGAATATCGAAGATATTATTGTTTCTTCTGGCGCTGCGGATAATGACAAGTTCGGGGTCATTCTCTCTCGTCGTGGGTTACTACTACGAGTGAGAGTCTTAGTTGTTACGATGATTAGGCGTCGACAAGCTGCAGGGTGGAAATTCGCACGCTGTTAATTGCATAAGTTATACAAGAGGCCCGTCCTTTTCAACCTTAGTTAAAATTATCCTTAGTAAATCATACAACTTTGCACGAATTTCCACGCTAGTTGCGGCTAAACTTTGGAACTTTATCTCCTTTTTCTAGAATTTTCTCATCCCATACAGCAGAACATTGCAGCAATATTGCAATACTGCAACAACGTTGTAATATTGCTGCAATATTGCTGCAATGTTCTGTGCTTTATCCCAGCAAACATCAAATAACAGTTATGTAACTGTTAGTTATAATTTTCCGCTCAACAATATAACTATTACATGTTATGTAACTATTATATAACTGTTATACAGGGTGTCCCAAAAGTCCCAGACCGGTCGAATATTTCATAAACTATGCACTTTAGAAAAGAATGTTTCAGACAAAAGTTGTATGGCTTGAAGGAGGCCATCAGATAGTGGCAATGATTTGACTTTGGAGAGTCATTTGAAGGTGACGTAAAAGTCACCTTTAATTTTTTAAATGAAACTCCCTATTTTTTATTACATATTCGTATAGCTTATCTCGGGAGCTTTCCAAAACACTATAATAAAGTATTTCTTCATTGAGTACTTTTCGAGTTATGAGGCTTGAAATCATTTCTTAATTTTGCATAAATCATAAAATATCTAATAAAATATTCATTTTTCGATTATTTTACCTTATATTTTTATGTACAAAATAATGAGAGGAATCAATTGGTGTAAAGAAAAAACATAGTTGTTTTAAAAAAAAAATATGTAATTGTTAATTGCGAATTACATATTTTTTTTTAAAAACAACTATGTTTTTTCTTTACACCAATTGATTCCTCTCATTATTTTGTACATAAAAGTATTAAGGTAAGATAATCGAAAAATGAATATTTTATAAGATATTTTACGGTTTATGTAAAATTAAGAAATGATTTCAAGCCTCATAATTCGGAAAGTACTTAATGAAAACTAACTTAATTATAGTGTTTTGGAAAGCTCTCGACGTGAGCTACCAGAATATTTAATAAAAAATAGGAAGTTCCATTTAAGAAATTGACGGTGATCTTCACGTGACTTTCAAATGACTCTCCCATGTCAAATCATTGTCACTATCTGATGGCCCCCTTCAAGCCATACAACTTTTGTCTGAAACATTTCTTTCTAAAATGCATAGTTTATGAAATATTCAACTGGTCCGGGACTTTTGGGACACCCTGTATAGCTGTTATATAACAGTTATATAACATGTGACAATTATATTGTTGAGTGGGAAATTGCAATGAACAATTATATAAATATCACTTAGTGTTTGCTGGGATGGGATATTATGAGAATATGCCATTTTCGAAAGACTGTAACATGTAACAACAATTTTGAAGATGTAAGATGTAATGATTGCAATGATATAAAAATAATTTGATGAAAAATACATCGCGTGCACAATCGATTGACCAGAAAAGAAAATTTCGAAAAATATATATACGGCCGAGATAAGAAACTCAAACGACACAAAGCCCACCGATGCGAATGGAAATTCAAAATTGATGAAACATCCGATGGCGAAGCTTGCGTGCGCTTTGTGATCGAGAATAAGCGAATCTGTTGTGCGTTGAAGAAAAGCGAAGCTTGCGAATACCTTGCTTGTGAAACGATGATGAGCGATTTGTGAAAACACATGTAAATGTAAGAATAGTCTCGTAACAGTGGTCTCCAAACTGAACGGAAAAATGAATCGGAACGACAAAATGGAACGACAAAAACAACGACAAAAACGCCAATCAACATATCGTCACGTGTCACCGACTTTGGAAAAATTGGAAATAAGTTACCTTCGGTTTAGGCTTTCCATGGAAACCACCGACTCACTGTGAGTATCGTCGAAGAGGTCAGACCAAACGACAAGATTCGATCGAGCAGTGAACGTTAAGCGTCTCGATCCTCACACACGACAGAAGATGTATCTCGGAAAGCAATAAATAATTGAGAGTAATTATAGAGACTAGAATTACGGCACAAAGATCCTGTATTTTTTTACATTTATATATTTCAGATACACCCCCGAATACTTTATCCTGTGCGAATCAATCCGACAAAACTTTGCCTTGATTATTCTGTTATTATTATTACGTTAAAATATAGCTCATGCGATTAATACATTCGCAGGGGAAAAGAGTTAATTTTTAGTGGAGAAAAATTAAATGGGGAGAAAGTTAGTTGCAAGAAATTCTGAGACTCGAAATCATCTGTTCATCAAAGTTAGTTTTGCAATAATCAAAACCGATTATTTGTAATCATCGAGTCCTCTCGTCGGTCGGACCTCATCGAAGACCTTGGACTATGCTACCTTTATATGCGGAATGGACGGGTTGGGCAGTAACTACGAGGAACATAGCTCGGTTGCTGGGCTTTTGTTCAACCGTCTGGTCACGGAACGATAGGGTCAGGTGAAACGTCAGGTACAGGTTCGATCTAACGTCCGCGCGATGTCCATTAGACACGTTGTTCTTGGTGAATCTTCGAAGGCCGCAGAACAGGCTCGCCCTTCTACCGTTGATGCCTGGAAAACGCAATAGATCCCAACACTGAGGTGTCAAAGAAAAATATAAGTAACATTTCCATCAAGAAATCGATTCGTAAAATCATAGAAAATTTAAAAAATATCTGTTGAAAAAATATGCAGAGTGTTTCTTAATAAGTGCGAAGAATTTTAGGAGATGGTTCTTTGTCGAAAATTAAGGGAGATTTTTCGTATAAACATATAATTACATATAAATTATAAAATTAATAAAAATTAGGTTTTTATTTTGTTCTCAAATTTGGAACAAGTTAAAGAAATGAAATTAGGTGGGTATTTTCTACTAGTAAAAAGGTTATTTATTAATATTTTTTGAGCCTCCCGTATTGTTATAAAGGGATAAAACTAACAATCCCTATTCAATTTTTTATTAGAACTTTTTAATGAGCTGGAATAAGATCATCTAAAAATACGTATTAAAAAGTTTGATTTATTTAGAAATTTTTTTATTTCTTTTATTTTTTTCATAAAATCAGTAGTTTTCAAGAAAAAAAAAATAAAATACGTTATCGTGCACAGCACGATGCTAAATAGCATAGGTTTCGAATTACGAGAGGTTTTAAAATAAAAATAAAATTATAGTAAATGTTGGGAAAATTGGGAAAACAAAAACAAAAATATAATAGAAACCTAAAAACCTAAAAAATAAAAACCTAATTTTTGCCCCCATTTTTGGAGGAGTGTAACTTTCATTTTTGGAGGCGTATACATTTATATGAAAAACCCCTCTTAATTTTCGACAAAGAACCATCTAAAATTTTTCGCACTTATTAAGAAACACCCTATATAATCTCTCGAGCAAGAAATTTATCAAGACATACGTCGAATATAATTTTTATATACCTTTAGATCGCTCTTCTTGCGGCGAGGAAATGCCTCTAGTGATCTGATCAGCCAAGGTGACTTTATCCTTCGGGTGTACGTAATCGATGAAGGATTGGCCAATCCAGGCGTCCTTAAGATAGCCGAGGGCAGTGCATATCGACGGGGTTGTGTACAACACGAGACCGTCGTGCATCGAAATCACCGCACAAAATCCTTCCTGAAGGGTACATTCGGTAGATTAGGCGAAAAAATAATCAACAATGACGTTAATGTTAATGCGAATAATAACGTAATATTAAATCTTTGACTTTTTTTCCAAACACTTTTATCCTACATTTATTTTTAATTTATTATTTTTATTATTATTATTATTTTTATTATTATTTTATTATTATTATTATTTTTAATTTATTCCTACGTTTATTTTTAATTTTTCTCCCCCTATTACGATTACTGATGTTATACTAACGTTGGCCTGAGATGTAGAATCGTCCAAAGGGATCGTCCGCGAAGCAAGTCCTGCTGCTTCCGGATCTGCGACGGCATCGCCATTGTGTTCGCCAGGATCCGTTGCATCCATCAATTCCACGATGGCTACCTCTTCTAGCATTACGCCAAGAAAAAATTTCGTTATGTCTTCCGGATCATCCCAGGTCCAAAAGTAGTCATTTTGACACCATGTTGACGGTAAATTGCGCCAAAATGACATTAAAATGATTACTTTTGCTACCTGAAATTTGTCTAAAAAGCTGAGGGAATGATGGAAAGAAGAGGAAAAAGGATCAACTGTCCAAAATTGGTATAAGAAGTATTTCGGAATTTTTATTTTTATGTATCTCTTTGTTTTGATCTGATAAGAGGACTGAATTTTTTGTAAAACTACTAATGTTATAAAAAAGAAGTATTTCGGAATTTTTATTTTTATGTATCTCTTTGTTTTGATCTGATAAAAGGACTGAATTTTTTGTAAAACTACTAATGTTATAAAAAATTTGTAACAATAAAACAATGAAAAAAACAATGAAAAAAAAAACAGAAAAAAGAAAATACTATTTGATTACATTTATAATTGAATTGTATAAATATTATATAATTATACACAATATTTATACACTTCAATTATAAATGTATATTTGTGTATCCTTTTTTTGTAAATACTTTAAAATATAATTAAAATTAATATTTTAAAATTTAATTTAAATTAATTCTGAATAAACTCGATAATATTGATCTGCGAAAAATCGCATTGTCAAAACAGAAGGACACGTTCAAATTCAATCTTCAGGTGTATCATCACTTCCCGGTGAAAGGCATTTCTTTGCGAGCACATGAGTACGTGAGTGTATAATATACGATGAGTGTATAATATACGATGGCATTTAAGTGAAAGTCACGTGAAGATCACCGTCAATTTCTTAAATGGAACATCCTATTTTTTATTACATATTCGTATAGCTTATCTCGAGAGCTTTCCAAAACACTGTAATAAAATATTTCTTCATTGAGTACTTTTCGAGTTATGAGGCTTGAAATCATTTCTTAATTTTGCATAAACCGTAAAATATCTAGTAAAATATTCATTTTTCGATTATCTTATTAAAATACTTTTATGTATAAAATAATAAGAGGAATCAATTGATGTAAAGAAAACACATAGTTGTTTTAAAAAAAAATATGTAATTGTTAATTGCAGATTACATATTTTTTTCTTAAATATTTTACAAGATATTTTACGGTTTATGCAAAATGAAGAAATGATTTCAAGCCTCAAGTCCGGGACTTTTGGGACACTCTGTATGTAATATTTTATTGTTTAGATCGATCCTTGTAAGACATTAAATGACATTAAATTTGTCATTAAAAGGTGATTTTTAGAGGCTCTATATTTGATCGCGTATTAAAAGGATTAAATAAACGGCGACGTAAACGCTTACGCAAACATAAGGAATAACGCGCTGGCGAGGAACACGGATGATTTCGTAACGCGCACGTTACCTCCAATTAACGCATCCCCGGGGGGTTGGCATTAACTCTCCGCTAAAAATACGAGCGACGCTCTTTAATAAACACCGATTAAACTAACGAAACTCTCTCCAATTATCGTGAGTGAAAAAGACTGAGGAATTTTTAGCTCGAAAATTTTCATTACGTCATCACGTCGACGCATTGTATAACGCTTTTGGAAAAAGCTGAATCTGCGCCATAAGTTCCACGTTTTAAACGCGTGATTAAATTCATTTGGCTTCGTCGCTTAACTTATTGATCCACATCAGCAGTTCTCGGTATTTTATATAACTCGCGTGTATTAAAATCCAAATCACGTTCCCGAGAAAAGAAAACAAGACTTTGCAATATGCGTGTGAAGTTTTCCAAACAAAAATGATTTTTTTCTCGATAATTTACTAAATATCTTTCTGTCATGTTTTTTGACTTCCGTTTATTTCTCTTTTTTCACGATTTTTATATATTGAATTTTTATTTAATTAAAAATCTTCACACTACCTATCCATTTATTTCTTTTGTTTCACATTTCATAATATTTATTAAATAAAAATTAAATAAATAAAAATTTATTAAATAAAAATCTTTGCACTATCTATTCGTTTATTTCTTTTTTTCACATTTCATAATATTTATATATTAAATTTTTTTATTTAATTAAAAATCTTTGCACTATCTATCTATTTATTTCTTTTTCTCACATTTCATAATATTTATATATTGAATTTTTATTTAATTAAAAATCTTCGCACTACCTATCCATTTATTTCTTTTTTTTTTACATTTCATAATTCCATGTTGAATTTTTATTTAATTAAAAATCTTCGCACTATTTTACAATTATAAATATTTATTTAAAAAATGCGCAATATCGGAAAAAAATCGAGGAAAATATTTACATAAACGGAGCAATAAATGATTTAATCTTAAAACTGCTGTGAACAAAATCGATAAACTTCGCTGGATAAAAGCATCACGTTGGATGGAAAATTTTATACTTTATTTCATAAAAGAATCTCGTTCACATTTTTGCTTCTATTGAGGCGAAATATCTTTCCTTTTTTTCTTATATGTCAAAAGCGTTATTTAAAAAAAAATCTACAACAAAACACATGTGTTCTCCTTCAGGTCACCAGTACGGATCGATTTTGATTACGAAAACGAGCACGTAACGGAACGCACGTTCCGGAAGAGCTTTAAAATAATTCGCGTTAATCGTGAAAATAATCTGTCGAGAATCATGCATTTGAGCTTTTAATCTCTCTTTGTTGTTCCAATTTAGAAAGAGAGATTTTATTTTTATATATTTATATATATTCCAATTTATAAAAAGATTTTATTTCTATGTTTACATGTATTTCAATTTAAAAAGGTTTTATTTTTTTGTTTATATATTTATTATACTTTAACACGTGCCTTAAACGCGCTCATATATTTTGTTCCTGTTTCCATCTCGAGCTTTTAATGATAATCTCGTTATCTTCGATAGAAATATTCGACGAAATTAAATCGTTCCAACAAAATAATCGTCGAACTAAGGGATTATCGTGAAAGGATCATCGAACGGAAATCCTAGATGAGGGAAACCTAAAGAGATCGGGAAGAGTGCACAAAACTTATCAAAAAATAAACAGAAAAATAATGAGAATCTTACAGGACGAACATACAACGATTTCGATCTCCGAAGTCTGATTCAATAGATAATAAGTAAATTTTGCAAACATATTTGTGAAACACTAGTGAAAGCAATCTTGCATCATAAAGGCAAGTATGCCAAATTTAAATCCATTCCACTGCGAGTGAAAACTGCACGTGTACGATCGGACGAAACACGCGAGGAAATAAATCGAAAGTCCGGGCAACATTTATTTTCAGTCAATAATAAATTATTACATGTCGAAAAAAATTATAATTTAATTAATTCATTAATAAAATTATTACATGTTGAAAAAAATTATAATTTAATTAATTCATTAATTAAATTATAATTTTTCTCAACATGTAATAATTTAATTAATTAAGTCTATTTCATTGATATTGAAAATTTTAAAAATCGACTCGTAAGGTGAAAAAAATTGCGTGCACTCGTTTTCCTTTTGTGACTCGCGAAAGGACCTACCTGGCTTCTCGTCAAGCACGGTATTCGTGGGGACGATGGCGTTGTAGGATGCGACTTCCGGCAACGCATTCGATGTTATCAAGACGCCGACTTCCGTCTCGGCGACATTAAGCGCCGATACCGCCTTTGACTTCTTCTTCTTGTACTCCTTGTCCTTTCTCTTGCTGATCGGCTGCGGTAGCGCCTCATTGCTGTACAATACATGTCAAATCATATGAGACACCATAATTTCCTGCCAAATTTGTATCAAATATCACGATAAAGACGATTTATTGGATTGGATTATTATTTTAGTGATTTTTTTGCATTCAACATAATTATTAAAAAATTTGATAAAAATTAATTAATAAATTTGATAAAAATTAACAGCAAATTTTTTGCAAATTAATTATTCATATACTTTTGACAATCGAGAGAATAAATGATGCGATATCTATTTAATACTAATTTAATGACTTAATCTAAGATCTAATCTAAAATCTAAGTTAATGATTTAATTAATATTAATACAATTAATTAATATTAATATTAATAAAATTAAAATTAATATTAATTAATTGTATTAATATTAAATAATGTATTAATATTAATTGTATTAAATTAATATTAATATTAATAAAATTAAAATAATGATTTAATTAATATTAATATAATTAAATTAATATAATTAAAATAATGATTTAATTAATATTAACATAATTAAATTAATATTAATATTAATAAAATATACGTAAATATTTGATATATTCAAATCTTTTGATAATAAAAATCTTGTCATTGTCATTGCCATTTAAAACTACTTGATTACAACTAGTTGATTGCAGTCGAGTAAGCAGATCAGATCATCGGCGTGTCGTGCCATGTGACGAACGAATATCAACATAGAAATTATGCTGATAAGCAAAAACGCGCGAATGAATATAATCATCTAAAAATATTCCATTAAACGAGCGTGCAAATAATATGTATGACATGCATTTACATATTAATTTCAGAATCCTTATAAAATGACGTTGATTTTACTTGCAGCTTTTTTCATCCTCGTATCGCAAACGCAACATTCGCGAGATGATTCATCGATAATGATCATTAATGATCATATAAAAATAATTGTAATGGATCAATCATGTAAATCGAATTGATCTCTCCATAAAAAAAAAACTTTAATAGAGATGTCAAATTAATATTTTATTCGGTAAATTTATTTTATTTATTTATTTTTTATTTATTTTTTATTTATTTTATTTATTTTATCTGCTAAATTAATTTTATTTATTTATTTTTTATTTATTTTATTCAATTTATTTAATAAGTTTATTTAATAAATTTATTTATTTAATAAGTTTATTTAATAAATTTATTTATTTAATAATTTACTTAATAAAATAATTTATTAATCTAGTAATTTATTTAATAAAAAATAAGTGGAATCATACGTTCTTTTTTGCGAATACAGCATGTCACGTTGCAATTGCTACTAATATATAAACGTGCCTTATAAATACAATGTAATGTTGAATCATCTACCGACGTATAAATGATAGCTTTCTCCCGGAAAAGCCCTCTCTTATGAATCTCTGATATAACAAATCTGATATAACAAAACGTGACCATTATGTTATACAAGCCAGAGAAAGTTCGCATTCGCTCAACTGTTTATTATCTTCTATGAGCGCTTTCACCAGAAATCGCAAGTTCTATTCATTTTCGTCGCGAAATAAATAGCAGAATATTGCATTATTAAGTGTGGGCAATCATACACAGGGTGCGAGTGAATTAGTAGATTCTAAAAAATGATCTATCTGTTTAAAAATAATTCGAAAGTCAATTCGATTATAATATATTTTTTATCACTAATTTTTTCTCTTTTCATTGATCTTTTACTCATGATATTTTTGTCTTGCGTCAAGTATTATTGTAAAAATTCTGGACAAAAAGTTTCTATTGAACAGACGAATATATCTTCACGAGATGCTGCGTTTCTTTGTGTTTCCGGTGACTTTAAAAATTCAACGAGGCAATAGTTTTTAATGTCATTAATAATAATCAAATATACAGAGTGTTTCTTAATAAGTGCGAAAAATTTTAGGAAATGATTCTTTGTCGAAAATTAAGGGGGGTTTTTCATAAACATATACTCCTATATACCTCCCTGCGGAGTTACACTCCTCCAAAAATGGGGGTAAAAATTAGGTTTTTAGGTTTTTAGGTTTTTATTATATTTTTGCTTTTGTCCCAATTTTCCCAACATTTACTCTAATTTTATTTTTATTTTAAAATTTAATTTCGTAATTCGAAACCTATGCTACTTAGCATCGTGCTGTGCACGATAATTTATTTTATTTTTTTTCTTGAAAACTATTGATTTTATAAAAAAAATAAAGGAAATAAAAAGTTTCTAAATAAATCAAACTTTTTAATGCATATTTTTAAATAATTATATTCCGGCCCATTAAAAAGTTCTAATAAAAAATTGAATACGGGTTACTAATTTCATCCCCTTATAACAATACGGGTAGTTGTAAAAAATATTAATAAATAACCTTTTTATTAGTAGAAAATATTCACCTAATTTCATTTCTTTAACTTGTTCCAAATTTGAGAAAAAAATAAAAACCTAATTTTTATCCCCATTTTTGGAGGAATGTAACTCCGCAGGGAGGGATGTAGTATATGAAAAACCGTCCTTAATATTCGACAAAGAATCATCTCCTAAAATCCTTCGCACTTATTAAGAAACACCCTGTATATATAATAACTGTCAATAACTGTCAATAACTGTCAATAACTGTCAATTGCCTATAATGTAGCATTAACATAATAATTAATATTATAATGTAACATTAAGATGGACTTTATCAAGAGGTTTTGAGAAACATGCGTTCTTGAAATTTTCCTTGCATAAAATTTACATATAATAATAAATCACGTAACGAAATATCACTCGGCTCATTTATTTTTTCTCCTACAGTTTTCTGTCTGTCACACTTTTATCACGTGCGACAATAAGAAGATAATAGCCATCTCGCAAAATCACATCCCCTTGCGCAATCAGATGCAATCCTTCCTATCGAGCAGATGCAACTGGCGATTATCGAATCGCAGTTTTTTTTAAACACACGATTAATGTAAACACAATGAAGATGTGTATCAGGAAAATAAAATTATTTCAATCCTTTACGTCGCTTGTGTTACTTAACCGAAGTAATTTAATAAATCTGTATGCATTATTTAATTAAATTAATGATGATAAATTTAATTGCCAATTGTCCATTTTCCTACTTCAAGGATTATTCCAATTCAATAAAAGTATTTTAATATTTTGTAAAATACAATAAAATAATACAATACAAATAATACAATTTTATAAATTTTATAAATACAAGTACAATTTTATAAATTTTAAAATAACGTTATTTTTATAAAATAACGTTATTTTAAATTTTTAAATTTTAAAATAACGTTATTTTTATTGTATCAAATTTATATTTAATTAGATTTAAATAGACCGATTAGCGACGATATATTTATCGCAATTGCGTATTGATCGAATCAGAGCTATTTGAAAATGCCACTGTGAATGATACAATCACAATATGTAATAATAATTACGCATGATCACGACATTTCTCAGTTATTAATCTCGATATTCGAATTACAATCATGACATTGTGAAAATTAATTATTCGCACGATTGATTTCTTTATTTTCATGCTTTTTACTCGCTTCTGTAAAATCCAGATTTATTACAATCTGATAGATCAAGCTACAACTTTCCATTCATTCTTTTTTTATTATTTATTAATTATTAATTTGTAATAATTATTAATTATTTATTATTAATTATTAATCTATTCATTAATTAAAATTTGTTTAAAAAATATTCCGGTATTTTTATACATTTTTAAGCGACGAATTAATAATAATATTAATAATAATATTAAACGAAATAAAATTTAGAAAAAAATTTAGGAAAAAATATCGAAAAGAAAGAAGTGTGTGTGAGAATTGCTGTCCTAACACGTCATCGCGTTACATCGATGCTGCGATCAACTAATGTTACCAATTAAATAAGTTCATGGCAATCATACGCGCATCATGCAATATTTTGCATCGTCAAAGCAATATTAATTTCAAGATTATGTGGAATACTTAGAAAATTTTTGCATCTCGCGATTAATTCGCATTTATATTAATAATTATTGCATTTAATCTATTTTAATTTATTTTTCTTTAATTTTCTTAAAAAAATTAAAGAAAAATAAATATTTTACGCAATAATTATATAATATATTATATAAATATTTTACGCAATAATTATTTTAATTTATTTTTCTTTAACTTTTTAAGAAAATTGAAGAAAAAATAAATTAAAATAGATTAAACGCAATAATTATTTTAATTTATTTTTCTTTAGTTTTCTTAAGAAAATTGAAGAAAAAATAAATTAAAATAGATTAAGCGCAATAATTATTTTAACTTATTTTTCTTTAATTTTCTTAAGAAAATTAAAGAAAAAAAAATAAATTAAAATTAAATAAATTTAAAAATGAATAAAACATACCAAAAAGTACAATCTTTAATATTCTATTTTAATTTGATTTTAGATAAAGTGTGTAAAATCGTATATAATATACATAATTTAAAGCATATATTATTTATTATATATTATTTATTGTATATTATATATTATTTATTATATATTATATATATTATTTTTAAATTGTTTCTAGGATGAAGATTCAGGATTTCGATGAAATAGTGGGAGAATTTTTAATTACATGAACCCCATATTGCGTTTAATTCGACCTGAATTTCAACACAATATTCGGATCAATATTCGCTTATTATTACCATGACTGGTCCCTCCGCACGTATTATGCAATGAAAAGCAGAAGTCTGATGAATATATACCCTAGTCAACAGCTGCACGTGGCGCGACACGTGCATCGCTGTTTACGCTTCTGTTGCCGATGTCGTCGCGGAATTATTCGTGCAATCGACTTTAAACTGCATTTTATGCATTTTGTTATTTTATTTATATTAGCAATGTTGTGGCAGATTACGCGAAAATAATATGCTACGAATTTTAATCAAAGAACGTGTTTCACACTTGACGATTATATCTTCAAACAGGCTCGATCTTAATCAGAGTCATATGTTCCTGTAAACAGTCTTATAACAATTCGCTCTTAAATAATATAGAAAAAAATGTATAATATTTTTTAAAATAAAATATATATTTTTAACAAGACACATATTGTGCTGGGAAAAGTATCATATCTCTTTATAACACGATAACGAAATAAAACGGACACTTTTAATTAGAAGCATTTTCTTTATAAAATACGTAACGTCGCACACGACGTTACGAAATGACCGGCGCCAAGGACTTTATTCTCTGAGAAATATTATTGCGTCTGCGGATCGATCACGATATACAATGATTCGCGTTAATATTCAGACACTACTTGGAAAATAATTACTCTGTTTTTATGTCGAATTAAGGAAATTATTGTTTTGTAACGAATTAAAATTGTTTAAAAAATATAATTGTTAAAAATATCAATTTTAGATTTAATTAATGTAACTTTTCATCAAGTAAGCGGTAAACAAAATAATTCTTGCATCGTAAAAATATCCGGATACTCAAAAAAGTTTAATTATATTTACATAGGGTGTTTCTTAACAAGTGCGAAAAATTTTAGGAGACGATTCTTTGTCGAAAATTAAGGAGAGTTTTTCATAAACATATACTCCTATATACCTCTCTGCGGAGTTACACTCCTTCAAAAATGAAGGTAAAAATTAGGTTTTTATTTTTTAGGTTTTTATTATAATTTTGCTTTTGTCCCAATTTTCCTAACATTTACTCTAATTTTATTTTAACTTCTTGTAATTCGAAAGCTATGCTATTTAGCATCGTGCTATACACGATAACATACTTGATTTTTTTTCTTGAAAACTACTGATTTTATGAAAAAAATAAAAGAAATAAAAAAGTTTCTAAATAAATCAAACTTTTTAATGCATATTTTTAGATGATATATATTCCGGCTCGTGAAAAAGCTTTAATAAAAAATTGAATAAGGACTAGTTTCATCCCTTTATAACGATACGGGAGGTTGAAGAAAATATTAATAAATAACCTTTTTACTAGTTGAAAATATTCACATAATTTCATTTCTTTAACTTGTTCCAAATTTGAGAAAAAAATAAAAACCTAATTTTTAGCCCCATTTTTGAAAGGGTGTAACTCCGCAGGGAGGGATGTAGGAGTATATGTTTATACGAAAAAGCCTCCTTAATTTTCAACAAAGAATTATCTCTTAAAATTTTTCGCACTTATTAAGAAACACCTTGTATAATGTAATTTACAAAATATATTTTTTAAATCCTATTAAATTCTTACATCATAAAAATATTCGGATACTTAACAAAATTTAATTATATTCATATATAATTTGGAAAATATATTTTTTAAATCTCTCAATTGATAGTATTATTTTACAAACACATTATATAATATGAATAATGCAATTCACTGTATCGAGGCGCATAATACAATCATCCGAGATTCACAAAGCACTCTCGCACACCCGAGTAAATAATGGAACACTAATTAAATTAATTAACCCTCGAGTAAAAATATCCGAAGGTGAAAAGCTGTCCTAAACGATCGCATTGTTTGACAGCTACTTCGAGTCTAATATCTCTCCCCTTCTTTACAAATAAACCTTTGACAAAGCGCTCAGAGACGAATATAGCTTCAACGGACGAGATTTCCGGGGGGAAAGCAACAATATATCTATTTAAATGATGACTAAAATTTGATTGTTATATCTTCAAGTTATTATTATACGTGTGTCTAGATTTCTAGATGATAAAAATCGATACATTTCAAATTAAATAAAATATACTTCATAAAACTACAATTCACCGAGTGATATAAAAGCAAATTAAAGATAATTACGAATCGTGAATTATAATTATAATAATGTTAATAATTATAAATCCCTGGAAATTGCGAGGCTTTTTCGAAATTGTCATCGATTTGAAAAGGGCTAGAGAGACTACTTTTTCACTTCTAAAAATACTACCAAGGATGATCGATTCTTCGCTTACTTCTTCGCGAATTCTTTTTCATTCGGAAAAATCTCACAATAGCAATTTTCACTTCTGCAAATTATTGTTTCGACATTTACGTGCAGCGCCCTAAATAGCTTCATTCAACGCTGCTAAACTATTCCATCTCACGTTTGTGCGTTTTGCTCCTTCTTTTTTATGGATATTTTATTATTTATATAAAATTTATATAAAATTTTATATAAAATTTATATAAAAAATATTTTATATAAAAAAATTTAAATTAATTAATTTAAAAGAATTTATATAAAAAAATATATTAAAAAATGTATGTAATATTTTAAGTATGTGTACTAAATTGATATCGCACCTGTATCGCATACATTTTTATTTTCCCAGACTCTAATAATTTTTCTCACATATGTATTCGTCTCATGCAACTCTGATAAATCGATCAATTGATCAGAAGTTACCTGGACCCGAAGATAGATAGATGCCTGCCGCAATAGCCGCTGCTTTCGGAGCGATTGCTGTTTCTTGAGCTGCCACTGCTATAACAGAAAACAAGGAAGGGGTAACAATTAAAAATTTATTTCCTTGTCTTGTACCAAATAACAAAAATCGAATATATAATTACAGATTTTTATTTTCAATAATTTTTGTAGATATTTTTATGTAGATATATTTTCATTTTTTTTTATAGAAATATTTTTATAGATTTAGATATTTTCGATTTTTTTATAGAAGTATTTTTATAGGTTTTGATATTTTCGAATTGTTTTGTAGATAAATTTTTATAGATTTTTATAGATTTTTTTATAGATATTTTTCGATAATTTTTGTAGATTTTTTCGATGATTTTTATAGATTTTTATTTGTATTTTAATGATTTTACAATCATTTAAAATATTCGATTATATTCTTTTTTCGAATAACACGAATATCTGACACAAAATGCGACGAACTCCTGCGCGTTATCGAGTCAGACCTTGACCGGTTATTTTCATTGGCGCCATCATTATTGCTGACAATCCTGAGCGGATTTGCAGCAATAAAAATAGAATAACAAGTAAATCTATTACGTTATATTTTTAGATATGAGCGTGCAAGAGTATAAAACCTTTTTGGTGGAATAAAAACATCTAGAAAATAAGATAATGAAGTTAACAAATAAAAATAAACGTGAATAATGAAATAAAGAATATATTTTGTTACAAAACATTAAATATATATTAATTTTTGAAAATCGAAGAAATGGAAAAAAACGACATAATCTAAAATTTCAAGAATCTCTATTCAAAAAATTGATAGAATTTCAAGTTTTAAACTCTGAATTGCGAATATTTAAATTCTTAAGAATTAAAGAGATTAACAATTTTTTAATAAATCTATTATCTTTAAAAATTAAATTTTTTAAAAATTTAATTTAATTCTTAAAAAATTGAAAAAGGAAAGAAACGTTAAAAAAAGATATTTGAATAAAATGCAAATAGAAATTCGAAGCATCGCAACTCCAAAAACTCAAACTTTATTATTTTTTTCCTTTTGCCTATATCAGGAGGTAAAATTATGATACGATCTAAATACTTCGCAAAGTGATAAACATCAATATTAAATATTGTGATATTGTTACCGCTATAAATATATTTCGAAATTAATCTCAAAATTTTCAGCCTCGCTGAATAATCCTGTAATGTCACAATATTCATTCTGCATATATACAGTATTAATTTTTTTAAATCGAAGAAAATAGAAGAAAAAAAACGGCATACAAAATAAAATTTCAAGAATCCCAATTCAAAGAGTTGATAGAATTTCAAGTTTTAAGCTCTGAATTGCGAATATTTAAATTCTTAAGAATTAAAGAGATTAAAAATTTTTTAATTAAATCTATTATCATTAAAAATTAAATTCTTTAAAAATTTAATTTAATTCTTAAAAAATTAAAAAAGGAAAGAAACGTTAAGAAAAGATATTTGAATAAAATGCAAATCGAAATTCGAAGCATCGCAACTCCAAAAACTCAAACTGTATTATTTTTTTCCTTTTGCCTATACCAGGAGATAAGATTATGATACGATCTAAATACTTCGCAAAGTGATAAACATCAATATTAAATATTGTAATATTGTTACCGCTATAAATACAGGGTGTCTGCTAAACATGCGGCAAAAATTCAGGGGGTGATTTATTGGATTATTTTAAGACTTTTTTGTTATCTGATGATTTTCGAAAAAATGCTTTGTTTCGAAAATAAAAGCAATAAAAGTTTTTTGACCAATTTTTTATTCCATAGATAACAGGCGATATAAGTTTTTTTAACAAAATTATTGAAAATTACAAGGAAAAAAAGAAAAATTGGTCAAAAAACTTTTATTGCTTTTATTTTCGAAACAAAGCATTTTTTCGAAAATCATCAGATAACAAAAAAGTCTTAAAATAACCTAATAAATCACCCTCTGAATTTTTGCCGCATGTTTAGCAGACACCCTGTATATTTCGAAATTAATCTCAAAATTTTCAGCCTCGCTCAATAATCTTCTAATGTCGCAATATTCATTCTGCATAATGAGGTCGATTGCAACGATGGCGGCGATTCTCGCCAGGATTCTTTCCGCGCAAAATGATTGCAAAATCGCGGCACAGTTTCTAGTCCCTCTCGGTCGATCGGGAAAATCATTCGACTCGAAATCGCAGACTGCGAACCGGTCGCAGCCGAGGAAAAAAGGCCCCGGATCACATGTTCGACAAACGTGACACGTGAAACGGCCCTTGCTTATATACGACATATCTCCTTCCCTCTCGCTCTCTCTCTCTCTTCCTCGGACCTTTCACTGTCCTCATTATTCGCCGACCGCCGTCGATCGACTGACCGGCCGCATTTGTTGGAAAAATTATTGCATAAGAAGGCACCGCTTCACGTTCGCGGCCCCGTGACTAGTCCGCGAGGACGACGACGATCGCTATCGATTCCCTTCGCCGGTTATGCTCCAAGCTTATGCGGGACACAAAGAAAATGGAATAATGGCGGCTAGGATGTGCCTTTGATTGTACGCGACGTTATGCAAAAACGGATTGAACGTCCGATTAATTTAAAGCAAAATATGTTACATGAAAGAGTATTTCTTATTCCTTTTTTATTATATAAAAAAGATTTTTATAACTGTATATAATTTTCGATCATCTTAGATTAATCGACTTTTGCATGCAATAGTTATCTGATATTCTTTCTCGCTATGATTTTATTAAATATAAATAATTATATTAAAATATATTAATTATAATAAATTAATATATTTTAATATAATTATTAATATTAATATTTAATATTAATTATATTATAATAATATTAAATATTAATAATTATAAATATTTGATTTAATTAATAATTATTAAATGTAATTATTATTTGTATTAAATATTGTTATTTATTAAATTAAATATTATTATTTAATTATTATATACTATTTATTTTAATTATTTATATTTGACAATTATTAAATATAAATAATTAAAATAAATAATATATACTAAAAATATTAATATTAACTTCTTAATAAATATTATTAATTTAATTATGAAAAATTATTTAAATAAATATTCAATTAATTATTAAAAATAAAAATAAAAATAATTTATCTGGACGTATCTTTTTTATATAAAATAGCAATTTAAATTTCTCTCTCTTTCGCTTCAATTATTTCATTTCCTATCACTCGTATCAATACGTGAACGTGACACTTGCTCTCACGAGTTTTTAATAATCGGAAATACATGCTTCAGCGAAATGTCACGTTACAGCACATTCTGCGTGTCACAAAGGCAAAGGTTTGATTCATGATATACATGTCCTAGAATTAACTATTAGTAATTATCTTCCTCTGTAATATCCTGTGCGACACCCACACAGTCATCCCCTACGTTTCATTCGAGGCGTCTTTGATTGTGATATAATAATCCGTTGATTATAATACACCTCTACCGGAAATTGTCACGCGTAAATAAACACATTGTACACGAAATTACCTCGCTATAAGTGATCCCGTAAAACTTTCCTTAAATAATAAAAGTGCTCCTATCCTTTTATATTCTTCCTAATAATTTAAAAATTGTATCGCTAAAAGATAAAAAAAATACACCCTATTACTCTATTTTTTTTACGAATCTTCCATTCTTTTATATTTCATGCGACTAAAATTTAACATAAATCGCGAGGATGATCTGCATCTGATCCTTTTGGATCTACTACTAGCAGTGTTTGCTGGTATCGAGATTAAAAATTATCTAGATAATCATCTAGATAAAGAAATGGATCATCTTTATCTTTAACTAGATGAAGATATACAAAGTATCTTTATCTTTATCTTAGATGAAAAATATGTGTCATCTTATCTAAAAATTGTCTAAGATGATGTTTTCATTATGCAAAAAAGTTTTCCAAAAATCTAAAGCAAGCTTCTAAAAATCTATCTAAAATATATTTTTTATATTATTATTATTAATATATTATAAATATATTATTATTATATTATTAATATATTATAAATATATTATAAATATATTATAAATGTAAATTAATAAATAAATATTTATCATATCATTTATATACCTTTTTGCTATTATTTAAATATTCTTTAGGAAAAGAGAAAGAATATGTGTTTATGATTTTAATATCCCATTTATAATCTCATCTAAGATAAATTTACGGATTTTTATCTTTATTTTTATCTAGATAATTTTGAAATTATCTACAGCAAACACTAACTACTAAGATCTACTTCACCGATTTGCATTTTACTGAGTGTGGCTGTCACGTGGCCCGAACAGAGATTGCGAATTGATTAAACGCCTCCTTTTCGTTCGACCCATTTTCGCGCGAGAAGGTTTCGCAAGAGTCTTTAGCCGCGTTAGCTAAGGACGTGGAAAATGCAACCGGCACACACCGGGAAACCGGTTAGCCTTAACCGAACCGTGTACGAGTTTCTGTCTCCCTCGCACGTTGCACTACGTCCCCTCTCGCCGTCGCGGTGAGCAAAGCATGTCAATGTCAAACATTCCCCGAGAGGTGCATTAGAAAACGCGCGATAAACGTGTAATAAAATAATAAATAATAAAATAATAAAATAATAAATTTATATATTATGGATGGATTTAACATAAATAAAACACGCGACAACTAAATAAGATATACAGGGTGTTTCTTAATAAGTGCGAAACATTTTAGGAGATGATTCTTTGTCGAAAATTAAGGGGGATTTTTCGTATAAACATAATTAAATAAACATAATTAAATATAAACATAATTAAATATAAATTATAAAATTAATAAAAATTAGGTTTTTATTTTGTTCTCAAATTTGGAACAAGTTAAAAAAATGAAATTAGGTGGATATTTTCTACTAGTAAAAAGGTTATTTATTAATATTTTTTTCAGCCTTCCGTATTATAAGGGGATGAAACTAGCAATCCCTATTCAATTTTTTATTAAAACTTTTTAATGGGCCGGAATATAATCATCTAAAAATATGCATTAAAAAGTTTGATTTATTTAGAAACTTTTTTATTTCCTTTATTTTTTTCATAAAATCAATAGTTTTCAAGAAAAAAAATAAAATAAATTATCGTGCACAGCACGATGCTAAGTAGCATAGGTTTCGAATTACAAAATTAAATTTTAAAATAAAAATATAATTAGAGTAAATGTTGAAACAAAAATGAAAATTGGAACAAAAACAAAATTTGAATAAAAATCTAAAAACCTAACTTTTACCCATTTTTGAAGGAGCATAACTCCACAAGGAGGGATGTAGGAGTATGTATATATTAAAAAAACCCCTTAATTTTCGACAAAGAATCTGATTAAGAACCTTATTAAGAAACACCCTGTGTATATATTTTTTGAATGCATTTTTTCTCATCAACAAAGACCTCTCTTCTCTTCAAAAAGAAGATACATGAATTCCTTAAGATTCTAAAAATTCTGAAAATATCTAAAAATCTTTTAAATATCTCAGTGTTCTAAAAATATAACGTCCATTAATTTTCGCGACATGGAACAGGATATGATCAGGATATTGGCAGCGTGTATATAAGTCTATAGAAGCCAGTATAAAACTGATGATTCTGATTATATAAAGCGCAGCGATTAATTTATCGAGGATCTGTATTTCAGTTCGAACGAAAGAATTAATCTGTTGCAATCCATGATTATGCGATAGATTTATGCAATTAATTCATCAAACTTTAATCCTTTTATTCTTGTTAAGTCTATGTATATCTCATCACGCTATAAAATTTGTTTTGGAAAAATAATACTTTACTTCATTACATAACTAAAATATTAAAGTATACAAAAATGATTATATAAAAAAATGATGCTTACAAAATATTTTCCAAGGATATTTTCGAAAAATGTATCATGTTCCATGATATAAAAAATCTAATTTTCTACGTATTATATAAATTAATATTGCACACAATTATTATATTTAGTATATAATTATTATATTATAATCATTATATTTATTCATTAGTTTTATTTTATTTTATTATAACTATTATATTTTATAATCGTAATTATATTGTATAATATATATTACATAGTATATATTATATATTATATAAGTCACGTCTTTTTATTATTTATTATTTATTATTTTTTATATTTTATATTATTTTTGTTTTTTTTATATGTATTATTTTATATGTTTGTTTTATATGTATTATTTTTTTATTTTTTTAAATATTTTTATTAATTATATGAACTCTTTGTTTTTTTAAACTATTGAATTCGTGTTTGACTAATGAGAAATTATGTTGAATAGTCAATTAAGATTCTTAGAAAAAATACAAGAAAAGCTGAACATGTATATCATTCTTCGTCATTTCGTTCACTGGATATATGTAAAAGAAGTCTTTTTTTTTAAATAAATAATTTAAAAAAAATAATTTTAAAGAAGATTTCTTCTTTTTTAGAAACTTATTAAATTTAAACGGATTCAGATTTTTCTTCGATTCGCTATATCGATAAATTATCTCTCTAATGAACCATTCTAATTAAACCTAATCGTTGCATAACCATACAGTGCAAATTTTCTGGGAAAATGAGAGCGTATAATTATCGTATAATTATCGAGTGTATTTAGAAGTGGTGTGACAAAAATAGTAAAATACAAATAAAACAATAGCGTTTAATAGAGATAAAAGGAGCTTGTTCTCGATCGGGAATATTGCGAGGAAGGATGTACACCCAGGTAGTAGCGACTAAATGGCTATTGTGGTCAGAGGGATGTAATTATGATTATAACGACGCCGAGCCAAGCAGGTTAAATTATATCCAGCATCGTAATCCGACTATTTCTGGATGTATTATTATTCTGGAATCATTTGGAAGCGATTTTTCCTCAACGAAAATGTCGATGAAGGCCATCATTTTTTGCATGTTCCCGATTTTTGTCGTCATATATCTTTGCAATTAAGCCTTAAATTAAAACTCAACTAAAGTAAACTCTATTTAAAATTAATCGAAGAATGTGATTTTGTTAATATTTTATTTCTACAAAGCTTAGTTTACGAAAAACCCCTTATTTCCAATCATTTATAATTCGAAAATTATTAGTGCCTCGACATTTTTGTTGAGAAAAAACCTTAATGTTTTGAATGCTTAAACTGAATGTCGTATTGATATCATAAACATGAACTCCTAAAGATATCTAGTTTAAGATATCTTTTTGATATTTGTTATAAGATATCTCAAAAAAGTTATCTTTTTGATGACTTTCAGAAGAAGTCCTTTTGTTCTCTGGATATGGCGCATAAGGGCTCTTTCTGATCTCATTATGTTGTCTTTCTAAAGAAATTTTTGGATATCTATATCTTAAATGAGAGAACATTAAGAGTTCTTTCTGTTATCATCTTGCTGTGTGGGAATAATCTCGCTCTACAGCACCAAACACGTGCCCGTGATTTTCCTTAGCATCACTCCAGCTCATTATAAACTCTTAATTGACTATTCAACGTAATTTCTCATTAGTCAAACGCGAATTCAATTAGTTTAAGAAAAACATAGAGTATATAATTTATACAAATGTAAAAAATTAATAAAAAAATAATATATGTAAAAAAACAAAAATAATATAAAATAAAAATATAATAAGTAATAAAAAATAATATACTACATATATAAAAAAACAACATAAAAATGCAATAATACAAAATAGAATAAAAAAAAACAAATAAAATAAAATTTGTGAGAAATCAAATAAATCATTTTCAAGTTAATAATTTTTCATATTTTAAATTAAGAATATATATTCCACTTTATCATTATAATATATATATATATATATATATATATATATATATATATAATTATTATATTTTTTTTATAATTATAATTATTACATTATATAAAAAAAATCATGTAATTATTATATTATATAAATTTCTCTCGAATTTTATTTCATTAATTTTTTTATTCTATTTCGTATCGTTCATTTCTTTTATTTTTTTACATTTTTCCATATCATATATATAAACAAAAGGCAAATAGAAATGTATAATACAAAAGAAAATGAAAAACATTTGTATTGTTAACTTTTAAACAATGAGAATACATTCGATTTTATCACTTGTAGTAAAAGGAATCTGACAATGCCATTCAATGAAATTCAAGGAAATAAACAACGTGATTTCCGCATGATTGTCTTGTTGTATGTACTATTTGTTACTACTTAACGATATATCGATCATTATAGATATATTCAATATGTACGACCGTGTTATTTACTAAGAAGGTAATCGCATCACGAATAAATGGCCGAAGTTCAAACCGAGGTCACACGTGTATTCAATGTGCACTTTGAAGTACATCGATCACGTGTCGAAGAAAGATTCCATAATATGACGTATAGTCTTAGTGTGAATTTGACGTATAATACATTTTCAATTTCTCACGCATTTTTATAGTAAACTATTATTATCCAAAAAGACAGAAAGCTCCGCGCATAATTTACAAAAATTCAAATATATAATTTAATAACACGAAACAAAAAAAAATATTTAATTATTATTTATTAAATAATTATTTAATTATTATTTATTAAAAAATTCAAATATATAATTTAATAACACGAGAAAAAATAATAATAAAGTGTTCTAAAGGAACACAATCTCCAACGTAAACCTTTATTTAGCAAAAAAAAAACAAGTTTTTTTATTTTGATAATCTCAAATTATTATAACAATTATATTACAAATATTATAACAATTCCCACATTTTTTCCAAAAATATCCCATCACTCAAAAGAGATTGGAAAATCACAGGCGACTGTTTCTAACGACAGGAAAAAGAAATTTTGAAAATTGCGAGTCGCACTCACCTGCGATGCGACTGACTGTTGCTGCAAGTGTTGGAGTATCCGGAGTCCGACACTTTGGCGTTCTCCACGGACACCTCCTCCATTGTGCGCGATCTCTCTTTTTATTTTTCGAACAAGGATAATCTTCTTAACGAGAAAAAAAAACGTATTCTCCTTCGGAAGAACTTCCTTTACGCGACGCGCGATGCGTCCGTTTCGAGTTCGCGATTCATCTCTCGAGATTCAAAGATTAACGACCGCTCATGTGCGCGACAGGACGCGGACTGGCCGATGATTCCCGCGTGAAGCGCGATTCGCGCCAGCCGCACGTTCTGGGACACGTGACAGCGCCCGCCCCGCTCCCTCGCCGCTCCTACCTACCTGCCCCTCCGCGCCGCGGCGGTGCGTTCGCGACCTATTCAGCGGAGATTGCGCCCCACTTCAGGACGTTTCGCGCCTACATTCGTTGCGATTTTTTTTTTAAAAGACTAAAATTAAAAATAATTAAAAATAAATATAATAAATTATAAAAAATAAAAAAAAATAAAAATAAAATTATATAATAATAATAAAATAATAAATATAAAATATAATAATAATAAAAATAAAAAATATAATTATAATAATAAATTATAAAAAATAAAAATAAAATTATAATAATAATAAAATATAAAGTATAATAATAAAAATAAAAAATATAATTATAATAATAAAATTATAATAATAATAAAATTATAATAAAAATGAAATTATAATAATAAATTAAAAATATAATAAATTAAATTAAAATTGAAGTAAAAAAGTAAGAAATATATTGAGAAGTACCTTTATGTATGTGTGCGTGTGTACATTATATCTTTATAGACGTCCCAATCGCGGCTTTACTACTCCTCGTCGACTGTTTGAACGTATCTTTACTACTGCAAGTCTCGTCTGAATTTATCGTTGCTACTGTGTCCCGCCAAATTTAAAATTCTATTCTTCAAATGCTTGCAACGGGAAAATACGCTCGTTTTCAGTGACAGATTAAAATGCTTATAATAATACACGTAATTAAATATTGTCACAAAAATGTAAAAAAGTCATTTAAATAACTAGGCGAATAAATTATATTCTCTTTTTAAAAACTTTTTTAATCTATATTCGGTGATTAAATAATTTTTAGAAAATATTTAAAATTTTTAAGAAATTTCTAAAAATATGTATAAAAATATAATAAAAATAAAATAGACTTTTTTAATTATTGAAATATATATATATATATATATATATATATCCATATTTTCAATAATTAAAAAATTTTTTAAATTATAAAAGTATCTTTAGAAGCTTTTTTAATTGTTAAAAATATATATATATATATATATAAGTATAAATATATATATATATATATATATATATATATTTCTTTCAATAATTAAAAAAGTTTCTGAAAATAGATGATAAAAAAAATAATATAATTTATCATTATTCGCTCAATTAAAATTTAAAATATAAATAACGATCAAAATGAAAATATACGTAAACAAAATTTACAAATGACGAAAATACATGCTAATAAATTTACGAATACAAATGACATCAACCGAGAAAGAGTCATTGCATGTATAAAAATATAATAATATATATGTATATTCTCTGTAAAACTTTGTTCCATGTACAATCTCGTAGAAACATTATAATATTTTCACGTTGCTAAAAATAATATCACAGTCTTCAGGTACGATGCTTCTCCCTCGTGGAATTTCCGCGGTATCCTGGAAGCGAGAAGAACACATGTCAGATCATCTCAGGAAGTAGCAGTTTTGACGGACGCGCGAACAGAATCGTATAATACTCTCCGTTCGATAGTGAGCAGTGAGAAAAAAAATGAAGTGAGAGAGTCGGTGTTTGGGATTTATTGCGTATTTCCACATGTGTATTTGATACCATCCAGAAAAAAAACAAGTCACAGTTACAGTCTCCGGAACATCATTCGTTTTCCTCTTTTTACGGTCAATACAGTGTGGGTCTAAAATCGCACGTAGGTGATACAAAAATGCGTGTCTATCATTATTCAATGTTGTGCGTCAATTATTATTACGTGTGTGACGAGGTTGTTTGATTTCGTGATGAATTCTAAATTCACGTATATCTAAGGGAAAGTCGTCTTCCCTCCTTCCTTCTATTTTAATCTCAAGTAAGCGACAAGTCTAACACATATACGCTCCGTGTTTGTTCTTTGTACTCTCTTAAACATGAAAGATAATTTACATGCCAGTACATTTCGTACATCGATAGCTTCTATAAAATAAGATACATTCACACAATTAAAAGCATAACATACGTCTTGGCAATATTTTATCTTAATATTTTTATATACTTTTTTTTTCTTCATATGTAGAAAAAATTTTTCAGGTGTATATTAAAAGTCGAAAAATATTCACCGTTTCTCTCGGCCATATTTTTTTCTTAATAAGTCGTTGATCATTCCTTCATTAGTTCTTAAGATAAAAAAATGAGTCGAAACTTTCTTGTTTGAAAGAAGCAAAAGTAACAGTTTTTCGTTATTTAAAAGCTTAAGCAATAACGAGTTTTCTTCTTGTCTTACATAAAAGGCAGTACGTAAATAAACGTTTCATTTTATTACAAAATATCTACACGAGTTAAAAATATTTTATAATAAACACGATCGATGTACGATATAAAGAAGTGTAATGCATTAACAAAGAACAGAATCCGACCATGAACAATCATTATACATAGGATAAATATTTGCACCGGTATCTCAAGGATGTACCTTGCTTTGCGGTAATTTCTTTTCCTTTTTTTTATATCCGCAATAATTTTAATACCTATCGTCTTGTGAAAGCTGTCAATGGGTGTCTAACGTACAAGTCATATATTTTGCTTCCTGCACGCAATATAATAACTATAAAAAAGAAAAAGTACAGAAATGTAATTATAAATGAAAGATTTCTCTCTTGCTAAACCTAACACAGATTATATCTAAAAGCCTGTGCGAACGGACAGCACTTTCACTTAAAAAAAAAAAAATATATACATATATTTGTTATAGTGCATTACTGCGTGCTTTACATGTATGAAACAAAATTTGCATACATTATAGAAATGTACTTTTGCCATTGAACGATTCACTGATATTGTGAGTTACTACTCGTTAAATATATATATTAATATCTTTTTTTTTCTCTTTACAAAGTTGTCGAGTTGAAGCGACTTTTAGTGTAAACAACTCTGACGGTTCACCGTCCGAGAAAATACAATCTCCATCGTTAATAATCAGATAACAATCTAACAAATAAAGCTATAAATCAGAGTAAAAAGAAAAGGGGAGATCTCGCGGGAAACGAATCGGTACGCTTTGTTTCCCTCGATTCTCACAAGGAAAGATACCCAAATGTCACTCTTTCTAATGAAACTTTGTATATTTGTAAAACTATGCAAAATAATAGACACATATTTTTTTTTATCTGCGGAGAAACGATTTTAAGGGGAGAAACAACCTCTTATGTATACAGGATGTTCCTTAAAAAAGCTCCCACTAAACAAATAGCGTTATTCCTGATTAAAACCATTTTTCTTCTAAGATTCATTAAATAATTAATCAGATTTAAGTATTAAAAAGATTTCTGAAAAAAGATGAATTGTTTAAAAATTAACACAAGACAGTTTATTTTTTTGCTTATCCAAATCTTCATACGTTGATAACGAGGAAGTTTGTCTTTTTATTGGCGCGACTTTACTCATTAATTACTGCTTTATTAAGCATTATGGGAAAATATGGTTCAGAACTTTTTGACTCGGTTTTTAATCAGGAATAACGCTATTTGCTTAGTGGGAGCTTTTTAAGATACACCCTGTACATAGCGGGTGGATATACGGACTTGGTATCGCAAAAAATTTTAGTTGTATAAAAAATTGTTTCAGACAAAAGTAGGGTGTAAAAAGATCTATTTACTGGCGCCATGAGTTTGACGTTGGATGGCGTCTTAAAATGGCCCACCCTGTATACAAGGGGTTGTTTCTGCCCTCAAAATCGCTTCTGCGCAGATAAAAAAAAATTCATGTCTATTATTCTGCATAGTTTCACAAGTGGTACAAAGTTCCATTGGAATCCGTGAGTGACAGTTGGGTATCTTTCCTCGTCAGAAGGTGGTCTTGCGGTCCTCTCGCGAGCGAAGAAAATGCATACACATAGGAGCGACATCCATGCGCTTGCCAGGGTACACAGCAAACGAGATGCTCAACGAAATCGAACCGTTCGCACAAGCCTCTTAAAATAACAGAAAACACGAGTCCCTCGCGAGCGCTATAAATCGTGTGTGAAACGGACGAACATGTAAGAGGATAAAAAGTAATAGTAGTAGTAGTAGTAGTAATAGTAGAGTAGCAGTTAAAAGTTTCAGTAACGTTGTTGCAGTTGCGCGCGAACGTAAAGCGAACAGTTAAATATACATATACATATTATATATATATATATGAATATATACATATATGTATATATATATGTATATTAGGTAGGTAGTTGGAGTAGTTTTCCCTGGATGCAGGCCCTTGACGTGGTCAAGTGAGTAGTCTTTAAATTCGTCTCTTTTTGTTGCGTGCGTCCAGCTTGTATATACCAGTCAGTCTGTGAAGACAAACAGCAAAAATTACATTCTCTCCTGCCGGCTTTGTCTTCCCCCCCGTGCCCGAGGAGGAAGAGGAGGGGGAGGAGGGAGAGGAGGAGATAGAAAGAGAAAGAGAGAAAGAGAGAGAGAGAGAGAATGACAGCGTCGACAAAACACAACGTCGGGAGTGTATTGCAAAGAAATGCTTCTCTTTCCCTTCGCGCCGCACTACGTTTCGTCTACTACTTACGAGATACGAGCTTTTTAACAACCCCTTCAATTCTCGTCCTCGTCCATCCGCAATCGTTTTCGCCGGTCCTCGCCCACGTTTCGTTCCTCCGCCTCCAACACCTTCAGCCGAGAACCACAGATCTCCTGCCCGTGTAGAACCTAGTATGGTATAAATAAGTATTTTCCATTTCATCAAAATGGATAGGAGATTCTTCAACAATGAAGATCTTACCTCGATGGCCTCGTTTGCGCTGTCAACGCTGGCGTACTTGGCGTAGCCGCAATTTTTGCCGGGTAACATGTATACGTCTATGAGATTTCCGAACCTGCAGAAGGCGTCCTTCATAGCGTAGATGGGCGGTACCGGTGGACCGCAGACGATGAAGCATCTCTTGGCCACCTCGGCGTCGATGCTCGCCATCGGCTGCGCTGGCGGCAGCTTCACGGATATGTGATCCAAGCCTAGAACGAGAAAAGTAATGACACTTGACGCACAACGTATTTGCTTCCTCACTGAGAAAAATCGTTTGATTGTATCAACAAGACATATATGATTGAAGGCATTTTGGTTAAATCAAACAAGAATTTCTAGTTATCATGTTAAGACTCGATTTTTTATAGCTAGAACGTTTAATAGATTTTACTAAGGATTTGGTTTGTATTTTCTGGTTGGATCTATAAAATTTCTTGTTACATTAATTTCTTTGCTTACTTCTTAACTTAACTCGTATTCAATATTTGCCATGAAATGTATATAAAGAAGTGTAGTATTAACATTAAATTCAAAGTATATTTTTTTTCTCTTATGAGCAATAGTGCCAGAAAGAGAACGCTAGCTCTCTGATTATGTGTTAGAGCTGCATCCTCTTCTTGCACTCTCACTGTTTATCAATTTAATTTCTAACAAATTGAATTTAAAATAATTAAATAAAAAATTTGAATAAAAAATTGAATTTAAAATAATTAAATAAAAAAATAATTAAATAAAAAAATAATTAAATATTCAATAATCTGGATTGAATTTATTCAATAATCTTGTTGGAATTCAGAATATTAAACAGACTTTTGAGATTAGATGGAAAATATTTTAGACGACTTGATGCTGGCGAGTATTATTAAGAATTTAAATTGAACAGGAAGAAATTAATCAGATTCATCTGGTAATTCCTACAAGAATTCAGGTTCGTCCATTTTCCAACAGACATACTGGTTGAATCTAGCAGAATTCTAATTAATGCAACCAGATTTTTTTCTCAGTGTTCGTGGCACCAAGTTTAAGTTTACTCACTCGGTGCCGTCAACCCCGCGGCTTGAATCAACGAGGTTGCCTGGGCGATCGTCTCCGCCAGGTGGGCCAGATCCGTCCTCGCGTTGGCGACGCTACCGACCGTCGTCGAACCGCCCGGCTTCGTCGCGCTCTTCGGCGGCGCGCTCGTCAAGTCCGGCTTGACGATCATCCGATGCCCAGGTGGGTACTCAAAGCCGTGGAACTTCTCGCGGGCGTACGCCGCCGCGCTCGAGTTGTTGTAAACCACTACCGCCTGACCTCGTGGCATCCTGTATCTGACGTCGGTCTTCAGGTGGCAGTAGTCCATACCGGGGACGATGTCGAACAGCTTCCACAGCTGATCCTGATTCAACGCAGGATGCGCGATCACCTGTAGACGCGTGTAGCCATCCGAGTTGGAGTAGTTGGTCGCGATCTCCAGACTGATGCTGCTCTTGCCGAAGTTGGACGTGCCGTAGCTACCACCAGTACCGTCGTACGCGACGCTGGACAGACCGTTGTTGTACTTGGCGTCGTTGTGATCAGGTTTCGGTTTCTTCGGCTCGGCGAACACCGCCTTGTACTTTCTATCGCACTCTTCGAACGCTCGCGCGGCGCTGGACACCTTCTTGAACTTGACGTAGCCGAAACCCTTGGACTCGTTCGTGCTGCGATCCTTGACCACGGTTGCGTACTCGATCGCGCCGAACTTGGAGAACTCTTGCTGCAGCTCGCTGTCGGTCATGGTTTTCGGTAGAACGCAGAACAGTCGGACCCACCTCTCCTCTTCATTTGTCTCGCGCACCGAGCCCTGATCTCGGCTACAAAAAGAATCATAATTAATCATGGGGTAAAGTATTATCCCACGCAGCACAGAATATTGCAGCGATATTATTAATATTGTTAAAATATTGTTGTAACATTGCAGCAACATTGCAATATTGCCGCAATATTACTGCAATATTGAGAAGAATCCCAACACACGCCAAATAACAGTTATATAAATGTTAGTTATAATTTCCCACTCAACAATATAACTGTTACATGTTATGTAACAGTTATATAACATGTAACAGTTATATTTTTGAGTGGGAAATTATTATTGTAGTTATTCACAGACTATTGTTACATTGCAACAATATTGCGGCAATATTGCAATGTTGCTGCAATATTGCTGCAATGTAATAACAATAGTCTGTGCTGTATGGGATATGTCCAATTAAAATATCCCAGCAAACACCAAGTAACATTTATATAACTATTAGTTGTAATTTCCCACTCAGCAATATAACGTGTTATATAACAGTTACATAACATGTAACAGTTATATTGCTGAGTGGAAAATTACAACTAACAGTTATATAAATGTTACTTGGTGTTTCCTGGGATCTTGAGATGAAATGAAAGTAACCAGACCCATTGCAGCAATATTGCAGCAATATTACAATGTTATTGCAGCAATATTGCAATATTGCAATATTGCTGCAATGTAATAACAATAGTCTGTGCTGTATGGGGTACATTCGATTAAAATATCCCAGCAAACGAGTTATATAACAGTTACATATCATGTAACAGTTATATAAATGTTACTTGGTGTTTCCTGGGATCTTGAGATGAAATGAAAGTAACCAGACCCATCCAGCAATATTGCAGCAATATTACAATGTAATATTGCAATATTGCCGCAATGTTTCTGCGCTGTATGAGGACGGACGAGGCTTACTTCGAGGCGATCATCACTTTGATGGGTCTGCCAACGGACCCCAGCATCTTGCCGTTCATCTCCTCGAGGGCGAACGCCGCCTCGGACGTTTTGGAGAACTTGATATACGTAACGCCTACATCAGGGCAACACAAACAACACGGAAGATTAGAACTAGACTCATTGACAGGTAGGAAAAAAAAAGAGAGAGAGAGAAAGATCACATAAATTTTCCGGACCCCAGGACTTTAGAAGGGAACAACTTCAGCGAGAAAGGGACAGAAGGAGAGGAAGAAGAGAGAAAGAAAGAGAGAGAGAGAGAGAGAGAGAGAGAGAAAGAGAGAGGCGAATTCCCTTATCGATCAGATCTCATCCTTAGCAAGGCTTTAGGCAGCAGGATCACCTTTATTCTCGCCCGTGTTGCGATCCTTAACCACCCAGATGTCCTCGATCTTGCCGAACTTCTCGAACGCCTTCCTGAGATCATCCTCCTCGAGGCTCTTGTGACAGATGACGAAGAGACGGGAGTTCGGGGGATCGTCGTTCTTCGAGCGCAGATCCGTCTGCGAGTAGTAAGAGTCCCGTTCCCTGTGGTCGGCCATCTTGGACTTTATATCTACGCGACGAACACAAGCGCTACCGCGAGCGCGGACTATCCACTGCCGCCCGTCTACGGTCACCGGGCGCCAGCCGATCCCCCTCTCCACCCCCTTCCCTCCCGCACCTATCTCCTCCTCTTCCTCCTCGTCGCGTCGAGGCCCCCTCCCCCCTCTTCCCCTTTACACGGATCTCGTCTCGTGTCCCCGCGAAAAATAAAAGTCTACTCCTTTTTTTATTTACACCCCGTGTGTCTCTCTCTCTCTCTCTCTCTTCCTCTTTCTCTTTAGATTCAGAGATAAACGTGCGCTTGAGATTTGGCAAGAGATGCAAAAATCGGCACGAAATGAAAAATCGAATCGAGAGATTCACGCTTATTTTTTTTTTTTTTGTACACATGATGTATATCTAGAGAAAGAAACCTGATTGCGTTTCAATTGCCAACGATTAAAATTGATGAAATGCATATATGCAGATAAATATATTGCAAAACGGTATAGATAACAATTAATAACATGATTGTTGGTCCTGACGTGGACAGATATTTCATCAAGGATTCATATATTCAACTTGTATAAAGTTGATGAAATGCAATGTTATAAACAAAATAAAATGGAATAGGTGGCGATTAATTAACATGATTTTTGGTCCTAAATTTAAAAAATATCTCGTCAAAGAGTCATATAATATTCAACATTATATAATATTTACTATTTACTATTTTATATAATATTCAATATTATAAAATGTAATATTGTAAATAAGATTATAAAATTATAAAATGTAATATTGTAAATAAAATAAAATAGAATAGGAGGGGATTATAATTAACATAATTGTTGGTCCCGAATAAAATGCAATATTGTAAATAAAATTATAAAATTATAAAATGCAATATTGTAAATAAAATAAAATAGAATAGGTGGGGATTATAATTAACATAATTGTTGGTCCCGAATTTAAAAAATATTTCATCAAAGATTCATATAATGTTGAATTTTGATTATATAAAATTGATTATATAAAATGTAATATTCTAAATAAAATAAGACGGGATAGATAGTGATTAATTAATGACTGTTGATTCCGAATAAAAAATATCTCATCAAAGATTCATATAATGTTGAACATTATATAAAATTGATGAAATGTAATATTCTAAATAAAATAAAATAGAATAGGTGGGAATTATAATTAACACGATTATCGGTTCCGAATTTAAAAAATATCTCATCAAAGATTCATATAATATTCAACATTATATAAAATTGATGAAATGTAATATTCTAAATAAAATAAGATGGGATAGATGACGATTAATTAACATGACTATTGATTCTGAATTAAAAAAATATCTCATCAAAGATTCATATATAATATTCAATATTATATAAAATTGATAAAATGCAATATTTTAAATAAAATAAGATGGCGATTAATTGGCATAATTGTTGGTCCTGAGTTTAAAAAATATCAAAAATTCATATAATATTCAACATTACATAAAATTGATAAAATGTAATATTCTAAATAAAATAAGATGGGATAGATGGCGATTAATTAACGTAATTGTTAATCCTGAATTTAAATATCTCATCATAGATTCATATAATATTCAACGTTAAAATCTCCCTCCGAATCTCTTCGCATTTCGAGAATTTAGTTTGTATAAATTTGAACTTTCGATAATAAGCAGATTCTCGTTGCATACTCGTATGATCGAGATATAAATAAAAACTCATAGCACGTGTAAAACTTCTTAATCCGTGTATATAATATATGTACAACAAACATTAGCTCGACCTTGATGTTAAAAAAAAACCCGGCTAATATTAAATATTCTTCAGAAAAACGCGGTGCATCGAGGATAAAACGAGGAAGCTTCGAGGCCGACTAGCGTTATTTAAAAAAGGAGAAAAAACCAGTATTGGAGAGGGAAAAGTTTCGAGTAGAATTAATTTATAATTAATTAATTATCTCATCCGGAATAAATAAAACGCCTGGCGGATTTGAATACACTTAATAACGATAAAATTTAATTACAAAAAAGCCAACTATAAATCAATCGAAAATCCTTAACGTTATGGAAAAAAAAATGCGCAAAAAAAATAATTGCGCAAAGTTTCTTTCCGGAATCTCCAACGTCAGATTAATTGAAAGTGTCATGCTCCAATATCCTCGAGGAGAAAGAGAAATGTAACGTAACGTCGACGGATTCGCAATCCGTAATCACAGCTCGGTGTTTCACTGCAATTTGCTCGTCTTATGTCTCCACTTCCTCGAGAGCGACCGCTCTCTCCTTTCCTCTCTCTCTCGTTCTTGCGTCAATATACGCAGTGATAATCGCATTATCGCTCGAACGGTAGGAAAAAAATAAGCCCACAAATTGTGCTCGCTGTTTACGACCTACGTGACGCATACAACTTGTCGTCGAACGCTCCGTTAACTTCCATAGTCGCCGAGTAATGTAAGTTATCCGCGTTACGTAACCCGAGCCTCCAAATCGGAGTTTCCTAAAATATACGTGCGACTCGAATGGAACGTGGCGCACGGAAGCGAAATAAGACGTCGCGGTCGACGATACAGGAATGTTCAACACGGGAAGGTCCGTCGAAGGAAATTTCATGCTACTCGTTCCTATTTCCTTGTAAAGCTCAAGTTTATATTTCATCAATATAATCAACATTTGTAATATGTAGGCCTTCTTTTTAACTTGCCTCTTTGCAATTTATCCTAGAAAATTTGTATATATTTATGAAAAATATATATATATATATTTATGAAGAAGAGAGAGACCGCGAAGAGAAATATATAAATCTTTGTTCATTTGTAGCTTTCAATTTTGTAATCAATATTAAAATCGCTTATCGTTCTGTGGTATCAACTATCACATGCATGGAATTATTATGTGACTCACATTTTAATTATAACATAATTATAAATGTATTTTTGAACTTGCGAAAAATAGTTAAATATGAACTTATAGAATATATATATTTTTTTTAATAAAACTTTAATAAAACTTTCACTTGAATTTTATTTAATTTAAATTAATACTGATTAACAGCATTAATATGATTAATTAAAATCTTTTTAATATTTGTTCCAAATATAAATCAAATTAGAAATTCAGGTTCGTTAGATGCTTATTAAATATTAATATGATCCATATATATGCCTGGACAAGTTAAATCTAACAGCAAGAACGTATTCAAATTTAATTTCGATGCATATTGAAAACATATTTAAATTTAATTACTTTTGAATTTGACATTTGGTTTTTATTTGAGTTTAATTTAGTTCATATAAATAAGCAATATAAACCGTATTTAAATCATATTTAACTGTTTTTCGCGGGAAGATACGTTTATAATTATGATAAATATCTTATGTTGCGTTTGCACTTATTATAAACATCTGTAAAATCACAAATACTTATATCATACTCTTACTATCGCAATTTTTTCTCGCAATCGTAATTTTTGTACATTATCGACCGAAGAGGTCCTCCGAGTTCAATTTAATTTTACGCGTCGTACGTGGAGGCGGACACTTTCCCGCCGTGTCCGGTCCAGTTCGTATGAACAAACTTCCCTTCCTCGCCGAGCAATTCATACGTATGAGCGCCGAAGTAATCTCGTTGCGCCTGCAGTAGATTCGCCGGCAATCGACCCATTCTGAATCCATCGTAGAAGGCCAGAGCTGATGACAGAGCAGGAGTCGGTATGCCAATCTTCACAGAGGCGCCCACCACTATCCTGGCGCTTTCATGGCAATCCTGCACCGCCTTGGCGAAGAAATCGTCCAGCAATAAGTTGGACAATTTCGGATTTTTGTCATAGGCCGATTTTATATTTCCCAGAAATGCGCTGCAAAAAGATTATAACTGTAATTTTGCTCTTCAGAGATACGTATGTTTCTATATATTTTAATCTTATACAGGGTGAGGCATCTAAAACAGGCCACCTGAATAACTCCGTTGGTAAGCCGAATATAAAAAAATTGTTCAGACAAAAGTTGTATGGTTTCAAGGGGGACATATGATGATGTCATTAGTTTAATCTTGAAGAGCCACCCGAAGGTCACGTGAAGGTCAGCTCCAACTTTTTAAATGGGACACCTTATATGCTTTTGCATATTCTTGTAGCTCATCTCAAGAGCTTTCCAAAACACTACAATTATGTTAGTTTTCATTAAATACTTTCCAAGTTATGAGGCTTGAAATAATTTCTTAATTTTACATAAACCGTAACATATCTTGTAAAATATTCATTTTCCAATTATCTTACCTTAATACTTTTATGTACAAAATAATGAGAACAATCAATTGGTGTAAAGAAAATATACAGTTGTTTTTAAGAAAAAATATGGAATTGTTAATTGCAAATTACATATTTTTTCTTAGAAACAACTATGTATTTTCTTTACACCAATTGATTCCTCATTATTTTGTACATAAAAGTATTACGGTAAGATAATCGAAAAATGAATATTATACAAGACATTTTATGGTTTAAAAATTAAGAAATGATTTCAAGCCTCAACTCGAAAAGTACTTTATGGAAAAATAATTTATAGTGTTTTGGAAAGCTCTCAAGGTAAGCTACAAGAAAATGCAATGAAAAATAGGGAGTTCCATTTTAAAAAATGCACTTTCGATTTGAATCGCCTATTTCCGGCCGAAACCAGAAGTTGAAAATATCACCATTCGATAGAACGCACCCGATTTATAAAGAAAATGTTTTTATTTTTTTGAAATAACCACTTCTCTAGTTTTTAAATGGATACGGATGGTCTAAAACACCCTGTATATATAAATAAAATATATATGTAACTGTTATCGTGTGATACATATCTATGCAATTATATTCTCTGCTTTAAGTGTAATACAAGATATTATTTTGACGAGATAATAAACTATGTCTTTTGGGAGAAACGAGAATTATCTCAAGAGCCTCTATGACACTAGATATGAAATGTATCCTTGGAACATTATATACAACCTTGACACTTATATCTTCTTGCTTGTTTTACAAAAAAATATAAGATCATCTGACAAAGATTGATGTGATATCGACGTAAGTCGGCAAGGTTGAAAGTCGTATAAATTTTCATTTCTACCAATTTTACCTCCTTATGATACAGCCACCTCGCCACATCAACGCTATTCCACCATAGTTTAAGTTCCAATTATGGACCTTGGCAGCCTCTCTTAACAACATAAAGCCCTGCGCGTACGAGATAATCTTCGCGACGTACAAGGCCTTCCTCAAGTTCTCGAGGAATTGTTTCTTGTCGCCCTCATACACCAGATTCGGACCCGTTAGTATTTTGCTCGCCTCCACACGTTCGTCCTTCAGCGCAGACAGGCATCTGGCGAACACAGATTCGCCGATCAGCGTGACTGGGACGCCGTAATCCAGGGCGGCGATGGCTGTCCACTTGCCGGTGCCTTTCTGGCCGGCAGTGTCCCTGATGCGTTCGAGCAAATAGCCCTTCTCGTTCTTGTACTTGAGTATATCGCGCGTGATCTCGATCAGGAACGAGTTCAGCTCGCTCTTGTTCCACTCGTCAAACGTCGCGCTCATTTCCTCTTGCGTGAGCTGCAGAGCTTCCCGCATTATGTGATACGCCTCGCAAATGATCTGCATGTCGCCGTACTCGATGCCGTTGTGCACCATCTTGACAAAGTGTCCCGCGCCGGTTTCGCCGACCCAATCGCAGCACGGTTCTCCGTCGACTTTCGCGGCAATCGACTAAAAAAGTATCAGTGTTTGAGTAAAATTTTCCATGGATTTTTCATCTTACAAACAATGATAAGCTAAGCATACTTGAAAGATGGATTTAATATGCGGCCATGCTTTAGGATTGCCACCAGGCATCAAGGATGGTCCGTATCTGGCGCCATCCTCACCTCCACTGACTCCACTGCCCACAAAAAGAAGCCCTTTCTTCTCCAAGTCCTTGGTACGTCTCTCAGTGTCCTGATATTCAGAGTTACCACCATCAATGATAATGTCTCCGGGAGAAAGAAGAGGCACTAACTGCTCAATAAAGGCATCAACGGCTGCTCCAGCTACATCAGATATAACATCAGATTGTATTATTATCGTAGCATTTATTATACACTCCTGGACAAAATTAAAGAATAATTTTTTCTTTAAAATTTTTCGTTAAAATTTAAATATCAGCTTTTAAAGAAAAAGTGAAAAAAAAATTATGCGTTAATTTTGTCCAGGACAAAATATACACGTTGGCCCCGAACGTTCCAGCCAGACATTAAGATCTTATAGGAAATTTAATTCTGAATTTAAAACAAAATTAAAATAATATAAAATAATATAAAATTATATATAAAAATAAAATTAGAAAAAAAAATATATAAAATAGATAGTAATAAGTAAATAAAGTAAATAAAAATAAGTATATAAAATAGATACTAATAAGTAAATAGTAAATAAAATTAAAATAATTTTATACAAAATTTAATTCTGAACAAAAAATTTCGTATAAACATGGGTCGAAAAATGCTTCCTTAAGAAGTTATCGCTCAAAAACCTCTGATGAAGGAAGAGTAAAAGATGAAAAGAAAATGAAATAAAAAGAAAATGAAACTAAATAAATTTCTTGAAAAAAACGATAAAAATAAAAAATAAAAATCTTTTTCTTTTATGAAAATAAAATAATTTTTTTTTTTTAACTAATATTTTAGTAATAGCACGTAATAGTAGAAAATGAATAAAGATGTTTTTCAAAAAATTTATTTAGTTTCATTTTCTTTTTATTTCAATTTCTTTTCACTTTTTGCTCTTCCTTCATCAGAGGTTTTTGAGCAATAATTTCTTAAGGAAGCATTTCTCCCATGTTTATATGAAATTTTTTGTTCAGAATTAAATTTCCTATAAGATCTCAAAGTCTGGTTAGAACGTTCGGGGCCACCCTGTATATAATATATAATTCTATGTAATAATTATATATAATTGTAGATTTTTAATTGCAATAAAATGGATTACCTTTCACTAGCAACATTACTCTCCTTGGGCTCTTCAAAGTACCGACCATTTCCTTCAAGCTATAAGCACCGATGATTTTTGTACCCTTGGCCTCATTCTCGAGGAAAGATTTGACCTTGTCAGTGGTACGATTATATGCACATACGACAAATCCGTGGTCATTCATGTTCAGAATTAAATTCTGTCCCATCACTGCCAAGCCGATGAGGGCAATATCTGCTACTCTAAAAGACAAGAAAACATGTTATTCGATTGAAATTCGACAAGAAAAATCTATTGTCTTCTTACACCTATATGTACTGAAAAAAAATTCTACAATTGCCTAAACAGCTCAATGCGAAATATTTTCCATGATTTAACTCTCGACAATATTCAAACTATAATAATTATAATAATAATAATATAATATAATATAATAATAATATAATATAATAATTATAATAATATATATAATAATAATAATAATAAAATATAATAATAAAATATAAAAATAAAATATAATAATAAAATAAAATAAAATATATTAATAAAATATAATAATTATAATAATATATATAATATAATAAATTATAATATATAATATATTATATTATAATACAGAATACATATAATACACAACTTGGACCATAACAATTTCATGGTAATTAACGATGAATTAAGATAGGCTTAATCTCTTGATTAGATATTCGATATTATATACGATTTGAATGAATTCGCACGCTCGTAAATTAAATTCAAGGTGCTCGAAGCGACCGAATAATTTTCCCCTCGTGCGATATTCTCGTTCCACGTCACATGGAATTTCCTAGGAAAATAAACACGAGGAAGATACTCACGGGGCACTCATATTTGCGGATTATTCCGTGTGATTATTCGCGCGATGAAGGAACAGGATCGAAGACGCAAAAACGAACGACAGGAACAACAAGTGGTCGTCACGCTTTCCGACCTCGTCGGCGAACGAACGTGAACGAAGTCCGTGTCGGACGACGTGCCCGACACGTTCCTCGCGACGTCAGCTGATACGTCGCGAGCCAATCGTGAAACGCGCCGGGTCAGCAGGGCCTTCGATTCGAGCCTCGCCATCGGCACCAAAGTTGTCATAACGATGATGCAGCGTTACGAGTATCGCACAAAATGCCCGATTTTATGACGCCAACTTATCAATCAATTTGTGCGAATCGTCCCTTGAGAGAGATTCCCTTTCGAAGGCGAGGACATCGTTTCGTGGAACTGAATTCCGGAACATCTCCAGCTGAAATGTCAAAAATATTTATTTGCAATTTTTTTTATATATATATATAATACTTTTTATATTAAATTAAATATCTTATATAATTGTAATATATTATTAATTTTAATTATATTAATTAAAATGTAATATAATTGTAATATAATAATATATTAAATTAAATGTTATATAATTGTTATATAATTGTAATATATTATTAATTTTAATTATATTAATTAAAATGTAATATAATTGTAATATAATTAAAATAAAATTGTAATATAACTGTAATATAATTGAAATAAATAAGTAATTTAAATATATATTTTTTATAATAAATTATTATACAAAAAATTATAAATTATAAAAATAATAAAATTATTTTTATTATATAAAAATAATTTTTATAATTTATATAATTTATATTATTATATAAAATTAATTAATATTTTTTACAATTTATATAATTTATATTATTATTATATAAAATTAATTAATATTTTTTTATCAGGTTCTCCAGTTTCAAAATATCTTTTCCGACATAAATTCCAGGCGAATGGTTAACAAAGCAAAATTCCATTATAGTGCAATGTTCTCGTACGGGACTGGGGAGAAAAAAAAATCATGATAAAGCATTTTAACTTGCGACGAAAAATGACTCTTAAGGTCTATTTACACATATCCGTGACGTATCAGTGTCGTATCCGTTAAATTCCGTGATTTTTCGTCAGTATCAGTGATGATAAATTCCTTTTTTTGTTTTTAGATGGACGTATTTACACATGTCCGACGCAGTATCATATTCGGATCGTTCAGTTTCAGTTCAGTATCCGCATAGTAATATTGTGTTTATTGCAAACGATATTTTTGCTTTTTCACGGATACATTACAACGGTCAGTAAATTTATTTATAGAGTATTTGATGCCAAGCAGATCACTCGGATCAAATCGTGGATTTAGATGAAAGTGAAATATTATATTGTGTAATTTTACGATAAAATTTTACAGTAAAATTATGCTTAATATAATATTTTATTTGCATTCAAATCCACATCTTGACTTAAAAAAAAGTAATTTGCTTGACATGGAAAATTCTTTATAAGCTTATACCTATATTTATATAGACATTTTTAGGCTTGTAAAAATAAATGATGAACAACTTATTGAATTAGTGCGTCAATATCCCGTGCTATACGATTTATCGCATCCTAAATATAAAAAACTGAGTTATCTTGAAAATCACTGAGTTCAAACTGATCAAACTATACGGATATATCATCACTGATACATTACGGATGTTACTGACACGACACTGATACGGCACTCACACGGATATGTGTAAATAGACCTTTAAACAGCGAGAGGTGGAAATATGTATACTTTGATACCTTCGAAAAATCGTCAAGGTTACCGGGAGAATATATTTCAATAAGAAGTACGCGAACACAAAGAAATAAATCATATATATACGATTCAAAAGAATTGAACTGAACTAAAGTGAGTCGCGAACTCTGGCGCAAAGTTTTCGATGTTGGGAGAGCAGGATTTAGAAGAGGTCACGCGAGCCTCCTCCTTATCATGTCCTCTTAATACCGCGAAATTAGCTCTGGATTTGAATTTACTACTTCAGGGTGATTTACCTCTAACCTAAGTATATTCTCCTGATAAATCCGGACGATTTTTCGACGCAAAATGAAAGACAAACCGATTGTGTGCGTAGCTATTGTGTCATAAGTCAATTCAATAGCTCTCACAATCATGCAATTGATGAAATTATATTAGCGCGTTTTTTTATCAATTAAATTAAATCAAATTCATAAAAAGAACGGGATTATTTTCATCCTCCTTTATCATTTTAATTCCACTGTGTCTTCTCAATCCGAATAATAAATTACATTTAAATCGATGAGAAATATATTTCATTTCAAGTATCATAAGAAAGAAGTCACTATTACTGACGATTTACAATTCTTCTATCTCTTGATATACAATATTTTAATTTTTAGAATCTTTAATTTTTCTCAATATTTTAATTTTTAGAATCTTTAATATTTCTCAATATTTTTATTTCTAGAATCTTTAATATTTCTCAATATTTTAATTTTTGGAATCTTTAATATTTCTCAATATTTTAATTTTTGGAATCTTTAATATCTCTCAATATTTTAATTTTTACAATCTTTAATATTTCTCAATATTTTAATTTTTAGACTCCGGATAGAACTAATGATGTCATGAAACTTATGACATCATTAGTTCTACCCCCATTATGACGTCATCATGATTTTATTTATCACTTAAAAGTTACCTAAACAAAAATGATTAAAAAATGAGTTAAAGATGACAAAAAGAATCATAAATTTTTAAGTTGAATAATCGCGTTATATAATTTTAAAAAGATTATGTTTGTTAAATGTAATTAAAATATATACATATAATACATACATGTACTATATATACTATAATATTGTATGTATATATATATATATATATATATATATATATATATATATATATAGTCAATATAATATAGTCAATATAATATCAAAAATAAGTCACCAAAACATTGCGAAAAGTATATCAAATGAGATCATTATGATTCTAAAATGATTCTAAAATGACTTTTAGGTGACGTATAATAATGTCATTATGAGTTTCATGTTCTACCTTCTTAAATCTTTAATATTTCTCAATATTTTTCACCTCTCGATTTCGTCGTCCACCTCGATACACGTATACGCGATAAACAGATACTTTTATTTAATAGAAGAGACGAGTCGCAAAATGGCGTAAAATCACGTGCTATCGAAAAACCAAGCGTCTCAGCAGGGGATCACGCTCGACGAGAGGTGAAACGAATTGAAGTGAGGCGAGAGTCGCGAGTCGAAACTGTCAAGACGAGAAAACGAGGCGGACGAATCCAAGGCCGGCAGCGCCGCCAAACGTCAAACGTCAGCTGACTGCGCGGAGCAACCTGAACATGTCGCGCTTCGCCTGATCGGGCCTCCTCGCAATCGTAGTGAACGGATCGCCCGCGATACTCGGAGTCTTTCTCTCTTCCTCTCTTCCTCTCGCGTCTGCCTCTCGGATCCTGCGACTCCTGGATGCGTCTGTTGACGTTTCGACGCGATTATGACGCGGTGCCCTCGTCGGTATCCTCGTCGCCGAGGCCGAACATAACCCCGAGACAATGAACCATCCTGCCGCCGAGGCTCTCTCCTAATCGCGAGCGAGAAGCGGGCTCTTTTCGACGACGACGATAGATAAAGGAAGGCCAGAAGGAGAAGCAACATGGGACTGCTGTTTGCCAAGCTGTGGAGCCTCTTCGGCAACGAAGGTGAGCATTTGCGCAAGCTTTCTCCTCTCCTTGGCTCCTCTAGTATTGTCCTTATGTTTACGATGATGACACGTGCGATGGAAGGTCCAGGAAGTCGAACATCTTCGAGGATTTTCCGAAGATTTAATCGACGAGCGAGGATGATTTGATTTTATTAAACCGACGTGGGACCATCTGGAAGCTTGTTGGGCTTCTTGGAAAATTTATTGTTCAATATTATTGTCCTTTGGATTATTTGTTTTGCTAGGATTGTCCTGGAAAGTGGGATCAGTTGTGCAGCAAACTGGATGATAGTATGTTTTAGAAATTCTCTGTCAATGTACATCGGCCTACTTTCTAATTTGTTAACATATGCTGTCAAGTCATGGTTTCTTCGATCTAAAACCTGGCTCTCGAGTGCAACTGTTATTGGCGATTTACAATTCTTTTATCTCTTGATATGAAATATTTTTATTTTTGGAATCTTTAATATTTCTCAATATTTTTATTTTTGGAATCTTTAATATTTCTCAATATTTTAATTTTTAGAATCTTTAATATTTCTCAATATTTTTAGTTGCAAATGTTTGAGCCTGCTCTCCCAATTTGTCGAATTCTCTGGATTTAGAATTTTACCCTACCTCTTATCAAAATTTATTCTTCTGATAAGTCTGATGGTTCTTTGATAAGTATCCTCCCATATCTTTATTTTATATTACACTCCTTCATATATTGTAAAAGATCGTTAGTATAAAAGAATGTTATGCTTGTTATAAAATTTTTATCAATATTTTCATACCATCATTATTATTCTAGCCTTATCAACCTAAAGTTGAGTCACTCTTTGAGCAATAATATTCTTCAACAAACAATTACTTGTAACCCATTATAGATCCTCTACAAAATATTTCAGCTCTTTGTAAAAATTGTATCGCTAAAAAGTTTCACTGCTTTCAGAGCACAAGATCGTTATGGTTGGTCTGGACAACGCCGGGAAGACAACTATATTGTACCAGTTCCTGATGAACGAGGTTGTCCACACGTCTCCGACTATCGGATCTAACGTGGAGGAAGTGGTGTGGAAGAACATTCATTTTATCATGTGGGATCTAGGTGGCCAGCAGAGTCTGAGAGCCGCCTGGTCCACTTATTACACAAACACCGAGTTTATCATTATGGTCATAGACAGTACAGATCGGGAGCGACTCGGTGTAATTAGGGAGGAGCTGTATTCCATGCTGAATCACGAGGAGTTGAGCAAGGCCAATGTTCTGGTCTACGCCAACAAGCAAGACTTGAAGGGCAGCATGACAGCGGCTGAGATTTCGCGACAGCTGGATCTGACGTCTATCAAAAAGCATCAGTGGCACATACAGAGCTGTTGTGCTCTCACGGGAGAGGGGTAAGATAGCGAAATCTACGAGCAACAGTTGCACATTGTTCTTGTGACGGAGGAGATAAAATCTGAAGTACGAAAAAAAAATTGTTTCAGGCTGTACCAGGGTCTGGAATGGATCGTTGGACGCTTGAAAAAGACATGACGTACATTATGAGAGTCTATTATAAATCTAATGAAATATCGAAAATGTAAAATATATTATTAAGATAAGTTTATCTCACAATTACACACTTTGACGGTTATACGAAAGAGGAAAATAGCCTGGGGACTATTATCGTATTTCGTTAGTGATTATTTGAAAATCTCCCGGTATGACTCTCAAAGTGCATCCGAACAGCGAGCATTTTTAAACGAACGGTGGACGGGTGAATCTGCCCTTTAGCTATTATATTGTGCAAGATAAGATCTGATATAGAGGCAAGAGCGTTATAAACGCGTGACTACTTATGCGATAGAGAGAAAGTTCGGTATTAATTATTATATAAAATGTGACTAGTACCAAGTTTTCTCTTATCCATCAATACAGTCAATATGAAATAAAAATAGAAAAGAATTAAGCGCGTATATAAGCAGAAAATTATCGTTTTTTTACTATTTGATGTTGATTGTCATAATTATATCGAGTCCAACAGTTGAATCACTTCCATTAAGAAAGCTGTACCGATTGCTCATGCAAATTATTAGATGGTGAAGGAGATTTTTTTATCCCGTCCACCGATATTCAGCGGTGGAAAAACAGGCAGATGAGGATAACTAACGTTATTTGTACTCGGTTGACATGAGAGCGCAACGGAAGTGCACCTGTGTACATAGTTTTTTATACTTCTCGTTAAGAGAGCGAGCTGAAAAAAGAAGAGGAGATCAAAGTGGGAAAGGAATGTCGAATGGGAGAGGACGAGATTTTACGCAAGAGCCCGAGCAGATTCCCTTCAAGATCACCCGATCGATGAGAAACCTTTCGTAGCAGAATACGAACTGCTCTGTGATACGTGGATTCAATTCTGAGACAGTTGTTTGCTGGACAGATTACGAGAGATGGAAGAAAAAAGGATAACAGATAAAGCCGATATAATGCGTGAAGGAAGACTGATAATAATTTTCAAGGTGTAACAACGCACAGATAGTATCGCGATAGGTGAATGAAAAGCTTTGAATCAAAAAAAACTTGTTTGCCTACTCTTTTCAATTTATATTCCATTTTAATCGTTCTGGATCAATCAAAAAGAGTCGCTTTAATAGCATCTTAATTTAATTCATTAATATAATATTAATATAATATTAATATAATATTTTAATTAATATAATATTTATATAATATATTTATATAATATTTATATTAATATAATATTTTAATTAATATAATATTTATATAATATATTTATATAATATTTATATTAATATAATATTTTAATTAATATAATATTAATAAAATATTAATTAATATTAATATACTATTTTAATTAATATAAGTTATCATTAGTTATTATAATTATTGTAAATAGTTATACTATAATTTTTTATGGCCTCAAGGAGGCGCGAGTCCTTAGCCGTTTAAGGAAGCTCTTTCCATTCCATTTCCATTCACCTGCGATTACTATATGTCGCCAGGATGACGAGAGGAACGTTTGTAAAGTTGCACGGACCTTCTTTGTCCTCCAACTGACAGCTGTCTCGTTTTTGTCTTTATTTAAATCGTAAATGTAACATCTATCTTTTATGTAGCGCGTGAAATACTCCAATAGATATATATATATATATTAATATTATGTAGCTGATATATGGATAAAAAAAAAGGAAGCCGAGAAATGTGACCGATGAGACGGGTGGATGCCAAGATTATTATAGGGAATTGTTATAAACATCATCGCGCGAGAAATAAAATAATAAATACCGTCTAATGTCAGAGTGAGATCTTAACGCTTAAAAGTTTACATAAAAAGTTAAATAACGTCAGCTTTCTCATATTGAGAGAGAAAACGGGTTCTTAGGTGTTCGATGACGTAAGAAAGAATTGTATCTCGCTATTGTTTCCCCGTCGAAATTTTCTACGGGACTATTAACGTCCAATTTATCCTCGGACGTGTCCGTCTTCTTTATGTAATTGTGTAAGAAAGAAAATTTTCTGAAAAATGTAAAGTACAAGATATAGGTTGTTTTAACAATTGATCGATGATTGTTAGCGAGTGAGGACGCGCGTAACAAAAAAAAATGTTAATTAATTCGTGTTAATTCTGCGAATTTCATACACGGCCCGATATGTCGGAAATAACGATTACGAAAAATCATAATCCATTTTTTCGCCAACCTACTGGTCTTTATCTAACATAATATTGTATAATACACATTCCAGCAAACACCAAGTAGCATTTATATAATTGTTAGTTGTAATTTCCCACTCGACAATATAACTGTAACATGTTATGTAACTGTTATATAACATATAACAGTTATATTGTCGAGTGGAAATTTATAACTAACAATTGTATAACTGTTACTTGGTGTTTGCTGGGATACAAGTCCCAGGGAGCGTCCCCTGTGCAACTTTATTAAATAATAACAAAAAGGTTAAGATGTGCGATGTCAAATAAATCAGTTTCTATCAATAAGAAACACCGATCTGTTCTTCATTATTTTCCGCTGTAATAATTTCCTTTTTTATTTTGGAATTTGAATGAGAGATAGTAAACCAGCAAACATTAAATAACAGTTATACAGGGTGTTTCAGACCATCTGTACCCATTTAAAAACTAGAGAAGTGGTTATTTCAAAAAAGCAAAAACATTTTCTTTATAAATCGGGTGAGCTCTATCGAATGGTGATATTTTCAACTTCTGGTTCCGGCCGGAAATGAGCGATTCAGACCGGAAGTACATTTTTTTAAATGGAACCCCCTATTTTTCATTGCATATTCTTGTAGCTTACCTCGAGAGCTTTCCAAAACACTATAATAAATTATTTTTCCATGAACTTTTCGAGTTATGAGGCTTGAAATCATTTCTTAATTTTACATAAACCGTAAAATATTTTGTAAAATATTCATTTTCCAATTATCTTACCTTAATACTTTTATGTACAAAATAATGAGAACAATCAATTGGTGTAAAGAAAACATACAGTTGTTTTTAAGAAAAAGTATCGAATTGTTAATTGCAAATTACATATTTTTTCTTAGAAACAACTATGTGTTTTCTTTACACCAATTGATTTCTCTCATTATTTTGTACATAAAAGTATTAAGGTAAGATAATCGAAAAATGAATATTTTACAAGATATTTTATGGTTTATGTAAAATTAAGAAATGATTTCAACCCTCGATAACTCGAAAAGTACTTCATGGAAAAATAATTTATTATAGTGTTTTGGAAAGCTCTCGAGGTAAGCTACAAGAATATGCAATAAAAAATAGGGAGTTTCATTTAAAAAAATGCACTTCCGGTCTGAATCCCCCATTTCCGGCCGGAACCAGAAGTTAAAAATATCACCATTCGATAGAGCGCACCCGATTTATAAAGAAAATGTTTTTATCTTTTTGAAATAACCACTTCTCCAGTTTTAAAATGGGTCGTACGGGTGGTCTGAAACACCCTGTATAACATGTAACATTTATATTGTTGAGTAGGAAATTATAACTAGCAGTTGTATAACTGTTATTTGATGTTGCTGGACAATATTGAAATATTTCTGTAAAATATTATCCAAATATTATCTTTAATATCCTAATCATTTAAATCTCTAGTTCAAGAAAATAGATTAGACCCTTCAAATTAAGTACTTCTTTTCATGTCGAGCGATACATTTGCGAGTTCCAGGAAAGTTTACAACTGTCACCTTTAGACATCCGTTTATTTTCACATTTTTTTATTATAAATAAGGTACGCACACACTCGTTCATTCCGATAACAGTGGTCTCACCACTGATCATTCTCCTTAATTTCACGCACGATGACTCGCCACGGTTGGGTAAGGGACTATTGACTGCTATTTAAGTGCTTGTCGATGACTCCGCATCTGTTTTTTCGCTCGCTCTTAAGTATTCTGCAACTACAGCAACTTGCGGCACGATAATGTTACCTCTTTCCGCGTTTCTAAGAACATTTTAATAGCAATAAACTTCCTGAGAGAGAAGTAGGACAGTGAAACTAACGGCCAAGAGAATTACATTCGAATTAATTAGCACCGCGTGTTCGCATTTTGGCGACTAATCCTCTTGTTTCGAAATCCTCTATTTGTAAAAATTCGCTTTCGATCAAATTTACCTTTTTTTTCAATTAAAATAAAATATAATATACACCTTTAGGCAGTGCATCTCGCGAATGACAAGGCAAAACAATGTATTGATACATTGTACTAATTTCCTAGATGGTGTCGAGCCCAATACAACGCAAAAATCTCGAAGAAACTCGAGAAAATCCGAATAATAACGTTCTGTTCGAATTGGATCATCTTCTAGGATGTCCACCTGAAGGGGGATGTTTTTTGGACATTTACGTTATCTTTACGCAATATGAATCTGCTACTTAATCGCCATTTTTCACTGCCTCTATGTCGCTAAAATTAATTGCTAATATGTTGACTATCGTTATCTTGCCTCCTAAATTTCCGGCGATAATCAACGCATTACTAAATATTGAGAGGGATGAGTGTATTTACAATAATGCTTCATCTATCTCTGATACATTTCTTTATTTTGTGTGTGTATTTCCGAATAATATGAAATCCCATGGAGGACGTCTCTCGAAAAGACACCTACTGAGATATTTTTTGCTATTTAAAGACGTGTGAAACTCATCTCTTGGACTTGCACGCTGTCTTTTCAATTTTCTCACGAGGTTGGCAGTTTCCACTATTGGACCATCTACGTTTCCGCTTCAACAAGCATCTACGTCGCGACAACTGCATTTCACTTAACACACTTTCCCCTCCATCGATACTTGCTGAAGACCATCAGCGACTCGAAAGTCGTATTAATTGCATTTATACAATTTTAATGGTAATTTTAATACAATTCCCTGAAATCGCTCGTGTTCAAAAAGCACCAACAGGAGGAAAGTTAGTGCAAATTCCTTGACGCGGAATATTGATGTGTTTGCTCTTAATTCTACAATTAGATAATACATTATTATGACGTAATTATTTGTCGTGTTTAATACCTAGCCTTGTTCCTTTCGCACATTCTCGTTCTCCCTTTCATTCTCTCATCCTTTCACTCTTTACAATTCGTAGTCTCGTTCGTTTGATAAGGCGCGGGGTCAATGACTCCCTCGAGGTCGGTGTCAGAACCATGCTACCTTTTAAAAGATAGGATTCCCGGCGTTGCTTCAACGAGATCGAGATGACGGGACTGATTCCGAAGTGGTGCCGATAACGATCATCGATTAAGTGACAGACGGGCTCTTTAAGCATTGAGGGATTTCATAAGGAGATCGGTGCTGAGGGACTTGGGCCTCTCGATGGGCAATCCTAGAGCACGGTCCCACACCAGGGAGGCAAGCACGCCCAGGGCACGCGAGACGCCGAACAGGACCGTGTAGTAGTTCATCTCCTTCATGCCATAGTATTGCAACAATACGCCTGAGTGAGCGTCCACGTTTGGCCAGGGGTTCTTCACCTTGCCAGTCTCCAGCAGGACCGGCGGGACCACCTTGTACACCTGCGCGACCAACTGCAAGAGAAAAAAATTATCATCGATATTGAACCCTGACGATCTCCCTCGAGACCTTCCAACTGGTATTGTATAATTTTAATTTCCATTTAGGATTTTTTACAAAAAGATTTTGCTTAGAACACGCTTCTTCTTAGGGTTGCACGAGACACCAAGATTAGTCTTGATATTGTCTTGTCTTGTCTTGAATTTCAAGACAAGATCAAGATTTTTAATTAGTTATCAAGACAATACCAAGACTAAGATTGTCAAGATTATTGGTCTTGTCAAGATTATTGGTTCTTAAAGAAACTAAAATATTTATATTTGTAAATGAAAAAAAAAATTACTATATACGAATTTTAAAAAATTTTGTTCAATAAAAACGTTTATATTAATAAATTTAAAAACATTTAATATTAATGCAATATAACATTTTTATAAATTAGAGATCAAACTCGCAAATTTTAGACATTCAAGAATATTTCACCCAGGAATTGATGCACATTAGTGCTTTTAAAAATTTATTTTGTAATCTGGTTCTATTTTTTAACATAGTCAGAGTTCCTATTGAGACAAGATTTTTAATTAGTTATCAAGACAATACCAAGACTAAGACTGTCAAGATTATTGGTCTTGTCAAGATTATTGGTTCTCAAAGAAACTAAAATATTTATATTTGTAAATGAAAAAAAAATCACTATATACGAATTATAAAAAAATTTTGTCCAATAAAAACATTTATATTAATAAATTTAAAAACATTTAATATTAATGCAATATAACATTTTTATAAATTAGACATCAAACTCGCAAATTTTAAACATTCAAGAATATTTTACCTAGGAATTGATGCATATTAGTGCTTTTAAAGATTTACTTTGTAATTTGGTTCTATTTTTTGACATAGTCAGAGTTCCTATTCAGAAAAGTCTTTCTACTGACACGGACGAGGCAGTTGAACTTAAAATGTCTCGAGCCATTTTTGACAATGTAGGATAAATATAAACCTGATTTTTTTATCATTCCAAAATATTTATCTGCACATTCCCTTGGAGTCTGTAAATAGTTATTAATTTCTGTTTTCTATAAAACAGTACATGTTTTTTATGTAAATAGACGGCATTTATATCGATTACATAGTAATAATTATAATTAAAATATAATACAATAGTAATAATTAATTCAAATTATATTACAAAAATTATGTTAAATATTATTTAAATAATTTTTTAATATTAGATAAAAAATTGTTAATAAAATCGAGACAAGACGATACAAGACGAGATTTTTGCTATCAATATTCACTTAAGACCAAGACAAGATTTAAATTTTTGAAAATTTTCAATACCAATACAATATTTTTACGAATATTGTCTTGTCTTGGGTCTTGTGCAACCCTACTTCTTCTATCAATCATGGGGATTTACCTTGAACAATGGATCGTCCGGCAAGTGTTTCAGGGCAAACTCCCTCTGGCACGTGTATCTCGGGTCGGTTTTCCTGAGAACGGCGTGTCCGTAACCGGGCACGACCTGGCCGCTCTTCAACGTATTCCAGATGAATTCCTTGAGCTTGTCGTCGCTCGGACTGTCGCCGACCTGAGAGCGTAGCTTCTCCAGCCACACCAGCACCTCCTGATTGGCCAGCCCGTGCAACGGTCCGGCCAGGCCGTTCATCCCGGCGGAGAAGGACAGATAGGGATCCGACAGGGCTGATCCCACCAAGTGAGTGGTGTGCGCGGACACGTTGCCGCCCTCGTGATCCGAGTGGATCGTCAGGTAGAGACGCATCAGCTCGATGAACTGCGGGTTGTCGTAGCCGAGCATGTTGGCGAAATTCCAGGACCAATCCTTGCCGGCGTCCACCGAGCCCAGGCCCTTGCCGCCCTTGTAGATGTTGCGGTAAATGGTAGCCGCCACCACCGGCAGCTTGGCAATCAGATTCATCGAATCCTCGTACACGGTTTCCCAATACTTGCTCTTGTGCACGCCCTTGTTGTAAGCTTTCACGAACTCACTCTCGCTGTTCAACAGCGTGATGGCCGCGGAAAACTGCGTCATCGGGTGCAGGGTCTTGGGGAAGTTGTTGAGGGCCTTGACCACGTGATCGGGTAACGTGCTCCTGGACGCCCAATCCTGCGAGATGGCCTTCACCTGCGCTTCCGTGGGCACGTCGCCGGTGATCAGCAACCAGAAGAGACCCTCCGGAAGCGGTTCCGCGCCACCGGCCGCCTTCGGTAACAGCTTCTGACATTCGGGGATCGACTTGCCGCGGAAACGGATGCCTTCCTCCGGATCCAGCACCGATGGCTCCCACACGATACCCTTGATGCCGCGCATACCGCCGTACATCTGCAATAAAGAAAGATTAATATGTGTCAATAATAGAAATAAAATTCATACTGTGCAAATAAAATTGATACAAATATTTAATCAAACTTTTATTTAATTATCTGGATTTTCTTCAGTTTCATTGATGACTCTATTAATAAATTACCTCGATTTATTAATAAGTTATCTAATAAAACATTTATTAATAAATTATCTAATTTTAATTATAAATTTATTGATAAATTATTAATAAAGTATCTTAATAAAAACTAATAAATTATCAAAGATCGGATTTCTCGAGATAAATTATCTAATAAAATATTTATTAATAAATTATCTAATTTTAACTATAAATGTATTGATAAATTATTACTAAAGTATCTTAATAAATATTAATAAATTATCAAACATCGAATACGAATTTCTTGAGATAAATTATGTAATAAAACATTTATTAATAAATTATCTAATTTTCATTATAAATCTATTAATAAATTATTAATAAAGTATCTTAATAAATATTAACAAATTATCAAAGATCGGATATGAATTTCTCAAGATAAATTATTTAGTAAAATATTTATTAATAAATTATTTAATTTTGATTATAAATCTGTCAATAAATTATTAATAAAGTATCTTAATAAATATTAATAAATTATCAAAGATCGAATACAAATTTCTCGAGATAAATTATCTAGTAAACTATTTATTAATAAATTATCTAATTTTGATTATAAATCTATCAATAAATTATTACTAAAGTATCTTAATAAATATTAATAAATTACCAAAGATCGGATACGAATTTCTCGAGATAAATTTTCTAACAAAATATTTATTAGTAAATTATCTAATTTTAATTATAAATTTATTAATAAATTATTACTAAAGTATCTTAATAAATATTAATAAATTACCAAGATTGGATACGACTTTCTCGAGATAAATTATCTAATAATATATTTATTAATACCTAAATTATCTAATTTTGATTATAAATCTATCAATAAATTATTAATAAAGTATCTTAATAAATATATTAATAGATTACCAAAGATCAAATACAAATTTCTCGAGAATGCTATATTAAAAAACTTTCCCCAGCAATTAACATCAACGATATTCTTTGACTAATAACTGGATGAAATTTTGTGAAAGAAATATCGAGATGCTTTTAATTACGCAAGAAATCATCGATAAATTAATGCAGACCCACGCACTTTAGAGCGATTAAGCCTTCACGTGCGATGAGTAAGATTGATCACATGAAACCTCGAGTGATTAGAGCGATTTATTCGGCTACGATTAATCTCTATGCGTTATATTCGACTGATAATCGCCTGATAAAAAAAGTTATTACGCCAGTTATTGTCAAAAATCTGCAAGAATAACAGAATTGTCAATGACACAGTTATCACGATCACATAGTTAGCACGCAGTCCCGCGATCATCTCGTGGTCCTTATCATCAAAGTGGCAAAAAATAGCTCGTCTTATCACGTGAGATCTTTCATCAGCCGACGAGATTCAATTCATTTATTTTAACTAATTATCAATGTTCCAATTACACTGTTTCAAGCACGATATAAAATGATATCAATGATATAATATTATTAACGAGAGTGAGAGGGACTGAAAAATTGAATAAATTATTATTTATATATTATTTAATATATTATTTAATCCTATTTATTTAATCTTATTAATTAATATATTATTTAATCTTATTTCAAGAGGGAAGGGGGATAAAAAGAAAGACACAAAGATTTTAAAAATAAGGCAAAATTCGAATCGAATTTTTTAAAATAAAATTCAATTATTATATTTTTTATTTACGCTTGTAAATAAAAAATTTGTATTCATTAATAGCAATAAAATACATACCATGTCGACGGTTACTTCTCCAACCTTGGTGGCACCATGGTTCTTACGGAAGGCTTTGACGCGTTCCTGCTCCCTGGGAATTTTTTCCGCGAGAATCCTTCTGAGATCCGTGGATGCATCGGTCAGCTGTCGCACGAAGATGGTCGATGTTATTTTTTTCTGAAAGAGAAAAAAGAATCGAGATAAAATTGCGTTATGAAGAACAATAGAAAGTGTTAAAAGTAATAATTAAAATCATAATTAAAAGTAATAATTAAAGTCCTAATTAAAAGTAATATTAAAGTCATAATTAAATATAAACTAAAATTATTTATGCATCAAAATTATTATTAAATACGATATAAGAACATGAAAAATTTTATTTACACACTAAAAATTATATAAGTTAAATTATAATCACTATAAATAATAATAATATAATTTCTCCGAGTATTTTAATAAGTTTAATATTCTATAAAAATAAATGTAATAAATATTTTTCCCCAATTTTATTTTTTCAAATTATTTTCCTGACAAATTTTCTTGACTCCACGAATGTTTTCATTTGATGGATATCTCTCATACGTGACGTACAAGTTGTGTAAAGAATGATTACGAAAATAAGACACACGTGGATTACGTAAAGAGGACAAACCGTTAACAATCATGTCATCAACTGCACGCAAATGTCATCCGACTTATACGTTAATAAAATATATCGTTTTATATTAAAAAACGAAACAGGAAAGGTTTCCTAAAATCACTATTTTTCCACGTGATATAGAAATTAACGTCATACGATTCAATTTTCAATTATAATTGTTCGAACGAGCTTTTTATTTATTCTTCGATCGAGAGAATAAAAAGTTGTCAATTTGTGCTTCGAAAATTATTATATTTAATTATTATTATATTTAATTATTATTATATTTAATTACTATTATATTTAATTACTATTATGTTTAATTATTATATTTATTATTATATTTAAAAAGCAATCTTTATATTAATACTGTCAATTAATTTAATGAAAAGATTTCTTTGGAGAGAACACGATTACATCATAGCTACTCGAGAATTATGCGGTAGACACAATTTTTTTTCCTTTTTTTTTTCGTTAAACGTCCGACTGATACTTTATGACGGTGCAAAAAAGAAATCACTCCTCATCTCGACTCGCACCATTGAACGTCAAACTCAGATAAAAGCGAGGTCGCGGAATCTCGTGTTCGAGGTCATTATCAGTAGCTTGCGGAAACGATATGGATTAATCTTTTTTTTCCACAGACGATAGTAAATAGTTCATTATTATCTTTAATATACATGATAAAGAGCTTAATTTGCAAATAGAGGTATAGTGAGTCTAATCAGTCTATCTTGGACCCGAACGCAAAATTTGGGACATTTTGCAAATATATCGCGATTTTTTCAGAGTAGAAGCAAGTGACAGAAATGATAATATTATATATTTATCTTTAAATAATATAAATAAAAATAAATGAAAATATCCTTATAAAAATTATTTTTATATTATTTAAAAATAAATTATATGCAATTTAAAATTATGCAATATATTATAATGAAATTATCTTTATATTATTTAAAGATAAATATATAATATAATAATAACACTTATTATTATTATAAAATAATAATATTTATTATTTCATTATTAATATTAATCTTACAATATATTATTAATATTATTAATGTTAATTATTAATATTAATAATATATTAATATTAATAATATATAATGCAATAATATAATGCAATAATATATTACAATATATTATTATTATTATTATTATTATTATTATTATTATTATTATTATTATTATTATTATTATTATTATTATTAATAATAATAATAATAATATTAATACCTTTCAACAATAACAATAAAATAATAGTGAAGCAATAAAAATGATAATTGTGAGGAATATAAACTCACAGCCGCATATAAATATTCAAACTTTGGTGAGAAAAGGTGAAAAAAGATCGACCTATTATTACATAATCATCGCAACATATGGGGAAGGCACGGTATACAAGCTTCGTAACTTCGGATACCAGTTCGAAGGATACAAAGATCCGACAGAGTTTTATTTTTTTCTCTTTTGTTTTTTTGTTTAAGCGAAAATGTTCACTTAGAGCCTTCTTATATCTAATGCATTGCTGTCAGCACTAATTCGTGTGACTAATTTCTTCAACATACGCGCGATAAAAGTCGACTTTTAAATGTTTGTGTACACAGAACGTGTACACTCAATAGATAATTAAGCCAAGGTAAAGTATAGCGAAGTTGCGAAACACATATCGCGATGAGTTCAAGACAATGAGACTTCGCTGAACGAGAATTTTTGAATTTAAAGAAAAATGTTTGCTTAATATTTTAATTAAATAATTATTAATATTTTGTTTGTTTAATTATTAATATTTTGTATATTATTAATAGTTTGTTTAATATATATTTCAATTAATTATTTTAATTAATGATAAAGATCTTTTTTAACGATTTTTGTTACAAGAGACGATCATTTTTCTACTAAATTTTTCGTAGTAACAACATTTTTTTAAATCTTCAAATGTAATGTATATAAATGTAATGTATATTCTTATATAAATAATATCATATTTTAAATTGTAAAATAGTCATTAATAAGAAAATAATGCCGAAGAATTAAATTTTATATTTCATTTATTTATCCTTTTGACCTCGAGAAACGTTATTTTCCATGATTTTATTAACGATTGTTTTTTTTGAAATATCATTAAGTAACTTATCAAAATATCATTAGATAACTTATCAAATTACACGTCATTCATTAAATTTTTCCTCTTTAAAACGTCTTTAAATTATCAGATTGAAAGTTCTTAAAGAGTCATTGTTATTCTTTTTTAAAAAGAACAATCCATTAATTTGAATCGATAATTAACAATTATAAATTAAATTTCTCAAATTTATTTTAATTTTATTTATTTTAATTTTAATTATTCAATTTATTCTTAATTTATTTTATTTTATATAATAATGCTAATTGTTTTTTGACATTATTTCAAATAATTATTTATTAATTCATTAATTATATTTGGTTGAGCAAACGCAAATCAAAATAAAATAAATACTGACAAGGCAATTTGTTTTTTAAATAAGCCAATGAAAGAATGAATTTTTAGGAATGTAAAAAGCGCGCAAAAAAATCAAGACAAAAGACGTAAACAAGACAAAAATTGCACAATACGAAAGCAGCACATTTATAAAGATATTTTAACGGATTTAAATAATATTTACATTAATATTTAAAAAATATTATAATAAAATGTTAAAATAAAAAATTTGTTTAACTGTTTCTTTTTTCTCTCCTCAAAAAAATATTAAATTGACCGAAAGAGAAACGAAATGTCTCTCATGATGTTGCTGTCATTCCACGGTATACCTTTAAATTTAATTCAAATGACTCGGTTCAAAGATCGTGTCTCGTCGCCTCTTATCATATGTCTGATACTTTCCATTATTTTTACACAAAAAGGCGCTAACCCGCATGCGATTATGTAAGGCTGGGGTAAACTTAATACGAGGCCTGCACTTGAATGCAATCTGATTCTGACCTTTACACGAATTATTCACGAATTATCCTTCTGATCTATCGTGGAAATTCTCGATCGATGATTAAGAAAAATTTAAACGAAGCCTCGTGGAAAAAAATACGAGTGCGTGGATAATATAATTATTTTATTAATAAAATAATTATATAAAAATTTTATTAATAAAATAATTATATAAAAATTTTATTAATAAAATAATTATATAAAAATTGTACTCGCGGAAATAAAATATTTATATTATCCACGCACTTGTATTTTTTTTCCACGAGGCTTCGTTCAAATTTTTCTTAATCGTCGATCGAGAATTATTAATTATTTTATTAATTTAAGAGAAATTTAAAAAATACGTACGATAAATATATATCGATAATATTTTCTCGATCGGCTGAACAGAAACATCGTTGCTGGATAGAATGCGAGATGAACCGGGAAGGAAGCCAATGACACGGTTAAAAATAGAAGAACTTATACTGTTCAAGTTATCATAAAATCATACGACGTGAATCTGATAATATGCGGGATTTCCGGAATCTTGGAGATCCCACTCTCAATCGCAAATTAATTCTTTATGTACATTTTTTATGTAAACGTCCCTCTATATAATTTATTTTGAGAAAAACAAATGATGTAATTCTTAATAAATAACAATAAATACCAGGTAATCAATGTTTGTTTGTGATAAAATCCGCCATTTTATTTTAATCGCGCGATTATAATCTTAATCTTTGATCGGCGGTGATCAAGATTCGAGTGCGTATTAAAAATATCATCAGTGTTTCCTGTCTCGAAAAAAAAACAGTGCTTATCTATCAGATTCCATTCTGCGAAATCTTAGATAGCGAGTGTTTATAGATCGATCGATTGGCAATCGGAAGACGCCTGAACTTCGAGGGTCAATCACGCTTAATGGCAAATGCGTTTAACCTTTTAATATATGCAATTAACCCGTTAAACCCCGGTGACAATTGTAATCACTTTAGAGACGACATCATTCGCGATATTTAAATATAAAGAATATCTAAAAAAAATTCATGCACACAAAAAATTTTATTTGATTTGCAAAATAAAATTTTTAAATTCTATTGTTCATCGAGTTTTATTTACATTTTTAGTGTAATCCATATTTTTTCAATTTCCTATATTAATTTCTATTTAATTCAATATATTCAATTTAATTTCATATTTATTTTTAATTATTAAATATATAATTGTAATTAATTATGAAATCATATCATATTTATTTAATTATTTTATACATGTATTCCTATATTTATTAAATATTATATTTATTAATCATTAAATACATTCCTGTATTTATTAAATATTATATTTATTAATCATGAAATATATTCCTATATTTATTAAATATCCTTATTTCCTATATTTATTAAATATTATATTTAATTATTAAATATTATCAATTACACGTGTGCCTCAGGAAAATTATTTTTATTTTATTATATTTATTATTTTATTATATTTATTATTTTATTATATTTATTATTTTATTATTTTATTATATTTATTATATTTATTATATTTTAGTTATTTTATTATACAGAGTACCCCAAA